AGATATGAGGCGGCTATCCAATGCAACGTCATCACGTGCTGTTCGAAATGCAGTTCGAAATGACTTAAAGAGTTATTTTATGTCAGTTCATGGGATGCTGACATGGCAAGCAAATGTTGTAAATACAGGATGTCTGAAGTCAAGACCCTAAGCATAGTTTGATTACACATTTACGAAATTATTTAAATAACCCTAAATGTTAAAAAATTGTGTTAATATTTTTTGTAAATTATAGGTACATGAATATGTATTCATAAAATTGCAGTGGTATACCCAGCCAGATAATTTTTTTATTATTAGCAGTATTCATTTTTTTAGAAATCTATTAATTTTATTGTGAGCAAAGACGAAAATATTTACTTAGCATAAAATTGTGGGCTGGCTGCAACTGTAACATTGCATGCAGCATTAATGTGAATGCCCTCCAGCATTGTCATAAAATACAAAACTCAATGATTACTACATTGAAATATAGTTTTTTACCATCCATGTTTATTTTGCCTTTAGCTTTATCAGCCGAAAACCTTCACAATAAAAAAAGCTATTTCCCTTTAGAACAAAACTAAGTTTAATGTGTCTTAATATATTTCCACGACACATTCACTGCATAAATACAAAGTTTTATTAATTAAAGTCACTACTGTAAAGTTTCTGTTCTATTTCAAATAAAATTTTATTAATAGCAAATTTTGCTTTGATTACAGTTGTGGTGGAAGCTTCTTTAGTGTATCTACCATTGATTCTGCAAATCTTATTTCCTCATTTGACCTATAAGCTCTTCTTTCTTCTCCTAATGATTTCATAGAGTCCAGTCTCTCTAAAAGTGCTGATGTTGTGGGTGAGGCAGCTCTCTTTTTGGACCTTTTAGATGAGGATGGTAGCATCTCACATCTGTCTGAACTTAAGGACTGGCCAGGTGAGGTCTCTCGGATAGCCAGGACAATTACTTGAGAAGGAGGAGTAGTGCCATCACATAGAGAGGTCCTGGAATGTGGGGTACTGGCCCTTGAATTAGAGGTGTTGGCTTATTAAGTAGTAGATTGCAAGTCTTCTAGAGAAATAGTTCATAAACTGGTAGGGTCCTCTTCAGTACACGAAAGTTGGGCCTCGAATGAATAATTTTCTGTACGGCCATTGTCAGTTAGATTCTATATATATGTGGCAGCGTTCACAAAACCACACAATGGACATGAACAACTAATCCCCTGTAATGCTTATCTGAGTTACCTCTGATAATAGAAAATTCAAGTCAGTCTCACGATATTTGATAAAGCTAGACAACCACGACAGGCTAATGACAATAGCAGGTATAATTTTCCCGCCAGGGTCACCACTCTTCGATTTCAAACGCTTTTTGGCTTTCGTAAATCGGTCCCGTATTTTCTTCCATTTTTGTCAGCAAACAGCATCAATTGTTTCGAGCTTTTCGACGATTTCCTTCCATGAATTCGTAGTTTTTTTGTAGGTCTTTATAATCCCGTCTAGACGAGACATATATATGAGGATATTTCCTAACTTCTTCCGCTAATCTTTCTTCGAATCCATCCATGATTTAACATTTTTCCATATTAGGGATAAACATATTCAGAGACAAACACAAATGACCAACTACGTGTGATTAGATAGCCATTCTTAGTCCATGATGGCGATGTTTGCGGGGAAAACATTAGACATGGCGAACTAAACACTTTCTGCAAGGTTGTACTGCCACACAACCAGCCCTTCTCCTCATACCAATCTCTCTGAAATGCTCGTCATTTATTTTGGATTGTTACATCAGGAGTGGGCCGTTCATGAACGATAACATTCTGTTCGACCGACGATGGAGCAGAGAACAGTTTAGCTAATAAGCTATTTACTAAATCAACATCAGTTGAGCAAATCGCTGTCGCACTTGAAGGCATTGTGTCATACAAGACATGTCTTGAGATTTTGCGGGAAGTACACAGATGTATGGTCGTGCACTGCATGCACAAATGTAGATATTGATGACGACAATGATGTTGAGGAAGAGGAGTTTATAGATGATGACATGGACGACAAATTCAAGGCGGACCTTTAAAAAAGCGCGCCTTGTCTTGTACAATATGCTTATAACTTTCAAAATATTATATTGCTTAAATCCAACTAATGCGCGAGTTTATTTTTTTTAAAACTGATGTTTTGCATCTTTTCCATTTAGTCGATGGCATTTTCTGATGGCTTAAAGTTACCCAAAATACAGTATTCTGTGATAAAAACTTCCTTTCACACTGTTTTCTCAGGCGACATGATATTTTCAGATTTCAAAACATTTACATATGTATTTCACTTTTTCATATAAGCACAGTTAATTATATTTTTACAATTCAAAACATTTCATTATAGTTTGGCACAAAAATCTAATAATCGTTTTAAAAAGAGCAAATACAATGGTGAATGGTCATTATATTAATATAATATTTCTTAAATGAACTGTTTAAAAAACAGAATGCTAATCCAACAGTTATTAAAGAACTGTGCTTAAAGATAAAAGACATTATGCATTTCGGCAGACCACTCATCAGGTGTCAACGTCTGCTAAATGAGAACTTAGAAAGTATTCGATATGTATAAAAATGGTAAGAAAAAGTTAACGTCATCTCCAAGTTAAGAGATCACGCTTAAAAGAGAGATACATTAAACATTTCTTTTTCGCTTGTTGTTTCAGTTACGCTGTTGTAATTAAGTTGACTAATCACATCCTCTGTCGACAAAAAGATTGCATGTTCAATTCTCTGTTTTAAGCGCCATTTCTCAATTTGACGAGATGACGTTAACTTTTCCTTACATTATAAATATCGCATGATTCTAAGAGCTCTCATTTAGCAGACGCCGACACCTGATGAGTAGCTTGCCAAAATGCATGGTGTCTTTCAGATTTAAAACAGTCCTCTTAGAGTTCGTTGGGTTAGTATTCTGATTTTTAAGAGTTCATTATAGAACTATTATGTTATGATTTTGACCACTCATCATGGTATTTGCTCTTTTTAAAATTTTTAAATTTGACACCACGACAAAATCTTTATTTTACTGGTTATAACTCATATCCTAACGTTAAATAAATTCTTCAAAGTTTGGAAGAAATAGAAATATTTCCTTTAAAATATGAAAAAGTGTGACATATTAAACATGCATAAGTCAATGTAGCTAATAGGTAGGTTTAGGTTAAAAAAGGACGAGATGGAATATCAAGTCATTCTGTTGACTGGTAAAAGTTAAATGTACCCTTTTTTAAAGGATAAGTTAACAATTTCGCTTTCTTGGCGCAGTTCAATGGCCCATCGGACAAAAATTCTAATACATCAGCAATGTAAAGCGAATAAAGTATTTCTACACACTTTTGACTAAAATTTTATTGTGTTTATTGAAAATTGCTAAGGCTTAAATATCTTCACCACGCTCAAGGTTATTGTGCTCTTCACTTTACTACAAAAAAGGCCAAATGGTGTGAAAATCTGCTATGATATGTCTTAATGTTATTGGTGAACATGCATAAAGCTTAAGATTTGACACCCATAGATTACAACTAAAAACATCACATCTAAATCACACTTCACAACTAAAAATAGTTCACTTCACGCTAATTCACAATGACAATACACATTTCCTGTACACACAATACAATGACGTAAGAACCAGATAACAAATACGGCTAACCTGACGTTTACTCCTCATTTGACTCTGAAGATGACTGCCGCTAAGGTTGTCGAAACGTCAGTCAACAACAATAAAAACAGTCCTTCTCAGGACTATACCAACCTGGACGATCTTCATTTACAAACATGTAATTCTTGTAGTTTTGTGTTTTTGCACCACGTGGTATAATTTAATGACAGTTTTTCTACGGATACATCTGATGAAATATTTTGGTCACTCAAGTAAATGGGGACTACATCAACCATTAATGTATGTTCTGGGATTGTTATTGTCAAATCAACATCAATCAATGGGATGAATGGCTGTTCATTCTTGTGGCATCAATTTTTATGTGCCTCAATTCGTTTTATTATGATCTATTTATTATATAGCAAGTATCACTTACGGATAAATGGGCTCTTTGATTGGATCAGAAACATTTTTGTTGGCCATTATTTTCCTGTAATCTACCGCGGTCCAAAACGCGTAAATTTAAAGTTAAATGTAAACAAAATTCGTAAAGCAAACAGCATAACGAAAAATAAACGAAACAAGAAACCATTTACAAATGTGATTCAAAAGAAAAACACTTGGAAAACAGTTTAACTATCCAGATAGTACAATTTAATACAATTTTTTTTTTATGGGCGAAAACTAGAAAAGTGAAAGCATAGAAAGGTACACAGAAATGATGTGGAGAGAATAATTAAATTGTAGTTTTCCATGGAAAGCAGGAATTAGATATTACTAAGCCCTTAATAACCGAGTGCGAGGTCTTTATGAAGAAATAACGGACCGAGGTGTTTTTGTACACAACGAGCCCGTAGGGCGTGGTCCGTAGAGCGAGGTACAAAAAGACAGAGCTCCGTTATTTCTCAGTAAAGACCAAAAAAGCGGGGTAATTAAAAGGTTTATTATATGCCATTATTTGACCTGAAACGAAGCTCCCTTACTTTCTCGTCCTTGCTGTTTTTTATAGGTGTAATTAACAGAATTTACTATACTAGTTAGCCAAATTTGGTACTATTGAGCAAAAATTCACAAATATTTTGCCATAGATTTACTATATGGTGGGATTTGCACATTTTTTAGGCTTTGCAATTCAGTTCCGTTCAAAATTAAAAATGTGTTTTTATTTATTAACATACACTGCGTCATACAGTAGCAGTCTGTCTGTATTCCCTATCCTGCCAAAAATCTCCATAATTTCTAACATAATGGATTTTATAGAAATTCAGTAACAAAGAAAGCGGATATTTTATCATACATTATTTTTTCAATCATTTTATTGAATTTGATAAAAATCAGTGCATAACCTATGAATGGCAAAGTTTATTATAATGTTTGTTCTTTTTTCCTTTTTGCTTGTTTTTTTTACACTCTGATTAGTATTTATTATTCTAATGTGCAGTGTGCATGAATTCAATTTACACGCTATATTTTTGTGATGAAGTTATTAAAAATCTATTAAATGCATTTACTTTGTTATGCTAAATCAAAAATTCAATAATATCAATGTACAAATAAACCAGTTTTACTGACATTTGATGACATAGTTACAGTGGTTTTAAAATGTACGATAAGTGCAGAATGATGCATCGATATCGAAGTAAAAAGTGCAAGTGTTAGTGTTTATGCGTTTATTATGCATGGCTTTCCTAATTATTTTACTTAGTTTGATAGCTTAAAAGATTTTCCAATTCAGGAGTGTCAAAGTGTAGTCAAGTGAAACTGTTTCATTACTGATTGTTATTTATCCAAAAAATTCCTGCATAGATGGAGGAACTAATTGCATTAGCCATTTCTTCCGTTCTGATGCAAACCTGTTCTTCTTCAATTGGGTCGAGGCCATCACCTTGCGACATTGGACCTTTGATATAATCACATGCATTTGCTTCATTCAGCAAGTTTTCTGGAGGCACAACAGGATTCTTTTCAAAATTTCTATAGTATTCTGTTATCAATTTCCAATCATTGCGTCTTCTTTGAGTCGAAAGATCAAAGCACTCCCATCTTGCTGGGTCTGTGAGGATGAACATGATTACCGCTGGGTGAGTACTTCTCATAGCAAACTCATTTATGGCAAAGTCGTAATCTTCGGCGAGATAAAATCCTACTCCATTTGAGAAATCAGAACCCACTCTACTCGCGCCAAGATTGATCCCACCATCAATGATACTTTTAGCAGCTTCATGATGTGTGCCATGGTAATAGATGAGTGCGTTTGCATCACCTTGCTTTATTTCATCTTTTTTATCCTGAAGAGCTTTTTCGGCATCTTCTTTACTTTGTGTATTGAAAACTTTCACCGTGTATGATCTTCTTCCTCTTCCTTCAGATCTTGATGGGCTGAAAGCGAACCATTGATTCATAGGCGATAACGGGTAACTGAGCAATGGTAGTTTCATGTTGAACTCTGGGTCGTACTTAAAAACATTCTCGACATAAATTCCAACCCAATCTTGCAAACTTCTGTGTCCTGGAACAGGTATGTTTGCGATCCATTGATCGATTTCAACAGCTTTATCTTCAGCAAATCCCATCTTTTGCAATTTATCTTTTCGGGTCAGAGCTTCATCATTTCTAATTTTTTTTTCGACATCTTTAAGAATGCGTAATAAGCAGCTCATTTTTCCATGATGACTTTTCATAAATGCAGTAAGATTGTTAAAGCGAGTGACAATTTCATTGTTCAGACCAAGCACGTTAACTAGAGAAAATTGAATAACTGTTATAAGACATTTTATGTTGAGTGTCACGGTAATGTTTTGCGCTTAGTCATACAAAGGCAGCCATTTTTAAGGCACCCTAAAATGGCGCTACAATAGTTTAGTTTGTAGCAGTTTTCCTCACAGCCTGTTCTTCATGATTAGGTTGTTCAACTGATGATCCGTAATTGTTTAAATCGTCTTCATATTCCTAACTCAATACAGTCATGTCTGGATCTTATTTAACTTCCGGCATTTTTGTGCAATATTGTAGTTAATTAATTATGGAACATTTAAAATACACGAGAATAGCGTAATTTCATTGGCAGATGTGAACAGAAGCACGCAAAACATTACCGTGACACTTGCAATTTAAACTGCGTTAATGAAAGAGAGCAATAAATCACGTATCGTACATTGTTTGGACGTAACTTGTTCGTTCTCGTTTTGCTGTGGCTTTTCTAGATCTTTGCTGACGACGTCTACAAGAATCATAAACGATTGTCATTCAAAAACCACTTGCTTATAAAAGCGAAAAGTAATAAATTCAAATTTCTAGATTTGTGCATCGAATTACTTAACACAAAGATCTCGCATTTTAATAAATCAAGTTTGGCAAACACGATAAAGACATTAGCATTTCGTACTTTGAATCGGCATGATTTCTTTCTTATCACTTTGCTGTGGCTTTTTCACTGCGTTGCTGAGGCCGTCTATACGAATTATAACAATAGCATGGAAAACATAAATTTACAATGTAATAGGTTTCTTTACTCTAAATTATATTTGTATGACTTTTTTACATCATTACATCCAAAGAAATGATCTTAAACTTTAAAAATATCATGGAAGTGAGTAAAGAGGAAGGTAAACCATTTATTATCACAGGGTCCATAGTAAAGTGCGCACCGGGAAGTAAAGCAGGAAGTAAGTCATGTCTGTGCTTAGAGGAGATAATTAACATTATGAAATTAAACCATAAGAAACTTCTGAACAAATAATCTGAAAAGTTTGTCAAGTGTCGTCACACTTACCGGTAAGTGCTTATTGCGCTTTTAGTATTTATCAATATTACGTGTACATAATTTCAATGAATAACGGAAGTGTAGTTTTATTGTGTTATTTCATCTGAAGATCGTCGTTGTACGTGAAACAATGTAGAGAATCATTTCAAAGTATTGTTCAAATATAATTTAAAGTTATAGATATATACATATTATTTACAAATAGGCAAATGTAAGCTGAGCGTAGCTACTATGATTCGTATATTATCTAAAAACTTAAGCAAATGTAAGCTGAGCGTAGCTAGTAGCTATACTAAGACTGACAAAAGTACAACTAATTTACAAGAGTTCATAATTTTATTTTTTGATAATGGCCTTGTGTACTGTATTTTTATTTCTAATACCCCGATAAAAAACATCAAATTTTACAATTTAACAGTGGTCTTTACTCTGAGGAAGTCATTTTCGATAAAGTAACACTTGAATGCATGCAAACTTGAACAAGTTGCTCGAAATGATAATTTACAGGTATTTATATAAGCTCAGCGTATGTATAGCTACTAAGATTCTTGCAAAAATTACTTAAAAGTAAGAACTTGCGCCTTAATTATTGATTTACAAAATATAACTATAAGTTACAAGAATTCGTAATCTTATTCGTTAATGATGGCTTGGTGAACACTCGAATTAAAGAAGACATCAAAATTTTGTTTTATGATTATTGTAATTTTAAATTCTGCTTGGTGGATTTCAAAAACATCAATAATTAAAAGAATCTTACTTTTTTTGCTCTTGGTTTGTTCTGAAAAGAAACTTTTCTGAACTTCAAAGGTAGGATCTATACAAATTTAACAAAATCATAATTATAGCTGCATAAACTTTAACTGGCTGCGAAGAACACATTTTTCGTTTGACTGAAATAGTCAAACGAAAAACGACTAAAATCTAAAACAATATATTTTATTGGTATATCTTTTCACCTATTTTTTGCTTTCTTTCTTTGAACTATATATGTACGCCCCAAGTCAAAATGTAAGTATAAATTTTTATTTCATCATGTCAAATAAGAGTAAATGTCTGCCTGATAACATACTTTAAAACTGTTTATCTTTCATGGTATATTTTTACCATGCAGATGGATATTTAGATGGGAAATTTTAAACATGGTGGTTTAGTCTGAATAGAAATATAAAGTGTGTCCACGATGATTGAGGAAAATGGTACTGTAAAACTTAATTTTGGTCAAAAGATCATTGTTTAATGTAGCTGAAACTTGTAGAATTTATAAAAAAGTTTCCATTGTTTCAAAATTACAAAGTGATGAACAAATTAATCTTGATGAATCTTAATGAATAACATATTTTGGTAATGAATACCTTCTCGCCATCCTGATTTGTAATTATGTGTACTTAACTTTCGACGTTTTTGAGCATTTTCCATATTCTAAAAAACAGTAACGTGTATGAATCACAGTCTCGCATTATTTTACCATATTGTTTATCGGATTTGAACAGAATATTTGGACCGTAAATATTCTCAATATTGACGTTTTGGGAGCAGGTGGTACATAAAATATAGAAGATGCGTGCAATCATAAAGTAAATAAAACCTAATAATGGGAGGGGGAATTTAAATCATAAATATAATATCTTAAATCATACGCCAATCAATAAAAGTATACAATCTTAAAATCTTATGTTATCCTTTTACTAGTTTTACAGCAAAATGTCGGTATATTTGTTTACAAGATCCACATAGGCATAATTTGATTTGGTGGCAGTGCCCAGCACAAAATTTCTATTGCTTCCAACCTTTCTTGTCTACTGTTTAACGCAAGAAGGTTTTGAATTGGCAATCTTTCGACTGCCATCCTCCAAAAAATTCAAATAAGCAATTTTTTGGCCAGGTAAAACTAAATAACTAGTAAAGTAGCAATGTGTTTTGAAAAAAATTTAATGTTCCGAAATATTTTTATAAACGCAAAATATTTTTACTCGCGAAACGTTCCTGCATGACGGCAGTTTGAATAAAACGGTATTTTACTTAACATATAATAATGCATTTCTCAGGCACGGAGCATCCTTTGCTCGTCAAATCTTAGCCTTTAATAAATACACCTCGCCCTAACATGAAATATAATATATTAAATTGAAGATAATGTTGATGATCGTATTGATGCTGTCGTACGTCAAACAGTAGGGAGCTTTAGCAAAGACTACGAGTACGACTCAGTGAACTCGACATTTGAATAACTGGAATGATAACCGAAGCCAAAAATTGAAGCCAAAAAAATATTTGTTGTCATCATTCGTCATCACACGTCAGGCTCTAGTCCTCGCGTGTTCATTTTATTTTTTTTAAATCATTTGTCCCTTGGTAATGGTAGAGTTTGGATCTTGATCAGAGCGTAAAAATAACGAAATTTTTGGAATGAAAAGGTTCACGGAAAGTGAATCAAAGTGAGAAATCGAGAAGCAAGATGAGGTGAACTTAGTCGATCTGCTCTTACGCTGCGGTTTTCCTTTAAAACATATCAAAGTCTTTAAGGATATTCAATTATTGATATCGAGATGACAACCATTTAGTATTTCAAGTTTCAAGCGCTATCAAAATCGATGAAAAATACAATCGATCTGTAAAAAGTAAAAATGCGAGTTATAGACTCAATATTTTTTATGAAACTGGATATTCAAGTTTCTTTTTTATTCGGAAAAACAGATCTTTAAATCCACTTAAATGACAAAAAAGACAAACACTGTCTGACACCGTTTGAAAGTTTACCTTCCAACGAAAGAAAAATTTATGCTTGAATATTTTCTCGTCATATTTTCTATTGTATTGTCTTTTTAGCAAACAGTGTAAATTTCAATTGGCTTTTCCTCGTTACAAGTTGTTAGTTACAACGAACTCACTGTAGTAAAGTTTCAGCTGTAAAAAATAACCTTTTGCGAGGAGTTACCTCGTGTGCTGTTTGTCGTGATGTTTTTTATATGTTTATGCTTTTGCGATTTGTATTCAAATTTATATTGGCCGTGTATGTTTGGCACTCAGGGGAATGAAACTGACGTACAAACCGCGTGAATATTCGACTTTGAAGGACCGGAACTAACGTACAAACCGCGCAAGAGACTAGGACTTTGGCTTCAATTTTATATCTATAAAATGTATTGTCCATTGAGTTCTATAATAACTGGAGCGGCTATCTCAAGCGCGGCCTTAGATATATGATGATGCCAAATAATGGCGGATTTCGTCCTTTGCCGCTGAGATTTACCGAAATTGACCGCTTTTCCGAAAATTTCCCAATTTCCCACTCCCTCCTGAGGAAAGAGTGAGGAAAATGTATGTGTGTATTTGGGATTCGGCAAGCAATTTTTTGATGAAAATCAAGGTAAAAACCTTAAATTCATAACAGCGAGTCAACTGTGGTTTTCAGTTATCTGCTCCTACGAGGATGCATTTATAACTATCGACGAAAGACCTATATGTCGGCTACACATGTATGAATGCAGATGTGCGTCGTTTTCTTACCAGCGTCAAACTTGTTTGATCGATTAAACTCTTTAGTCTACACAAAAAAGTATATCATAGTTCATCTCCACGGCTCACGAGAGAGAAGTTGGCTTATTTGTTATCATTGCCATTTTGCACCTTTTCATGCAATGGGCAATGGCTTTTTTCGCCACAATTGTAGGATTTTTACTTCTTTCTTTAAAAAAGTACATGTTAAATCTCTCGATATTTACGGATTTTCTGTAATTGAGTTTCACATTAAATTTCAAAAAGACTCAAGTCTGCATAGGTTTGCAGGGGCGGATCTAGAGTATGTCAAATCCGTCGCGCGACTGATGTTTGAAATTCAAAAATTACCTATTCATATTAATTAAAAATTCATTAATTATTCTTACTTTATTATCGCATTTACTTCGTGATAAAAATCCAGCTTTATTTATTATTGAAAACTAATGACTAATGCAACGAATATCTCCTTGGTAACCAGATCAGTTGAATTTTAATTGACCTGGAATAACCGACTGATAAGCGGGGTGGCTTGACTGGTTCGACTTATAAAGGAGTCTATGAAAGCCAGAAACGCTATTTTATTGGTCAATGGCCAGATCAGTGGACAGTTTGGAATAATCTCGACCGATAATAGGGGTGGCCGGACCTATAAGGGGTCCAATTGCTATCTTACAATTGGTTCATTTGAATTTTTGTCTTACTGTGATTGGTTTGACCGATTTCGACTGATAGCCAACTGAACTAACATAGTCAAGCTCACTGTCTGAATTGAATGTTTGATGGTTTCATAGTAATTTTTATAAGCATGATAGAAACTAAACTACAATCAGATGGAATTTATGGAAATCTTTTACAAATTCATATGTTGACATAAATGCTGCTTTCCAAACTGGGAATTTTTTCAAGAGGGTGAAAAATTTATGGATGAATTGTAAATGCTTGGCAAAGACGATCTCGCGAGCGACATTTCAGTCATTGATGTTCAAAAGCAAGCCAACATTGTTTTGAGTTTAATCAGCAGAAATTTACATCGAAAATCGTAAGTAAAGGACAAGTGAAGTGTATGCATGAATGCAATATATCAAAGTCAATTTATGCGAGTGTCTGATGCGATTTATGTTAATATGGCGTATGGTAAGCAGATTGATGCTTCTAAAATTGTTGTTGACGAAGGACTTTTAGCTATGATTTCTTTAATGCTTGGGGAATCGTGGCCGTTATATGGCAGCGAAATCCTACATTTCTGCAAATATATTTCAATGGACAAAAAATCTGTAGCCATAAGGTGCCATACTATTATTTACTTCATCATAAACAAATGTTTGGGGCTTTTCAGTTTATGATCATTGATCATTCAATCATTGGACAGTTATACTACATATTGTTTAAGATTTGAGAAAACTGACATTGATTACATGAGAAGCTGTTACTATTACCTGTGATTTTGAGTCTTATGATCCATGAAGCTTTTTATTTTGACAATTTGACTGGAATGGTATTAAACCTGAGTATTTCACATACATGAAATGTTGTCCCATGTCACATATTGTCCCCTTTTCTAACTGAACACCTCATGTAGAGATGTAAAGGTGTGTTAATCTACAGCTCATATCAGAGTGTTTGCCATAAATTCCAAAGAGCTATTGATGTATGAATAGCATTTTCTATAAAGTAAAAATGTCTTCCAATGTATGCAGATAAACCTTGAAATTTGGCAAAACAGCAAAGTATTTTTCATGATCACTAGGTAATTTTTCTGATGATCAGTATAATTTCCAAACTAAATTATTTCAGATTTACATTTAAACGAGCTTTGATCATATGAAAAGATATTTATCATAACCAGTAAGCATGATACATGAACCAATTTTAACATTCATGTAATTATATAATTAAAGACATGTTGGTTACATTCTGTTTGTATTTGCAAATACAATGCTACTAGTGATTGCTATATAGCATACCTTGCATATACTTACAGAAGATAATAGTCTAGTGAAACGCCTAAGAAACATTCATGGCATTAAGCTGTCCTTAACTGCAATTTTTCACTTTGATAATTTTCTTAATCTTTGACAGAAAAAAATTTTGAGTTTTTTCTCAAAAAGTGAATTTGCTGGCTCTGATGTGGAGATGGGTAAAGGGTTACAATAAACTTGCATGGTTTGAAGTCTGAGCTTTTCTATATTTATGAACTGTCACTTCTAGTACCAAATTTCTAACTTAACTTATTACATAGAGGTTTGAATGGGGTCTCTAGGGGGGTCTATGCCTGACAACTTGGTAGAAATTTTTAAAGACTATATCTGTTTTTGAATAGCATTATTGTAAAATAAATTTTACGTTCCGTAGACATGCTAATGAGCCATATATTTGGCATGATAATGAGCCTAAATATTTGGCAAAACATTCAAGTATTGTTCACTTCATTTTTGAAAAACGTAAGAAAAAAAACGTAAGCAAAATGTGTTGTTTTTACCGAAAACGATGCCCACAAAATACATTGCGTATCTCACGAAGGCGGCATTTTAGAGGTTCTGAAATTCAAAATTTCTCGGGAGAATGCCTCAGACCTCTGGCGCTGGAGTGCCTCTGACGTTTATGTTCTGATGTTTGAAAAGATCCTAGATCCGCCCCTGTAGGGTTTGAGTAAAAATGAAAACAAACAATATTTATAGAAATTACTTAAAATTAACCTTTTCTGATGTTCTGGTGAAACTCCATCAAATACTTGTAAGTTGTAGTATATTTTTGATTTTGTTGTATTGATATATGTTGGGCAAAATGCAAATGATAAATGAAACCTTGCCGCTTCCAATGGTGTTTATAATTAATTTGTAGTTTAATACTTCTACCTTTCTTTTTCACTTTGTTTTGTTTCCTATATTTGCAATAAAAATTGCATATAATTTGAATGATTAACAGTTGTCACATAATAATAAATTTCATAAGCAGTTGGTAGTGCATTTTGTTCACTGAGTATCCACATCTGGTGTTTTGTCCATACAAGAATGATGAAATGCAAAGTAGATATGTCATAGCAAGGCAATAAAAACCAAAATGAATTACATACCTATATTGGCCTTTTATGCTAGAAGCTTAAAAGCTTTTTGAAATTAGAATATTATTGTATTGTATTACCTCTATATCATCAATCTAATGATGAAATAAGAAGCAAAAGAATTTGGAGAAAAGCTTTGAAAAGTGGCTTTTTCTTTTAGTAAGCAGCAATAATCCATATGATAAATCTAAATCCTGTACTCTAATGGTAAATAAGCTCAAATTTTTCTTAAAAGAAATATAAGAAATATGTATAAGAAATATACAATACAGTAACTTTAAGTTTCATCACTGAATCTTTAATGCTTCAGTGTAGTGCATTAGATATTAGTAACATTCAAACAACTCAACTAAAATATTTTTTTGATAAATGTATGACATGATTCAAACATTAGGTTACATAAAACCCAATGAAACATACAGTTTGAAGCTTTAAAGTCTGCATTGAGTCATCATCAATCTCAGTTACAAATGTTTACATAGACACAAACTTTATGGCCCTTCCATTTTATGTTGGAGAATTGACATTTCATTAAAGCATCAACACACACAACCGCTTTGCCATCTTTCTTTGGATGTGAACTTTAACCAAAGCATTCAAGGCATCCTGAGTGAATCCATTGTGCCATCCATAGAATTTTGATCAAATTAAACTATACTCTGATTGGGCAGACAATAATCATATATCTTTACAGCAATTATCATTTTTAAGACTCTGCCTGGTCAATAACATCTTGAGTCATCTTTACTCCTTGATCTTTCCTGCATGTTGTTAAAGCAGCCAGAACATACAATCTCTGCTCCAAATCATGGGTACCGTTGGAACGATCATTTCTTTTGATCGCTTCTCACAGAGCAAAATGTTGCAGGGTCTTTTTGCTTTAGGGGAAACTATTTTGCAAATAAATGGGTAAATTTACGATTTCATGCATTAACAAATGACAGAAAAGTATGCAGAATTTTATAAACAAAAACAGGAAAACATCGAGTATATTTGGCGTTCAAGTCAGTCTTACAAAATACAGAATCTTAATATGTATTTATGGCTTTTCAGTGCATGTATAATTGCTATCCAATCGTTGACAGACTAACAAAACAAACAACTCTCACCTGTGAGAAGCGATATGTTCCTTTTTGTGGAAACTACGATATCCAACAATTGAACGGTGGTGGCATTATAAAATGCCAAAAAATAAATCGTCACAGAATATGGAACAAACGATATCCATATTCCTGTGTTATGTGTTTGTTTTGAAAAATTCTTTATAATTTACCTATAGACATAAGGGAGGTCGAGAATATTATTTTTCTGCAAAGCGATCATTTCAGCGGAAATACGTCCGTTGGCCGTCATTTATTTGGCATCCTCGCCCCAGTAAAGTTAGCCCCTCCAGTTATTATAGAACTCAATGGTATTGTCGTTATCATTCCAGATATATATATATGGAGTTCACTGGTACGACTACGAGTACGATTTACGTCATTTTGGCGCGAAAACATTGTTGCAACAACAAAAACACGAATCTGACATCAATCTAAGTACGATGTGTTTTAAAAAATTCGTAGTCGCAACTACGATATCTTTTTAAGCAAAGAAAGTAGGTATATTTCTTTATTCCGTAAGAAATTAGTTTACGATACTATTTTCGAGCATCCAGGCTTTAATTTAGAACCCTTTTTGAGCGTAGATGAACATTAAAAAGGAAAATATGACCTGCAAAACTTTCATGTATTTCGTACGCAAAGTGAAAGGTAAACAAAAAACGATAGTATAAATATATCGTACATAAAATTTAAAATAGTGAAGATTTTTCAGTCTACAAGTCCTATATTCTCGCAAAATTAGTGTTACCGATTTTGTCTGGAGGGCAACTGTCAAGCTTCCCCTTCCCCCGCTACTTACGGCCCTTCTGTGTGTACGATAACTCAAAAAGTACGTAAAATATTATGCGAAATATATTGCAGTGCATTACATTCCCATCGTTAAAGAACGAAAAGATTAAAATTTGGTAGGAAATTGAACGAGAAATGAACAAAAAATTTATTTCGCTTTTCCCAATATATAGCTGCATGCGTGTACAATTATAGTTTGAGAAACTTTGTATCTTTAAACACGTTTTAGTTAGGAATGGATTTGAATGTGTAAAATGCATGCATATAAAAAGAATTTAAGTCAATGAAGTTTTTGCCATATTTTAAACGTTGTCTAAAAACTAAATGTGAATAGAAATATAGTTATCTCATCAAGAAGGCGTCAAAATGAGAAACAAAAACATTCAGTGACGAAATCAATAGAAGCATTGCGCTTTTTACTATTTGCATGATTTTTGCTAATAATTGCGTTTTCTAGTTTTTTTGATTACTGTGAATTTGTTATATGTTGCAACGACTATGAGTCACAATTATGAATGCTGAACATTTTCATCTGTTAAAGATTATTACGACACTTATATTATGTAATGATTATGAAGCACTTTTGCACATCTTTGCAAATATCTTGTCGTCTGCTATAAGATTACTGGCGTTTGTTTTTTTACAAAACACAAACTTCTTTCAGTCTTTACTTTGTAACAAAAAAGACGAAAAGTCGATAAACTGACTCATTATCGTCATGCCTCAGGGGTGCATTTCTACTTGGCTCAAGTTTTGCATGCTCTTTTTGGGTCAATCACTTCCAGCGTTAAATCATTAAAGTAATGTTCATTTTTTGGTTGCAAGAAATAAATTAAAAACAAAATGCTTGTTGTAATATTGTTATGTTGGCATTGGTCTCCCTGTGCCACTATCTACGGTACTTTATGACCAGCTGTACTCACTCTTGTGTTTATCCGCCTTATTATTGTTTGTAGCATTTAATTTAAATAAAGCCTAATGAATGGTAAATTAACACAATGCTTATTATGAACTGGCCACCTTGCAAGTCAATATTTAACACCCTCCCCCTATGGCAATTTCGCCTTGAATATTTCAGTTCTAATATTCTGGAGGTTTTGTTGCACTTTTTTCAAATGTTTTTTTATGAACTTCTAAAGTTGCTGTAGAGGTAATATAAATTGAGCAGTTAGTCACTGGCTTAATTATTTAAAGGCTTAATGGCTTAAATACTGGAAAAATGGCTTAAACACAAAATATTTTTAATTATAATTTATACATGCAAATTGACGTCTTTGATAATTGCTGTATTAGCAATTTATAAAAACATATAATAGAGTTTATACAATGAACAATAGTTTAAAATAGTTTACTTTAATGCATTTTTCTTCAAATAAAAATTATCAAATTGGTGTACGTTCATGTCAACTGCTTGTGCTTCAATTTCGTAAAAATTTATTACGTTTTGTGAAGGTGAGAAAACGAAATTTGTGACGATTAACCACTGGAATCCTTTATAGGCTTTGTAGCTACAAATGTCAGTCGGAGCTAAATTTCCTTTGGCAAGTTGCTCGGCTTAAGACATTTTGCATGCCTGCACATATTTAGTTACTTGCCTTTTGGGAAAGCAAAGCATATTTGATTTTTTTTGTTGAATGTTCATCGTGACCTAAAATGTAAAAATTAAAAAACAATCTGACCCACCTCTATCTTTTCTTTTTCTATTTGATGATCACTGAAATTGTGAACCATGCGCACAAGCTTCTTGTACTCCTCACTTTTCAACATTCAGTATTAAATGTGAATAAACAGGCTTTTCCTTTCCTTTTTTTTCTGATGCTTACGTGGATGGTAAAGCTAAGTATTTGAACCAATAAAATAGCTACTAGCTGCCCGGAGCTGTTTTTTTGCGCGTGCGCCTTAAAACAATGGATCAATCAAAAAAAAGTTTGTTTCCCAATAAAGGCGTAAATTTTTATGGGTTTTTAAAACTAATATTGTCGAGATAGTGTGACATTTGTCAACGATTTTCTAATATAATCGTTTGAAAGTAGCAATAGAAAGAAAATAAAACTATTGCTTTCATTTGAAGTATCAATTTGAAAACCATCATTAGATGAAAATTGTCTCACTTTAAATTTATATGCACAGATGCAGCTTTAAAAATTGGAAAAACTATGAAACGATGAGAGTTTTAATCATATATATGTTTAAACTCATCGCTTAATTGTATAACGTAGGTATCTCTTTATAACCATTGAAGTAAAGCGAAGATATTTTTAAGATCAGTAAGATACATTGCGTGACTCATAATTACCGCAAGTTCGAATTAAAAAATTATTTACGTTAGATTTTTGAGATTTAAGATACCAAAGTTAAAAGTAATTTGAAGTGTGGCCTCAGATAGCGTAATATATTGAATAACAGATACACCTATAGGTAGTCACAAAAGAAGTTTTAAAACTAAAATAAAACTGTATATTTTTTGGACAATTTATCTGTTCTCAAAATCATCTAATTGTGAAAGTATTTAGACGTGCTATAACCGATTTTTAGTTTGATGACATCATGTTGTGTAAGATGTTCAAAACAAACCTCTTATCATGCATTTTGTGAATTTTTATACAAAATAAAATCTAAAAAGAGTTTCTGCTTCCACTCTGCAGACAAATTCTTTATGTTTTGAAATTTCAAAATTTTAGACATTTCAACTTTCTATCAAAGCTGAAATTTTGTAGCTGTAGCCGAACTGAAAATACATAAAAGCATTGTGCTATTGCTTTGATATTTCACTTCATAACAACAGACAATATTTCCTTTAAATTAGTATGCAGAAACATTTTTTATCACTTTTTTCAAAGAGTTCTTAATAAGCATTTTTTTTAAAAATAGTTGAAAAGAAATACAGTAGCAATACTTACAAATTGCGACTGCTGTTCATTGCAAATTTCAAGCAAATAATTTATTTAATTTAAATTGCGTTTACGCTTTCTTGGGAATTATTTAATATTGCTCATCCAACACATTATGTATCACATATTATGTATGAATAAAGATGCATGTATATACTGTTTATAGAAGAAATATCAAAACATCCATTTTATTTGGATGTATGCTCATCATTTTGAAACAGCAGCTTTTGCGCAAATTGTCTTATTTGTCATTAATGTATACCAGGCACGGCGCCGAATTGCGGCATTTTTATCGAGATAAATCTCTGTTAACATTTAGCTACATATTTTAGCTACATATTTTAGCTAAAAGTGAGGCAAAACGAAGAATTTTAAGAAGTAACTTTAAAAATAAGAAGAATTTTGGAAAAGAGTAATTTGTAGTCTTATGTTTTAACAATTATAACCAAAGATTGCAACAGGTTTATTAAAATTCTGCGACAATAGAGAAAATAAAAATTTCGAGAAATAACTAGCACTATCAATATCAAGAATAAAATTCAAATTGTCAACGCACGTACTCTGACAATTTTTACACATCCTTAGGCTTACCATAGTGATTTACGTCGAATTTATTAAAATATGAAAATAAATTTATTTCTTCTATTTTTATACATACACCCTGTAAATTTTCCTCGTTACAAGCTTGTGATTAACTCGTGGAATACATAATGATTTTGATTTATCATAAGAAAGCATCGAATGGTTTTTTGGTGACATGAGACAGAATTATCAAAGCGCAAATTATAAGCCTATATCTTTTATGTTCAATGTGCAACTGGTTTTACGTGTCCTAGCCAGTCTTCTCCGTATTATTATAAAAAAAAACTCTACCATGAAGAAACTTAGCTATTAGCTAGTTTGTTGGATATAATTGATTTCAAAACACAAGACACGGGCTTTTTACTTCTGTTGTCTTATATTGTCGTCATTTCTAGTACGAAAACAAACTTTTTACGACTCAAACTGAGGCTTAAATACGTAGAGAACTATACCATTTAATGTTTTTCTGACAAGGTAAATTAACTTCGGAAATGGAGGACTTGACAATACAGTATAGTCAGTAGTGATGTTTCGACTTGTTGTCTTGATGTTGTTCTAACCTCATCTGCAGACTGTTGCTGTCTTTAGTCTATAGGGTTACTTAGCTATATGATCACTGTTACGTGGAACAGATTGTTTGTACTCTCCTAGCCGCGAAACTCGTTTCATATTTATTCGGAAAAGGTATTGACCGAAATCAAACTTAAACAACATAATAAGGTTAAGTTTAACACTACATTTGTTCCTGTCAGCACCTTTTCTCTGTCGACACCATGTTTAAAGAGATAATCATTGACATCATGCATCTTGACCGCGAGGTCATATAAATAAGCCCTTATATATAGTGACGACGGTAACAACTACTAAGCAATCATTGCACGAGGTTGAGCATGATATCAAGAATTGGTCAGACCGAAGTCATGTTGAGCCTGAAACACTTGTTGTTATCACAATATATTACTTTAAAGAAAATTATTTTATTTGAGCCAAGCTTCCATTTTGTGGAGTCTGCATCCAGCAAAATTTTGAGGTCATCCAATGTAGTTGGCGTACATATTTTGTATTGATAAGTACCTTGCATGACGTCACGAAGTATGTTGTTCCAGACCTTTCGGACGACGGACAAGGTGTATCAGAGGGCATTTTTGCCAACTTCAAACCACCATAATAACGGAACGATTTGAGCAAACTAACAAGTTTTTTTCACTAATATGTTAGATGTCACACTTACATTTGATATCGCGAATAAAACGTTTTGCTGACAGGAACACTTTATATTTGACAGACAAAAATATTTTATATGCAAAATCTAATGGCAGTTTGAATAGCTGAGTATTAAAGCAAAAAATGAAATAAAACATAAAATTTTACTTGACATTTTTCCAAATCAACAATAGCTACACATAATATGTATGTTGGCGTTTCTTTCTAATTTAGACTTAATTCAGCCTGATGGGCAAAACGTGTGCATTGGCTCCATATCGTGGTTCACTCATTGAAGGAAGATATGCCCATGGCCAATTGTTACCCATTATAATGCACTCCATTGATTTGAGTTCTTCATATTTATAGATAAGATCTCCCATGACAACAATTGAATCCCATGCACAACATAAGGATCACTTTTCCAACATGATGGTAAGACTGTGATCTTAGCTGTCCTACTGTCATACATGAAAACACTTTTATGCTTCTCTGTCCTCTTTCGACCTCCAAAAATAACAACTTGATCTCTTCATCAAACGGTTGCCATTCTAATCAATGGATGAGGTAATGGAGGCATCTTTTCATGGGCAATTTCTTTACTTTCACAAATCTGGACAGTTTTCTTTATGTCATTGAACTTCCTATTGGTTTCGAAACTAATCTTTACAGCAAAGTTAAGCGGAAAGAAGAAAAATACAAACATTTAATAAAAGAGCAGAGTCATCGTTTCAGACATGTTAAACTAATCAATCGCTTTAAAAATACATTATAGGTGTCTTTGCCAATGAGTGCTCTAGTTTCTTAGATATGTTCGATAAAACTGGCATGGAGAAGAAACATCAAAAATACTGCAAAAGAATTATCTCTATAATCTTAGCATGTTCAGATTTTGGTAGTTAAAGTCATTATTCCTTATCTTCATTACGTCATTAGTAATTACTTTTTGGTTGTGATTCAACTAAGATTTGTTTTTGATTTCTTTTCAAGTATCGCAAAATTTTCTTTGCGTCAAACAAATAAAGTATGGTCGTCGTGCCAGTCAAGATTGTCAAAAAATATTTTCAACTTTTCTGTTCGCTACATTAACAATTCTTTGCCAACAAGGAAAAACTTCACAAAATGGGCTTACTTGTCTTCACCAGATTGTACCTTCTATCTTAAACTGAAACCCTATTGATGTCGTTGCTGGCCTTTTCTTAGCGATATTTGCAGTTGTAAATGTGCGAATAATTAAATCAAAAATCCTAATGTAATTACTAACACATTTATTCATCACGAAAAATCCGATGAATATGGTCAATTCGGTTTTTCGTATAATCTTCTCAATTCAATCCATTGGTTTCAATTCATCGACAATGCAGCAGTAATAACCAGCAAGAAGTCAGAAAACCAAAAATCTTTTCAATCGCTTTCAACTTTGCTGCAACTGGTCTAGTATGGTAATTCGAGTTGATACATTGACTTTGAAATGTCAAACAATAAGCACCAAAACGAATTGAGGTCCATTCTTACTAAGCTGGTGGTTGATAGTGACATCCGAGAATATAACCTAAAAACAAAATTGCTCTCAATACTCGATACGTTTTTCCTAAACTATGGCATTTCACGATCGCAACCCTTTCAAAAACCTGGATATCCGATCCCATTGTCCACCAATACACACGCAAATAGTTAGAAATACCAATATCAGGAACCCTAGGTAACGTCTACCTGAGGTATTCCGAAATTGGTCTTAACGTCACTCAACCATCCACTACATTCACTCAATGGCAATACACTATTCTAAACACTTAAAAACAATACATTAAAAACATCCGGCATTTTTGTAACTCAACAAATAATCATACTAATATTCAACATGATCAAAATAAAACAGCAAAGGAAGTTTTATGGTCCTTTCAAAATCAACAAGTAGACAAACATCGAAATCAACTACAGTGTCAAGGTCCAGCATTTCAAAATTTCTTTACGTGAAACAATTACAACGTGGTCGTGAAGACGAACTAAATAAAGCATTTGCGATAAAATACTGGAAAGATTCTGCAAATGTTAGGAGTGTAAAATCTGAAGCTCACTTGTACATGATAATTTTAATTGGTTTCTTATTTTAGGCCGTGAGCAATTTTGTAAAGACTTTTTTTAGACTGCAATTCACGTTCAATAAACCATCAATCAACCACTAAACAAACTGAGAACGGTATAAGGTCCATAAAATAATCACTTTTTCTTCAAATGCTTTTTAAACTACACCTATATTACACAAACGTCGTTCATTTATAAAATAAATATTCACCATACTCAAAATGAATGTGAAAACATTTTTCATTATTATAGTCGTGGGAAGCATCTTTAACTGTATTTTGTATACGTACTTTCATTGACAGCCTTTCCACATGTACATGCGTACTTTCCATGCCGATGTCAACAGGATTGCTCTCTCTTGAATAAATACGCTTTATGCAGTAAAGACTCAAAGCAACGAGCAAACAAAACACGAAGACACCTGCCAAGACAACACCACGACAGCTCCAGTTGAAACTAAAAACATAAATCATGTAGATACAATACAAAAAGGCTTCCGCGAATTTGGGGGAATTATATACAACTTTGTAAGACTTATTCGTACAGCAAAGTTTTTCACACGACTGTTGGCTTTTTACATTCATAAAAATACACATTGTCTTAAACAACGAAACACACAGATTTATGCATTTAGGGTTAGAACTATAGTTTGCTGCAAAAATAAACAGTATTTTTACGAAACGCATGCAAGGAAGTTTACTGCATTGACACGTAGGCCATTGTCTCCCAAAAGAATGGAATAACTGAATAAGGCCTCTCAATGCAAAGGTATAGAGTAAGTTTTAGATTCAACAAACAACTTGTTTTGTTTTATGAGACACGTTTTTATCAAGGTGTAAAACGGGTCTTCATGTCACTGCATGGCTACAACAGATCATCAGCAGGATCAACAAAACGTTAAAAAATGCTTTCTTTGCGGCATCTGTGGTGTGATGTTTCTGCGTTCACGTCTATCTGTTTGACTTCGGAAAATTCACGATCGTCACAGTTGAGCAATAATTAGGTATATGCTCTTTAATAGACACTCAACTATGCCAACTCCGCATTTTATTATGGCTGCCAATTCTACTTGTCTTTTTAAAAAACTCTTGGGAACAAATGAAACAGCCGATTACAATTCAAAAAATGTCGCTTAGCAACCTTTTACTTAGAATATGACTGCCATGAAAAAACAAGTCTACTTGAGATAACAAAATATGTATAAATACAAGACGCAAAAAAACTGTTAATTTTCGACTTTAGGATGTGGTTTTGAAAGATGACTTGTTTTCCGGACTTTATTTGTTGCTTTGCTTTTTTAAAATGTCGGTTGGAAATGGTTTTTGGTTACTGGTGTACTTTGTGTACATATCCTGAAAAAACGGCGTCCTTGGTAACTCTAGATATCAAGAATTGACATTTCAGCAAGCTGACAGTGAATAGTATTTATATCATAATATTCGTGCAACAAAAGATACACAGACAACCTTGTTTATTAAGCGAGGAAAAAGTTCCACCATCTGGCATCTTCGTGGAAGTAGCTGAAAAGGAAAGAGCTCAACTTATGTCAATTTGATTGGGCAGAATTTATAATTTACTTGCTTTCACATGGACGGATACAATCACCAAAGTCTGTTGCTCCGGGTCTCACTTTAAAACACTAAACTGACTCAACAACAATATGTAATCTGAATATTTTATGCAGTGCGGTGTTTGAAATTTAATGAAGATATGATCTTCGCACTTTGCTGGACAATTTAAGCAATCGTCTCAGGACCTGAAAAAATCAGGTGACTCCCGAAGATCATATCTTCATTTAATATGTAATCTATTGCACAAATTTGGACACTGTGCATCCTATGATACAGTAGTTCGAAATGAAACTGACTCAGCAATACAAAGAATGGAAACAAAGAAACCTGTCACAAGGTTTTTGACGAGGGACACTTACTGTTGCAGTTTGGCAAAATATTGAAAAGGAAAAAGAAACTGTGTCTATAGAAGAGGTACAACTCATCACACTAACGTCATATTAGTGCTACCTTTACGTCAGAATTCCAACATCAATCAGCTACTCTTAACATAAATAGTTTGCAGAGAATGTTTCAAAAAGAGCCCATTCATATTTATCATTAGGAACTTAAACGTCGCTAAGGTTCCCGGATTTACCACATGAGATATTTGTTGGTACGTCTACCATTAAAGTGTTTATGAAACGAATTTTGCCCCCCTCTTTTTTCCGATTTGATGAAAATCCACAGTTTTAGAAGCAATTTGATATATGAATAAGCATTTTCTGTTGAGTAGAAGTTAGTTAAGTTTACCGCTGAATACGGACCTAATGTGTGAACTTTTCAAGTGGCCATGTTAATAAGTTATGACGTCATAAGTGAAACACGTTTTGTTTACGAACTATAGATTTATATGGTCGACGACACATTCCTCTTCGTTTTCTTGCTTGAAAAAGACTCCTGCTTATCTAGTTATTATAATATGCTAATATAAACATTTTAGAAACATGCAGATGGCTGGAAATATAACCTTTTGTAGATATTTTATTGGAAATTTTCTCTGTTGTGTAAATCTAGATTTGAAATATAAATGATAACTCTGTAACAATGCGACTTATTTTGGTGTTTTTTTTTTGTTAGTCTCACGATTCTTGAGTAAATCGCTTAAAGAAAAAATTACAGGAAAATCGCATTGAACTCGACCATATTTGATGGGCTTGGATCACATGCTTTTTATCCGAATTAACATACATAAAAAAAGTATAAGAATTTCTATAATACAATGTGAGCAGGTGTAAAGAATATAGAGCCATTTTTAAAAGATAAGAGTACTGCTCTCACAAACTATGTACCGTAAAACTCCCTGATAAATAGGTCCGGCTTTTAAAGTTATTATTTGGCTCGAATATTTATCATAGTTTGGCATCAAATATTTATCATTTGGCTCGAATATTTATCACATCCTGCTTTTTCTGAATATTCGCTGTGTGAAAGTTACTTCATTGGACAAATTTGGCAAGGTTAGACAAAAGTGTACAAGAGGTACAATACGACCTGAAAAAGTATCAGGACGTTGAATTGAAGCAATCTTGCCTAGCAATTTCTTATCAACATGTTTTAAGCTCTACGTTTGCATAACATCGTAACTAAATCGTTTTTAACTGCAGTGAACAGTAAGCTCAGCAACCAGATTTGACTACAAGGTAGCTACATCATCTGAAATCTATATACTATTAGACGATTCACAGTTCTACAATATGCTTGGTAAGCAGTATCAGCTTTAGATGGAAAAATACCTTTATCCTCTAAGGCTTCGAGCTCATTCGCTAGAGAGCGCCTCTCGTTTACAATAGTCATGTGTTGCCGCAAACGTATTATTTTTGCGGTATTAGTTTCAATTTTTGTAACCCGTGAGTTCAACCTCCACACATCAGACTGCATCATTTTTTAGAAAATAAGAGATTCATCACTTAAGGTATTACGTGTGACGCACCATCAGGCAGACTATTGGACAATTCATCCTGAACGCCGTCCACAATGCCGCTGGCTTGAATCTAAAATCACTCAAAATTTTCCGTCAGACAAGACTATTTTTGCCGTTCAGAAGATTTTTTCCCCACTAAAGTGTCTCTGGTGGGAAGTGCATTCTTTTTTATTTTCATTTCACAGGGGAAATTTTTGCATTGCCAATTTTTAAGCAACCGATGTAGAGTTAAGCCGGCGTGCAATGGTACAAGAAGGCGCGAGCTACGTGAAGCGACTTTGTCACAATGTCAACAATGACGGAATAGACAAGCAATGTAAGCAATAACAGAACATATGTCTGAACTACGATGCGAGATAAAGTGCAAAATCGGAATGTTTAAAATCATTAAATTAAACTTGGTTAAACTCATATAAGGAATATATGGTATCCATTGAAAACAATTTACGAGTTTGTGAGTGTAAGGATGGAAGGCAATCCAAATATTTCACGAAAGTACAATCCAAACAATTACAGATAAAATAACTCCAAAAAACTTAAAATATGGCACGGAGTTGATTTAACTCATATTTACGAGTTAGTTTAAGACATCTAGACTTCCTTTGACTCAACAGCCTTTACAGCATATTTTATATTTTTAAGTTGAGCAAAAGAAGAGTTAGTTGACTCGATCAAAAAAGCCACTTCAATTCCCTGAAAAGAAAAGGTGCAATGTTTATGGACAACATCTAAAAACATAAGATACGACTTACGAGAAGTTTCCTTTACTGTTGTTGATGTTGAGTTGAAAGGAGGTGTTGCTGTGCCATACAAAGTTAAGCGAAATCCAAAGAGAGTACCTGAAAGTAACACATTTTGATTATTTTTGGTAAAACATTCAGTGTCTACTACCATGAGTCGTTTCACTACAGTGATTTAACAGTAACGTGTTACAACAATTTGAATACAAAAATGTATTGCCATCTGACGCCTACGTGAATAGCCATAACAAACACTTCATCGCAATACTAATTACAGCAAATTATTAAAACAGCAAATTGTTTTGTAACAGTTAACTGCAAGTGCTAAACAATATGTCCAAAATATATTTATAAAAAAAAACATGTTAATACTTTTGCGGTGATTGCCCTAGAGCCGTGTTTGCATTAGCCTGTGCAAAACGACCTGACCTCAACCAATCAAGTCAATCAAGCAATCAATCAATCAAAAAGAATTTGCAAATTAATCATGAATACATTTTGCAAAACCATTATCAACCACAATGCAACGCGCAGTAGTTTGTTTACATTCGTGCTAAATATGATAATTCATTCCATCACACGATAATCTTTCTCATAGACTCCTCGTTCAACTTCGACAAGCTGTACGAAGTTTATCAACATACCAAGTTTTGTTCATACTATTTAAGGCATGTTTTCAACCACTAAGCTTGCCATAGTTTTGAATGATTATTTAATTACCCAAACAGATCTCTTTATGAAAAAAATCACTGGCCAGCTCGTAAAAAAAACGCCACAAATTTTTATACATACACAAAAAATGCATAGAATATCTAAAGAATACAGACTGATACAAAGTTTGTCTACTTACTCAAGCAAGAAAATTGCAGCTAAGATCATTTGAGTGCGCGTTGCATTGTGGCAGACAATGATCTTTTAAAGCAAAATTAAGACTTGTCCTTTGAAATTTGTCTGTTTAGCTTTATTCTTATTTCATAATAGAAATAAAGCAGGTGCAACCTTCAACCTTCCACCTCGGGCTTGCACTGATCTGCTCTCGAGTTCTACCAAAGGTAACCTAGGTTTGCATAAGCCTGTACAAACACAGTAAACATCTTTTATTTCTTTAACAACAGTTTACTGTAGTATTGTTTAACCAATGAAAAAATCACATGCAACTTACCGGGCCCGGTACCCTGGGAAGGAAGATAATTTTTGAAAACAACTCGCCACTCCCCTAATGAAGACTCGCCCCAAAAATGGACAGTGAGGGTCGTCAAATTCTCGTATCGTTTGTATCCAGCTAAAGCGTCTAAAACACGGTGACCAATAACCTTTGACCTAGTACCTTTAGGTGACGTAATGTAAGCACCAAGGACACCAAGTTTAAAATATTCCAAATTAAAGGTAGCAACAACATGCTCCAGATGATATATAATTCCATTATTACATTTAGTTCCATCAAAAAGGATGTTGAATGTGGTTGAATCAGCTCTAAAAATGATTAGAAAAATACTTAAGAAACTCTTTTTTCTGCGTCTCTGCGTGGAAATGTAGAATAAAAATTCAATAATATTTCACGCCCATAGCTTCAAATATCTGGTTTAAAGAGCACTAATTCAAAACAATTACCTCAATGGTTGCCTCTCAACATCAACCTCACACATTAATTGAGGTGGCAGAGAATGGTTGAATTTCTCAGCGTTGTTTGCAAACATCGAAGCATCAACAATCCGAAGCCGACTTGATTATTCACTGTGAAGATAAATTGCTCCTCATAAAAATCTTTTAGTAAAGGTAATTGTATAGTTACGAGTGTCATTATGGAAAAACATGCACGAGTAAAAACTAAAGAAAAATAGCGCGGAGACCGAAGGAGCTATTTGCAGTCTTTAAAAAACTCACGATTAAATCTTTAGCCTTAATTGCACGAGAAACTATACTATTACTTAAAAAAAATATACTTAGAGATATTTCTTGACTGTGCCGCCCAACTCTGTGTCGCTTCGTTACTCTCTATAGCTTCAGAAAAGCCTCGTTCTGCGGCCTAACAATAAAAACATTCACCCTAATAACAGTACATGCTGTTTTGTTTTTAGTCTTTGTATTATTTTGTAGTTCTTGAATTTCAAACGATTGCAATTGTGGAAACTTTGTTTTCTTGAAACTGCCGCCATGCATGTTTTTTTTTAAAAGTTTTTTTGACTTTTATTGCTTATCAGACAATCAGGTTAAAAGTTTACAGCGCAATTACACTTTCCACAGAAAAATTGAGGTTTTCTAAAGCGCAATTACAGCTTTTCTTCAGTTCAATTACAGCTTTTCCACAGAACAATTACAGCTTTTCTACAGTGCAATTACAGGTTTTCTACAGAACAATTACAGCTTTTCTAAAGTGCAATTACAGCTTTTCATCAGTTCAATTACAGCATTTCCACAGTTCAATTACAGCTTTTCCACTGTGCAATTACAGCTTTTTTACAGTGCAATTACAGCTTTTCTACAGAACAATTACAACTTTTCTACAGAACAATTACAGCTTTTCTAAAGTGCAATTACAGCTTTTCATCAGTTCAATTACAGCTTTTCCACTGTGCAATTACAGCTTTTTACAGAACAATTACAGCTTTTCTACAGTGCAATTACAGCTTTTCCACAGAACAATTACAGCTTTTCTACAGTGCAATTACTGATTTTCCACAGAACAATTACAGCTTTTCAACAGAACAATTACAGCTTTTATACAGAAAAATTACAGCTTTTCTACAGTGCAATCACTGATTTTCCACAGAACAATTACAGCTTTTCAACAGAACAATTACAGCTTTTCCACAGAACAATTACAGCTTTTCTACAGAAAAATTACAGCTTTTCTACAGTGCAATTACTGATTTTCCACAGAACCATTACAGCTTTTCAACAGAACAATTACAGCTTTTCCATAGAACAATTACAGCTTTTCTACAGAAAAATTACAGCTTTGTACAGTGCAATTACAGCTTTTCTACAGAACAATTACAGCTTTTCTACAGTGCAATTACAGCTTTTCCACAGAACAATTACAGCTTTTCTACAGTGCAATTACTGATTTTTTACAGTGCAATTACACATTTTACAGTACAATTACAGTTAAACTGCATTGCAATAAAGCAATCACAGTGCAGAAATATCTCAAGGTATATTATTAGATATGTCAATTAGTCATACATTCAGACATTATAGACTACGTTGCAGTCAGATTGTACATGTGAGCTCAAAAGTAATCGAACACTTAGTATTTCGAAAACATTTTGCCTTGGGATTTGAACTGATCACAACAACTATTTGTAGTATAGAAAAGTTGACATGACACTTTTCCGTCGTATTCATTGGAATACGCTCTACAACACCATTTATGAGCTATTTACGATAGCCGTGTGCATTTGTGCAAATTACTAAGTTGTAAATAGCATGACATACAACAACTCTTTTCAGATGTAATGAGTAGCTGCTTCTTGGTATGCCGTCCTGTAGCATGAACGACTTCAATACGATCGGGAATCGACTTTAAAGTATTTAATAATCAGTAACAGTGGGATAGTTGTAGCAAATGCGTTCAGTTTTCTTTAACAAATCATAAGCGTAAAGCGTAAAGATATGTTTAAATTGCTTGTTCAACTGTCCACCAAACATTTTATAAATTATCGAAATTGGGTGTATGGGATTGCATCCCTATTCGGCAAAGGGACTATCGATTTTGCAGACCATAAACCCCAATAATATTTCTTTCAAACAAAACCAGGTAGCCGAGATTTATCAGCGCACAAACTTATCACTTAAAATTCTGTACTAAAATACGTTGCTGTTGCCATTCTACAACTTTCAGCAGGCAGTATGAATTCGTAAAGAGCTGGTGTCCAATAACTTACTGAGCGCTCCTGTAAGTCTATCCAGGTTACAAAAAACTGTACTACTTATAGATATATATTTTCAATTTCATTGTCATTCAATACTTCATTATATATAGACGTCCTATTTCCATGTTATGCAATACTATACTGACAGTCACAGATACTATTTTTCTTAAATAATAAAATAGAGACTTTGTCGGGGTTACAAATTTAAGAATTGCTTTAAGAACAGCAAATACCATGGTGAATGGTCAAATACTTACGTAATAATTCTTAAAAAACTGTTTACGACATAGCATTCGAACACTAAAACAAGAACACTAAGCTATAATTCTAAAAGAACTGTTTTTTAGAATTGAAAATAATACTGAGAGTTTGTTTATTGCCGGCAACGTTGTCTTTATATTTTCGAAAAAAACTGTTCAAACCCACCCAAAAAGAGTTTCTGCCTGTGCTTATGTGAAGCAATGTAGCTTACGAGTGCAAATGTGAATGTGAAGCTCGCTGTGTAGAAAGAACTTCTCAAAGGCTGAATGATAGAGCAAAGCAACATGCATGTACCAGCTTCTATCAGAAATGAAACAGTTCTTTTAAGACTACAACCAAAACGTGATTGTAAGAGTGACAATTTAGCGTTATGCGATTCAGCAATCGGAAAACATCTTTTGAGCAGCACTCACAGTGCAAATTCATATTCTGATCATGATTTTAGAGTTGCTAAAAATGTCGCTCGTTATTTCAATTACGCGTCGTGGAGACTGTATTAATTAAGTTGACTAGCAGACAAAAGTATTATGTTTTCAATTTATCTCTGTTTTAAGAGTCATCTCTCAATTCGGAGACGACGTTGAATTTTGGTCATATTATAAATATCGCATAATTTCAAAGCTCTCGTTTAGCAGACGTTGACATCTCATGAGTAGTCTGCCAAAATGCATAGTGTCTTTTATCTTTAAAAACATTTCTTTTTAGAATTTTTGGATTAGTGTTCTGGTTTTACACAGTTCTTTTAAGAACTATTACGTTAGTATTTGACAATTCAACATGGTATTTGCTCTATTTAAAGCAATAATACTTTTCTATGTAACAAAAAAATCTGTTGTGTAACAAAATGCTCAACTATATATGAAGTATCACTCATCTTTTTATAACGCTATATAGATTACTACAGGTTAACGTAACCCATCCGTTAGTTACACACTATGTGTAAATGTTTCTTTCTTAAGTTACAAAATGGTACATGGATGTTTCATTTCAAAATTATATAATGTTCTACTATCCATAGATGTTCAATTTCTATGTTACTTAATGGTCTATTATCAACAGAAGTTCAATTTCCAAATCACACAATGCTCGACATTTTGAAAGATTTGATTTATATTTTTGACATAGCCCGAATCTTTACATGACGTTAAACAACACAATTAAGTGACGTAGTTTCCAACACGAATAGTATAAAATCATAAATTGCGTTTGTTTACAACAAATTAAGATTATTTTCAGCAAGAACATACTGAAGTAATCAGATCATTCGACATGACTTGTCGAGCAATTTTATCATAGTCATCAGCAATCATTAAGATATATTTACCAAGGCAAAATGCACTTTCAACACTTAAATACGATCATTACTTTTGTATGGAAGGTAAGCTTGCCAATAGAAAACACCCCTACGCTTGCAGACTATTAGCACGTACAAAAAGGCAGAATCTTTTGTAAAATCTTAGTGAAAAGTAACGGTACCTTGAAAACCAGCTTTATTTAAAATTGGTACAACAGATTTATCAATGACGTCCATTCTGCTTGATTTCCTTATGAGATGATGCACAGCACGCCATGTAAGTGATTTTCTAAAGAAGTGAAATGAAAAGTTTTGTTCAAATTGGGATGGTCATACGCTATATTATAAATGCAACATATTTTTTTGGTGCATGTTGCAGTAAAGTTAAGGCTAATCCAAGCAGCCACCCCAATGATAGGATCTTTCGAAAGGGCAGCTAAATAACTAAAGCCTAGTTCAAACGTCGAACTTTATATGAATCAAACACATTTAAAACAAAAGATAATAAGGAAGTTCATCCCATTTTCTTTTGTCTTTAATGCGTTCGGTGTATTTAATACGGTGGCTCACAAGGGCCACCACACAAAATAAAAATATTAATACACACAAAAAATAAAAATACACACACACAAAATAAAAATACACACACAAAATACATTATACACACACAAAATAAAATTACACACACAAACTAAAAATACACACACAAAATACATTATACACACACAAAATAAAAATACACACACAAAATATGATTGCGGGCGCTTGCAGTGTCGGATGGTCTGACTATCATATTATCAGTTTGTAATCAGATATGTGTAATTCACTAATAGTGATTTTAACATGTGGTCGACTTGTCGTCGTATTTAACTGTTTCAACTGCGAAACATTCGAAAGCAAGCTCTTGCATAATCCTGGCATAATTATGTTTTGTGCCAACTGTGGTGCACAATCACTTGACGAAGCTTCTTTTTGTCACAAATGCGGTGTGCGTTTGGGAAGATTAACTTCTTTGCCAAAATGTTCTGAAGTGTCAATGACGAGTAGCGTCTCTTCAAGCAGTTGCCCTTCGAGCTCTGCAAGTCCGTTAACTTCAACTTCAAGTACCCCAAAGCTGTTTATAACTGGTACAGGACAGGCTAGAGCAATAATGTCCTTTCAAAGGACAACACATTAACCTTAATTTTAACCAGAATACGGGGAGCAATATCGTAAGCAACTTTGAAATAATTGATCACAGTGAAATTAGTGCATTTTGTTATGTACTCTGGAAGTTGGAACCATTAGAACTTTGAAAACAAAAGCGATCAATTACGAGCAATTCCGAGTAAGCCGACACTGCAAGCGCCCGCAATCATATTTTGTGTGTGTATTTTTATTTTGCTTGTGTATTTTTATTTTGTGTGTGTATAATGTATTTTGTGTGTGTATTTTTATTTTGTGTGTGTATAATGTATTTTGTGTGTGTATTTTTATTTGTGTGTGTATAATGTATTTTGTGTGTATTTTTATTTTGTGTGTATAATGTATTTTGTGTGTATTTTTTTATTTTGTGTGTATAATGTATTGTGTGTGTATTTTATTTTGTGTGTGTATAATGTATTTTGTGTGTGTATTTTTATTTTGTGTGTGTATAATGTATTTTGTGTGTATTTTTATTTTGTGTGTGTATAATGTATTTTGTGTGTGTATTTTTATTTTGTGTGTGTATTAATATTTTTATTTTGTGTGGTGGCCCTTGTGAGCCACCGTAATTTAAAGTTCGACGTTTGAAACAGGGCCAAGTTTCTTCCAAAACATAACTATAAAAAAGCCCGTTTCAAAACATGAATATATCTACAAAAATCTGGGTCAAAGTATACCTAGCTTGCAGACCAAGAGCTATTATTTCAGAGACCACAGCCGCTGCACCAGATGTTTGACCAAAAGATGAAGAGCATGCTTGGTCATTTGAAGCGGATGCAGTTTCCTTAGAATAAGAAGCTTATAGTGCACACATTTATAACACATATCCATGCATAACCAATCAGAAGCCGTAAAAATTGGAAAATGAAAAAAGGACAGAGCTTGAGTAATATGCGGCACATCATTTGTGACAAGATAAAAAACCTACCAGATTATCGGCGAAAGCAGCCGTCATAACAGCACTACATGGCTCAGAACTGAGTATTGGTTTTCCGTTTTTGTCCAGAGCAGCAACACCAATTGTGTGAATATTGTTTACAAAACCATTAAAAGCACAGTTGTCGCCAAAGAAAACTCCATTTCCAGCTGAGAAAACATACAGCGATCGGCGACCATTTCGTCCCTATATGTAGGAAAAGTTAGTATGTTTACATTTTTTTACGTATGTTAAATTTTATAAATCGCATATTATACATTTACATTCACAGTTTTAAAAATTCTCTGTGCTCACCAATCAAATCAACTTTTTAGAACATTAAAAGCCGATTGCGCTAGAACTTACTAAAGATAAAACGCTAGAGTTGGAAGTCGCTTCGCACCGTGTATTTCATTGGTCGTTACATGATAAAATAATGGGAGGTACATATAGCAATCTGTGAAATTTCATATGAATTTTTACACTATTGTGGTAATATGGCCATCATGCTCCCATGCAAGGTTGAGAATCTTTACATAACACTATAAAAAGCCGTCAAACAAAATGTTCATATATCAAACAGCCATTCACTATCTCTGTCAGTTTCAGATCATTCCATGTGTCAAGTCATTTTGCAATCAAAGTTTTTTGTTTTATTTGCTAATTGACTCTCTGCTTGCGCACCTCTAAATTAATACGAAATATTTCCTTGGGCCAATACCAAAGCACGTAACTTTGTACTAGGGAAACAATGCGATTACAAAACAGCAAAAAATTGTATCAAGAGAAAGGTTAAGTATACGATACACTAACAATTACCATCGCAAGAGGAAGTTCTGCCGCTGCCCATGTCATTTGCAAGTAAAAATTTGTTTCGGTAGAGTTGGACACATTTACAGTCACGAGGTGGCATCGTATTCAAGCATAAAATGCAAATTAGCTTGTCTGGTGAATTTGATACCTTATTAATGATAGATAAAGAAATTTTCATGTGCGTGTCCTACAACTATTAACATTGCGTTGCCCGTTGGCAAGGTTTATTTCGAAGTTAATAAATCAGCATTTGTCCAAATTTTAGAATACATCAAAAGGTTTTGCCGTTGGCTTTGTTTACAGCTTGCTTCGAGGCTTGCTGTCTATCATAAATATCTCCAATGCTTTTCCGGTGCTTTACATTCTATTTCATTTCAAAAATTTTAAACATAAATTCATTGCCATTTTGAATGAAAACAATTTTTTAAAACAATACTTTCGTCTTCAGCAATTGGTCATCAAGCTTTTTCAAGAGTATGATACTCACTCGTCCAATAAATAGAATGCAGATTTTGATGTGTAAAAACAGGAAAATTTTGACGAGATAATAGTGTTGTATTCTTTGTCTATGGCTAGCCTTGTCCTATATGGGTTTAAATTAATTCTTGCTTATTTTTGACGTTCTGTTACATCCACACTGATATTATAAGTAATCATAAAAACTTGAAAGAAAATACGAAGGTTGTCCTTAAAAAGTTTATTAGGGGTGTGTGTAATCTTTTCAAGCAACTGGCCAACGAACTTCGACAGAATACACTATAGGGGAAGCCTCGTCTTTTTCCAAGGTCTACTCGATGACGTCGGTTGAATGTGTTAATTTATTAATTAATAACGCAATAATATGTTAAAATTATATGTAGCAAGTTAATGTACTAAAGAAATATTTTTAACATATAGTCATGGAAAAGACGCTACATCTTCTTCGCGTCAAAATGCACACGTCTTTTTCAAATTTGCCCAATTTTGAAAGACTGCTTGAGGAGATCCAACGCGTTTGAAACATTCTTTTCACACAAAATTAGCATAAGGGATTCCCAAAGATCTTGATGCTGATTTCTTTTGTTTCCGTTGTTAATTTCACGATTAATATTTACCCCCAAATTAACGTTCTAGTTTCGCCTCTGAAAATAACATAAGTGCAATAAAAATCATGCAGGAATGATTGATTGCAGGTCTTTGGCAAAGTGGTACACATTCTAATTACTCGTCTAAAGAGTAACTTAATAAGATCTTTCCTTAAAATGGGTCCGGTGTTCTCAAGAGCGTATTAGAATTTTGCCGTGGTTTACGTAAATCAGTTCGAGATACACACATTTAGCCAGCACTTAATTCGGTTTAGTGACATTCTTTGCCATCAACAACAGAAATTAAATGTGAGGAGTCTTATTTATTTGTTCCAACCACAATTTTCGGATAAAGGAAATAAATCAAAACATCGTTTATCTTCTGGTATAATTACCAAATACGACTATCCATAACCTTTCATCTTAATGTAATTTGGCACTTTGTAGCTTTTAATGGGAATAACTGACAGCCAGCTGGTAGCTACATGTCATTCTGTCTGCCCTGGTAGTAATCTTAAGGAAGATCATGTAAGATCTTATAAGACCCTAAGGTAAGATCTTATGAAAGATCCTAATAGGATCCTGCATAGAATCTGACGTATAAGATCTTACTAAGACCCTAAGTTTTAAGATCTTAGTTAAGATTTCTACCAGGGTGACGATTTTGTGGAAATAAAACCGAAATATTGCAATTCTCAATTTATCTTGTTTATAACACAACGTAGTTCTTCGGATTGTGTTTAATCTTACACTTAGTCAAATTGTCTCGGAGGTAAAAGATGGTTGAGATAAAGTGGCACTCGTCTATTCATCAAATAGTTATAGAACAACAAAACCCTTGACACAAGCGCAGTTTAAGGCAAAAATAACGCTGGCTCACAAAGTGAAAAAGTGGTAAATTCAAAGTTAGATAAGTTTATGACTGAGAATTATCTCAAAAGTTAGAAACCCTAAATTAACCCTAACCCAATCTCCAGCTCTCAAGCTAACATTTTATTACGTTGTTTTTACTTTTTCACTCAATCACATCATTTCATTTTAAGCTAGTAAAGAGTGAAATGGAATGTTTTGTTGTACAGTTGTGTAGCTGTCAGTGTTTTTTGATTTTTAATACTCCGCCCGGCCCCCCATTCACTGTCATACATGCCCACAGTGTTTATGGTCAACGGAAATGGTCTACCGGTGTCCGCTAAACTGCACTCAAGCCAAACCCTGTACGTAAGTGTTACCTTTATTACGCCATTTAAGAAAGCACGCCGTGTTAAAGGCCCTGGGCCCTGCACTTTAAAGCCTACGTCAGGTGGACCCCAACTGCAGGAAAAAACATCAATTCCGTGACCATCAAACGGAAATATTGCTCGAGCAAGAACTGAGTCTTCAGGAATACCAGACGATGTTAACTGAATTCCTTGAAAACAAAAATGAAAAATTTTGTAAACAAACGACCTGTTACGTACGTTAGCCAGCCAGAAAGTAAAAAAATTTCACCACGTGACTCGCACAAAAATTCATACAGGTGTGATACGTTTAATTTGTAGTGGCATTTTACCGGCAATCTTGGCGTTGTAAGCGATACCAACACCACAGATACCATTGTTGGCAGCTCCAGCGATAACACCAGCACAGTTTGTACCATGTCTATAAAAATATCACGACGGTTATAACAATGTTTAGTAACAAAGCACAGTTAGTACCATGTCTACAACACTACCACAGTTGACGTACCCAGACGGCAAGTCTTAGTTTTGCAATGTAAATTTCAAAAAGTTATCGTTATTTATTTCTATTGAAATCTATTGTTTTTGCAATGAGTGAAAAGAACAAAATTTGCATAGCCGGACCAAACTGGCAAGCTTGCTACGTCACTGGTTATAACCAGTTTACAACAGCAACAGCACATTTAGTATCATATCTATACTAATTCTACAATATCAAGACTGCCATATCTATAATAATTCTATAGTATCAAGACTGCCATATCTATAATAATTCTATAGTATCAAGACTGCCATATCTATAATAATTCTATAGTATCAACACTGCCATATCTATAATAATTCTATAGTATCAACACTGCCATATCTATATTAATTCTATAGTATCAAGACTGCCATATCTATAATATATCTATAGTATTAACACTGCCACATCTATAATAATTCTATAGTATCGACACTGCCATATCTATAATAAGTCTATAGTATCAGCACTGCCATATTTATAATAATACCAACACAGTTAGTATAATGTCTACAGTGGCATGTGAATGGCTAGCACCCAGTCAGACTATTTGACAAAGGCAAACATGACAAACCCCATATTGTACAATGAAGCACTAATTTTCATACTGCATTTTGAACAGAGACTTTGTTGAGATGAAAAGCTTAAAATACTGTCTTAAACTGAGAGAACATTTGTATAAAGCAAATTCCGAAAAAGTACGACATCTTGAGATTGCAAAATATGCATCAAAACAAGACAAGAAGTGAACTGGAAATTTTCGACTTCATTTCAAAGTCATCTTCAGAAAGTTTCTGTTTTGATGCATATTTCACTATGTCTTGCTTTTTTGGAATTTGCTTTATACTATATTTCTTTAAATTGTCAGCTGGTCATGGTTTTTGAGAAAATATTTACCATGGAGAATAGTGACCACATAACATATAGTTAGATCTAACATGAAATGGAAATGTTGCAAAACAAAAGCATGCATGTCGGTACACAACTTACTACTTATCAGGCATCTAAGACTACACTTTCTCACTGCTTGTTTAGGCATTGCTTAGGTCCTACAAAGGTTGATGCTTGAGGTGTGCACTTTAAGGATGTTTTCCTTGATTCTCTCATTTAAATATTGGTGATATAGTATGGGAGATTTGCTATAGTATGCTGCATTGTGAAAATTAGGCTTGCCTTTTAAATTCATAAACAGAGCTCATAAAAAATGCAGGAAAGAATTCATAGGTATCAATCTTGAAAGACAAATGTCCAATTTATACCCTTCGTTTAATGTTTGTCAATTTAAACAATTAAGGGTAAAACATAAAGGCTTCCCACAATCATGCTTTGTGAACAAAGTCTTACTCAGATGCATAAAAATTATATTTATGTATTATACATTTAATATGTATGAGCTATGCAAAACAGCTCTCTGATAAAAAATCACTTGTGATACATACTCATCTGTTTTGTTTGGTTCGAGATCGTTGTCTACATAGTCACGACTTAATGAGGGATCCTGTTGTGTAAGATTAAAATATTAAAAAACAGGTTTGAGTTATTTCATCAGCTAATTATGATCACAAGACATTGAATACTAGTTTCATTCTCATTCCAACTGCAACATAGAAACAAGAACAATTTACTAAGGATAACATAGTTTAACACATTCTAACACCTTCCATTTATTAATATCAAAAGATCTTCAATAAATGTCTGACACAAATGAAAAAGCCTATGAGAGGCTGTGATAGCAGTTTATAACTTACATATCGTCCTGCAAACTCCATGTGCGTATACCTTAGTCCTCCATCAACCACAGCAACAGTAACACCATCACCAGTATAGCCTTTCTCCCAGACTTCCTTCACCCTATGATCAGCAACAATACCTCCACTCTATATAATAATCAAACAATTTTACAATATTACTGCAATATCCTAGTTTATCACCACTGTTGCCAATAACAATGATATCATACAAGATATTTTTGCTGTGGCCATCTTGCATCATTAAATAGTACAGTTCTCTTATTTCTTTTTTTGCTTTTAGGATAAGCATCAATTTAAAGAGAAGCATTAGACATGGGAAAAAAGTGAAAAGGAAAATCAAATTTGCAAATACTTGTAAAACTGATCATTTCCAATGAATCTCCATTCATTTCTATTTTATTTCAGGGTACAATTGGTATTTTCTCACTCAAAATTGATTCAAAATTTCATGTTTCGAAAACTAAAGTAATAGAATATAGTAATAATGTAAAGTTAGGGATAAGACTAGGGTCAGACTTCAAAAGTTGAAATCATACGTAGCCGGGCATATAGAGCAGCAATTTTTTTATGAAATATAAATAAGATTCTATTAAAAAATCAGCATTATTATTCCAGAATACATCAAAAGGAATAGATGATTAAAGCCAAATTTCTTTTTCTACAACTTTCATCGTTACCTTTGTTTTTTGATTCAATATTTCACTGTTGTTATCGTCATAAATTCGTAGAATATTCAACGACTTTCGCTTTAAGATAATTGCTTCTTCTTGTTCTCAGCAAAGCTATAGTAGCCAATAGCTAGCACCGTAAAACTGACGATAATTCCACTTTGTCTGTACATTTTGTCAATTACTAATAAATAAAAACCAAAACCCTACGATGGCCCAGAAAAAACACCAAAAACTGCTAAGCATCGCACGCGTCTTAGCAACACTAACTCCTCGTCTGTCGCAGCGTCGCTTCCTCCTTTTACATGTCACTTGTCAAAATCACAAGTCACAACCACGAGTACTTTGCATATTTCCTGTTAACAGAAATTCCACTTTAAAGGAAATTTGTTAAGGAAAGCTTTGATAAAAAAATTGGATTTCTAAGAAAAAATGAAATCAACTAAACCTGAAAAATTTTCCAAAAATCTGACAAAAATCTGAATAATTTTTTAGAAATATTTACTACATTCCATATTATATTTTTTACTATAAAAGTGCAAAGCAATTATTATAGGAAATATCATAATCATGTAAAATTAATTGTCAAATCATGGGTCAAATTCATAGAGTTCTATAATTAACTGGAGCGGCTATTATCTCAATCACGGCTTTGTCGGCTGACGCCAAAAAATGGAGGAAATGCTCTATTTCCGCTGAGATTTACCGAAGTTCTCTCCCCCTAAAGAAAGAGAGAGAGGGAGGCACCTTGGAAATTTTATGTTTTCCTTACTATAAGTTGTGTATCATACTATCGTAAGAAATATCACTCAAATTTGACATAAAATCCTTAAAACTGAACTTCTGTTCAATGAAAAGAAAAGATGGATGAAAATATAGCGTTCTTAAAACATCAACACAAACGCGGTGAATTAATAATAATCTTTAGTAATATACTGGTTATTCATATTTAAAGATCAGATCTCCCATGACAACAATTGAATCCCATGTTAAAACAGCACAACATAAGGACCTCTTTTCCAACATGATGGTGAGACTGTGATCTTAGCTGTCCTACTGTCATACATGAAAACACTTTTATGCTTCTCTATCCTCTTTCGAACTCCAAAAATAACAACTTGATCTCTTTATCGAACGGTTGCCATTCTAGTCAATGGATGAGATAATGGAGGCATTTTTTTCATGGGCAATTTCTTTACTTTCACAAATCTGGACAGTTGTCTTTATGTCATTGAACTTCCTGTTGGTTTCGAAACTAATCTTTGCAGCAATGTTAAGCGGAAAAAAGAAAAATACAAACATTTAATAAAAGAGCAGAGTCATCGTTTCAGACATGTTAAACTAATCAATCGCTTTAAAAATACATTATGGGTGTCTTTGCCAATGAGTGCTCTAGTTTCTTAATTATGTTCGATAAAATTGGCATGGAGAAGAAACATCAAAAATACTGCAAAAGAATTATCTCTATAATTTTAGCATGTTCAGATTTTAGTAGTTAAAGTCATTATTCATTATCTTCATTACGTCATTAGTAATTACTTTTTGGTTGTGATTCAACTAAGATTTGTTTTTGATTTCTTTTCAAGTATCGCAAAGTTTTTGTTTGCGTCAAACAAATAAAGTATGGTCATCGTGCCAGTTAAGATTGCCAAAAAATATTTTCAACTTTACTGTTCGCTACATAAACAATTCTTTACCAACAAGGAAAAACTTCACAAAATGGGCTTACTTGTCTTCACTAGATAGTACCTTCTATCTTAAACTGAAACCCTATTTATGTCATTGCTGGCCTTTTCTTAGCGATATTTGCAGTTGTAAATGTATGAATGATTCAATTAAAAATCATATTGTAATTACTAACACATATATTCATAACAAAAAATCCGATAAATATGGTCAATTCGGTTTCTCGTATAATCTTCTCAATTCAATCTATTGGTTTCAATTTATCGACAATGCAGCAGTAATAACCAGCAAGAAGTCAGAAACCAAAAATCTTTTCACTCGCTTTCAACTTTGCTGCAACTGGTCTAGTATGGTAATTCGAGTTGATACATTGACTTTGAAATGTCAAACAATCAGCACCAAAACGAATTGAGGTCCACTCTTACTAAGCTGGTGGTCGAATGTAACACCCGAGAATATAACCTAAAAACAAAATTGCTCTCAATACTCGATGCGTTTTTCGTAAACTATGGCATTTCACCATCGCAACCCTTTTAAAAACCTGGATATCCGATCCCATTGTCCACCAATACACACGCAAATAGTTAGAAATACCAATATCAGAAACCCTAGGTAACGTCTATCTGAGCTATTCCGAAATTGGTCTTAACGTCACTCAACCATCCACTACATTCACTCAATGGCAATGCACTATTCTAAACACTTTAAAAACAATACATTAAAAACATCCGGCATTTTTGTAACTCAACAAATAATCATACTAATATTCAACATGATCAATATAAAACAGCAAAGGAAGTTTCATGGTCCTTTCAAAATCAACAAGTAGACAAACTTCGAAATCAACTACAGTGTCAAAGTCCAGCATTTCAAAATTTCTTTACGAAAACAATTACAACGTGGTCGTGAAGACGAACTAAATAAAGCATTTGCGATAAAATACTAGAAAGATTTTGCAAATGTTAGGAGTGTAAAACCTGAAGCTCACTTGTACATGATTATTGTAATTGGTTTCTTATTTTAGGCCGTGAGCAATTTTGCGAAGACTTTTTTTTGGCTGAAACTCACGTTCAGTAAACCATCAATCAATCATTGATCAATCAACCACTAAACAAACTGAGAACGGTATAAGGTCCATGAAATAATCACTTTTGCTTCAAATGCTTTTCAAACTACACTTATATTACACAAACGTCGTTCATTTATAACACAAATATTCACCATACTCAAAACGAATGTGAAAACATCGTGACAACATCGTGAAAACATCGTGAAAACATCGTGAGAAGCATTTTTGACTATATTTTGTATACGTACTTTCATTGACAGCCTGTACATGCGTACTTTCCACGCCGATGTCAACAGGATTGCTCTCTCTTGAATAAATACGCTTTATGCGGTAAAGACTCAAAGCAACGAGCACACAAAACACGAAGACACCTGCCAAGACAACACCAACGACAGCTCCAGTTGAAACTAAAAACATAAATCATGTAGATACATTAAGGCTTCTGCGATTTTGGGGGAATTATATACAACTTTGTAAGACGTATTCGTACAGCAAAGTTTTTCACACGACTGTTGGCTTTTTACATTCATAAAAATACACTTTGTCTTAAAAAACAAAACGCAAAGATTTATAAACGAAAAACTATAGATTGCTGCATAAAATAAATAGTATTTTTACGAAACGCATGCAAGGAAGTTTACTGCATTGACACGTAGGCCATCGTCTCCCAAAAGAATGGAATAACTGAATAAGGCCTCTCAATGCAAAGCTATAGAGCTACTTTTAGATTCAACAAACAATTTGTTCCGTTTTATGAGAGACACGTTTTTATCAAGATATAAAACGGGTCTTCATGTCACTGCATGGCTACAACAGACCATCAGCAGGATCAACAAAACGTTAAAAATGCTTTCTTTGCGGCATCTGTGGTGTGATGTTTCTGCGCTCACGTCTATCTGTTTGACTTCTGAAAATTCCCCATCGTCGCAGTTCAACAATAACTAGGTATATGCTCTTTAATAGACACTCAACTATGCCAACTTCGCATTTTATTATGGCTGCCAATTCTACTTGTCTTTTTAAAAAACTCTTGGGAACAAATGAAACAGCCGATTACAATTCAAAAAATGTCGCTTAGCAACCTTTTACTTAGAATATGACTGCCATAAAAAAACAAGTCTACTTGAGATAACAAAATATGTATAAAAACAACACGCAAAAAAAACTGTTAATTTTCGATGTGGTTTAGAAAGATGACTTGTTTTTCGGACTTTATTTGTTGCTTTGCTTTTTTAAATTGTCGGCTGAAAATGGTTTTTGGTTTCTAGTGTACTTTGTGTACATATCCTGAAAAAACGGTTTCCTCGGTAACTCTAGATATCGAGAATTGACAGTTCAGCAAGCTGACAGTGAGTAGTATTTATATCTTAATATTCGTGCAACAAAAGATATACAGACAAACTTTTTTATTAAGCGAGCAAAATGTTCCACCATTTGCATCTTCGTGGAAGTAGCTGAAAAGGAAAGAGCTCAACTTATGTCAATTTGAATAGGCAGAATTTATGATTTACTTGCTTTCACATGAAAGGATACAATCACCAAAGTCTGTTGCTCTGGTTCTCACTTTAAAACCCTACACTGACTCAACAACAATATGTAATCTATTGCACAAATTTGGACACTGTGCATCCTATGATACTGTAGTTCGAAATGAAACTGGCTTAGCAATACAAAGAATGGAAACAAAGAAACCTGTTCCCAAGATTTTTGACCAGGGATATTTACTGTTGCAGTTAGGCACAATATTGAAAAGGAAAAAGAAACTGTGTCTATAGAAGAGGTACAACTCATCACATAGCGTCATATTAGTGTAACCCTTAAGTCAGAATTCCAACATCAATCAGCTACTCCTAACATAAATAGTTTGCAGAGAATGTTTGAAATAAAGCCCATTCATGTTCATCATTACGATCTTAAACGTCGCTAAAGTCCCTTGAGATATCCGTTGGTACGTCTACCATTAAAGTGTTTATGCAACGAATTTTGACCCCTCTTTTTTTCCATTAGACAATAATCCACAGCGCTAGATTTAATTTGATGTATAAACAAATATTTTCAGCTTACTAGAAGTTAGTTAATTTTATTGCTGAATGTCCGGACCTAATGTGCGAACTTTTCAAGTGGCCATGTTAATAAGTTATGACGTCATTAGTGAAACACGTTTTGTTTACGAACTATTGATTTATGAGGCCGACGACACATTCCTACTCGTTTTTTGCTCGAAAATGACTCCTGCTCAACTAGTTTTTATAATATGCTAATATCAGTATTTTAGAAACTTGCAGATGGCTGGAAATACAGCCTTTTACAGATATTTTATTGGAAACATTCTCTGTAGTGTAAATCTAGATTTGAAATATAAATGATAACTCTGTAACAATGCGACTTATTTCGGTGTTTTTTTGTTAGTCTCACGATTCATGAAAAAATCGCTTAAAGAAAAAATTACAGGAAAATCGCATTGAGCTCGACCATATTTGATGGGCTTGGATCACATGCTTTTAATAGCTTCACAGAAATAACACAATAGTAATGGAATGTCACTAGAGAGTAGCAACAAGAAAAATACCGAATTACATACATAAAAAAGAGAATAAGAATTTCCATAAGACAATGTGCGCAAGTTTAAAGAATATAGAGGCATTATTAAAAGAAAACAGTACTGCTCCTTGATAAATAGGTCGGGCTCTTAAAGTTATTATTTGGCTCAAATATTTATCAGATGTAAAAATCATCTAATAGCTGTAGGCAACATAAGAATCATTCCATATGTCATGTTTATACAACAATATATAGAGAATCCGGGCGAGTTTTTCTAAATTATCATTGAATGCCTTTTTGATTTATCATACTAATCATACAATGGGGAAACGTTTTTACGTTCAGGATGATATATGTACATAGGGTAGATGCGAAAAGATTTATAATAAAACGTTAGAGACAATAAAATAGTTTTGCTTCGAATACCTCTCTATTTACTGGCTAGAAATAAAAGAGCTTAAGAACTCCGACCTTTTTATCCCACGAAAACATGTGTGTAAAAGGACAGTGGACTATGCAACGACAAGCAAAGCACCTCCTTGCATCAATAGCTTGCGATCAGGAAACAGAGCAAACTATTAAAAGAGATACTAAATCTACTGGAGGTCTCCGGGGCATTTCGCTAAATTGCGGTTGGATTTCTTTGGGTGTAGAAACAACCCAATTTTGACAATTAGTGAACAGTAGTCGTAACATTACAAGCACAATTAGTATAGGCATTGCCCTGCAAATAGAAATCATCAGTATAACCAGATGATCATGTCCTTTTTTTCAGGATGTTGTGTGGATTGGTTCAAATAGTTTTGTGATTTTCCTAAGAACACTACAATGACCATTATATTAATAAAACTACGCACTTATAGCAGAAATTTGCAATTTTTTACCAACAGGTATCACTGGCAAGGAGTAACAGGCGTCTCTTAAATTCATCGAGGCCACACAACAATTAGGTGTCATTAGTTTAATAATAGATCACAGCGTGATCACCATTTTGAAATGGTGATCTGCAACAAAAGTAAAAACAGATGTTTCAGGTTAAGAATCATACGAAAAAGGCCATCTTTTAGAGCTCACAAAGATTGGTGTGATAAACTTAAACAATACATGGTATGAGGGAACAATATAGCAACAATCTTAGCAAGAACTTGAGATATTTAAACTTCAGTCACTTCCTTCACTGATGCATTGAATTGGCATTGACCAATTTGACCAAAAAATGTAGGGAGGGTGTCCCTCAAACAACTCAAGTTCAAAACTTTGACAATACTCAAAATTTCAGGATCAGAAGTAAGTTTGATTCATTCATGCAAAAATTGAGAGAATTTCTATGCTTGGAAATAACCAACTCGATTGTTTAAGTCAATTATCAGATTAAAATATAATGCCCATGAAAGCTCACCATGGAAATTACTTAAGTCCTGGTTCCCCTGGTGGTGCTATTGACCATGAGGTGATAGCCTTGGAAACTATGGTTCGTTGCATCGCTATGGTCTCCTTCTGCATAAAAATGTCGCAGTGGAGGCACATTGTCATTTTGCCAAGAATACCCATTGACTAATTTTCTTCAAAGTCTTTAAATTATTGAATTAAGCTTGAAAGTCACCATTAAACAAGTTGATAGTGATCGGTAATTTTTCTGAATAATAGGCCACAAAAGCCTTTTTAAAAATTGGCTACATAACTTCTCTACGATGATGAGACAACTTGGCAAAAGCATGAAGAGGCATGTCAATAACATTCATGTTGAACTGGATGAAATAAAGGGGGATGGTCCATTTGAGTGGCATTATTTCTGCCACTAAAAGCATGTTTGTGGTACAAATTATAGAGCATCCTGCTTTTTCTGAATATTCGCTGTGTGAAAGTTACTTCGTTGGACAAATTTGACAAGGTTAGACAAAAGTGTACAAAAGGTACAATACGACCTGAAAAAGTATCAGGACGTTGAATTGAACCGATCTTGCGTAGCAATTTCTTATCAACAAGTTTTAAGCTCTACGTTTGCATAACTTCGTAACTAAATCGTTATCAACTGCAGTGCACAGTAAGCTCAGCAACCAGATTTGACTACAAGGTAGCTACATCATTTGAAATTCTATATACTATGTGACGATTCACAGCTCTACTGTATGCTTGGTAAGCAGTATCAGCTTTAGATGGAAAAATACCTTTATACTCTGAGGCTTCGAGCTCATTCGCTTAAGAGCGCCTCTCGTTTACAATAGTCATATGTTGCCGCAAACGGTATTATTTTTGCGGTATTAGTTTCAATTTTTGTAACCCGTGAGTTCAACCTCCACACATCAGACTGCGTCATTTTTTAAAAGATAAGAGATTCATCACTTAAGGTATCACGTGTGACGCACCATCAGGCAGGCTTTCGGACAATTCATCCTGATTGCCGTCCACAACGCCGCTAGCTTGAATCTAAAATCACTCAAATTTTTCCGTCAGACAAGACTATTTTGCCGTTCGGAAGATTTTTTCCCCACTAAAGTGCCTCTGATGGGAAGTGCATTCTTTTTTATTTTCATTTCACAGGGGAAATTTTTGCATTGCCAATTTTTAAGCAACCGATGTTGAGCTAAGCCGGCGTGCAATGGTACAAGAAGGCGCGAGCTACGTCGAGCGACTTTGTCACTATGTCAACAATGACGAAATAGATAAGCAATGTAAGCAATAACAGACCATATGTCTGAACTACGATGCGAGATAAAGTGTAAAATCAGAATGTTTAAAATCCTCAACATAAACTTGATTAAACTCATATAAGGAATATATGGTATCCAATGGAAACAATTTACGAGTTTGTGAGGGTAGGGATGGAAGGCAATCCAAATAATTCACGAAAGTACAATCCAAACAATTACAGATAAATAATTCCAAAAAAACCCTTAAAATATGGCACGGAGTTGATTTAACTCATATTTACGAGTTATTTTAAGTCATCTAGACTTCCTTTGACTCAATAGCCTTTACAGGACAACTTTAGGGGTAAAACATATTTTATGTTTTTAAGTTGAGCAAAAGAAGAGTTAGTTGACTCGATCAAAAAAGCCACTTCAATTCCCTAAAAAGAAAAGGTGCAATGTTTATGGACAACATCTAAAAACATAAGATACGACTTACGAGAAGTTTCCTTTATTGTTGTTGATGTTGAGTCGAAAGGAGGTGTTGCTGTGCCATACAAAGTTAAGCGAAATCCAAAGAGAGTACCTGAAAGTAACACATTTTGATCATTTTTGGTAAAACATTCAGTGTCTACTACCATGAGTCGTTTCACTACAGTGATTTATCAGTAACGTGTTACAGCAATTTGAATACAAAAATGTATTGCCATCTGACGCCTTCGTGAATAGCCATAACAAACACTTCATCGCAATACTATTACAGCAAATTTTTAAAACAGCAAAATGTTTTGTAACAGTTAACTGCAAGTGCTAAACAATATGTCCAAAATATATTTATGAAAAAAACATGTTAATACTTTTGCGGTGATTGCCCTAGAGCCGTGTTTGCATTAGCCTGTACAAAGCGACCTGACCTCAACCAAACAAGTCAATCAATCAATCAATCAATCAATCAATCAATCAATCAAAAAGAATTTGCAAATCAATCATGAATACATTTTGCAAAATCATTATCAACCACAATGCAACGCGCAGTAGTTTGTTTACATTCGTGCTAAATATGATAATTCATTCCATCACACGATAATCTTTCTCATAGACTCCTCGTTCAACTTCGACAAGCTGTACGAAGTTTATCAACATACCAAGTTTTGCTCATCCTATTTAAGGCATGTTTTCAACCATTGCGCTTGCCATAGTTTTGAATGATTATTTAATCACCCAAACAAATCTCTTTATAAAAAATATCACTGGCCAGCTCGTGAAAAAAAAAACGCCACAAATTTTTATACATACACAAAAGATGCATAGAATATCAAAAGACTACAGACTGATACAAAGTGATTCAACCAAGAAAATGCCGCTAAGATCATTTGAGCGCGCGTTGCATTGTGGTTGACAACGATCCTTTAAAGCAAAATTAAAACTTGTCATTTGAAATTTGTCTGTTTAGCTTTATACTTATTTCATAATAGAAATAAAGCAGGTGTGCAACCTTCAACCTTCGATCTCGGGCTTGCACTGATCTGCTCTCGAGTTCTACCAAAGGTAACCTAGGTTTGTATAAGCCTGTACAAACACAGTAAACATCTTTTATTTCTTTAATAACAGTTTACTGTAGTATTGTTTTACCAAAGAAAAAATCACATGCAACTTACCAGGCCCGGTACCTTGGGAAGGAAGATCATTTTTGAAAACAACTCGCCATTCCCCTAATGAAGATTCGCCCCAAAAATGGACACTGAGGGTCGTCAAATTCTCGTATCGTTTGTATCCAGCTAAAGCGTCGAAAACACGGTGACCAATAACCTTTGACCTAGTACCTTTAGGTGACGTAATGTAAGCACCAAGGACACCACGTTTAAAATATTCCAAATTAAAGGTAGCAACAACATGCTCCAGATGATATATAATTCCATTATTACATTTAGTGCCATCAATAAGGATGGTGAATGAGGTTGAATCAGCTCTAAAAATGATTGGAAAATACTTAAGAAACTCCTTTTTCTGCGTCTCTCCGTGGAAATGTAGAATAAAAATTCAATAATATTTCACGCCCATAGCTTCAAATATCTGGTTTAAAGAGCCCTAATTCAAAACAATTACCTCAATGGTTGCCTCTCAACATCAACCTCACACATTAATTGAGGTGGCAGAGAATGGTTGAATTTCTCAGCGTTGTTTGCAAACATCAAAGCATCAAGCAATCCGAAGCCGACTCGATTACTCACTGTGAAGATAAAGTATTCCTCATAAAAATCTTTTAGCAAAGGTAATTGTACAGTTACGAGTGCCATTACTAAGAAACATGCACGAGTAAAAACTACAGAAATATAGCGCGAGACCGAAGGAGCTATTTGCAGTCTTTAAAAAACTCACGATTAAATCTTTAGCCTTAATTGCACGAGAAACTATACTATTACTTAAAAAATATATACTTTGAGATATTTCTTGACTGTGCCGCCCAACTCTGTGTCGCTTCGTTACTCTCTATAGCTTCAGAAAAGCCTCGTTATGCGGCCTAACAATAAAAACATTCACCCTAATAACAGTACATGCTGTTTTGTTTTTAGTCTTTGTATTATTTTGTAGTTCTTGAATTTCAAACGATTGCAATTGTGGAAACTTTGTTTTCTTGCAACTGCCGCCATGCATGTTTTCTTTTGAAAAGAAGTTTTTTTGGCTTTTATTGCTTATCAGACAATCAGGTTAAAAGTTTACAGCGCAATTACACTTTCCACAGAAAAATTAAGGTTTTCTAAAGTGCAATTACAGCTTTTCTTCAATTCAATTACAGCTTTTCCACAGAACAATTACAGCTTTTCTACAGTGCAATTACAGCTATTCTACAGAACAATTACAGCTTTTCTAAAGTGCAATTACAGCTTTTCCACAGTTCAATTACAGCTTTTCCACTGTGCAATTACAGCTTTTTACAGTGCAATTACAGCTTTTCTACAGTGCAATTCCTGCTTTTCCACAGAACAATTACAGCTTTTCCACAGAACAATTACAGCTTTTTACAGAACAATTACAGCTTTTCTACAGTGCAATTAAAGCTTTTCCACAGAACAATTACAGCTTTCCTACAGAACAATTACAGCTTTTCTACAGAACAATTACAGCTTTTCTACAGTGCAATTAAAGCTTTTCCACAGAACAATTACAGCTTTTCTACAGTGCAATTACAGCTTTTCTACAGTGCAATTACTGATTTTCCACAGAACAATTACAGCTTTTCAACAGAACAATTACAGCTTTTCTACAGAACAATTACAGCATTTCTACAGTGCAATTACAGCTTTTCTACAGAACAATTACAGCTTTTCTACAGAACAATTACAGCTTTTCTACAGTGCAATTACAGCTTTTCCACAGAACAATTACAGTTTTTCTAAAGTGCAATTACAGCTTTTCTACAGTGCAATTACTGATTTTTTACAGTGCAATTACACATTTTCACAGTACAATTACAGTTAAACTGCATTGCAATAAAGCAATCACAGTGCAGAAATATCTCAAGGTATATTATTAGATATGTCAATTAGTCATACATTCAGACATTATAGACTACGTTGCAGTCAGATTATACAAGTGCGCTCAAAAGTAATCGAACACTTAGTATTTCGAAAACATTTTGCCTTGGGATTTGAACTGATCACAACAACTATTTGTAGTATAGAAAAGTTGACATGACACTTTTCCGTCGTATTCATTGGAATACGCTCTACAACACCATTTATGAGCTATTTACGATAGCCGTGTGCATTAATGAAAATCACTATTTTGGCTTTTATTGCTTATCAGACAATCAGGTTAAAAGTTTACAGCAATCATTAAGATATATTTACCAAGGCAAATTGCACTTTAAACGCTTAAATACGATCATTACTTTTGTATGGAAGGAAAGCTTGCCAATAAAAAACACCCCTGCGCTTGGAGACTATTGACATGTACAAAAAGGCAAAATCTTTTGGAAAATCTTAGTGAAAAGTAATGGTACCTTGAAAACCAGCTTTATTTAAAATTGGTACAACAGATTTATCAATGACGTCCATTCTGCTTGATTTCCTTATGAGATGATGCACAGCACGCCATGTAAGTGACTTCCTAAAGAAGTGAAATGGAAAGTTTTGTTCAAATTGGGATGGTCATACGCTATATTATAAATGCAACATATTTTATTGGTGCATGTTGCAGTAAAGTTAAGGCTAATCCAAGCAGCCACCCCAATGATAGGATCTTTGGAAAGGGCAGCTAAATAACTAAAGCCTAGTTTAAACGACGAACTTTCTATAAATCAAACACATTTAAAACAAAAGATAATAAGGAAATTCATCTCATTTTCTTTTGTCTTTAATGCGTTGGTGCATTTAAAGTTCGACGTTTGAAACAGGCCCAAGTTTCTTCGAAACATAACTATAAAAAAGCCCGTTTCAAAACATGAATATATCTACAAAAATCTGGGTCAAAGTATACCTAGCTTGCAGACCAAGAGCTATTATTCCAGAGACGACAGCCGCTGCACCAGATGTTTGACCAAAAGATGAAGAGCATGCTTGGTCATTGGAAGCAGATGCAGTTTCCTTAGAATAAGAAGCTTATAGAGCACACATTTATAACACATAACCATGCATAACCAATCAGAAGCCGTAAAATTTGGAAATTGAAAAACGAGAGCTTGAGTAATATGCGGCACATCATTTGTGACAAGATAAAAAACCTACCAGATTATCGGCGAAAGCAGCCGTCATAACAGCACTACATGGCTCAGAACTTAGCATTGGTTTTCCGTTTTTGTCCAGAGCAGCAACACCAATTGTGTGAATATTGTTTACAAAACCATTAAAAGCACAGTTGTCGCCAAATAAAACTCCATTTCCAGCTGAGAAAACATACAGCGATCCGCGACCATTTCGTCCCTATATGTAGGAAAAGTTAGTATGTTTACATTTTTTTACGTATGTTAAATTTTATAGATCCCATATTATACATTTACATTACACAGTTTTAAAAATTCTCCGTGCTCACCAATCAAATCAACTTTTTAGAACGTTAATTAGGGGAGTATATATTCATAAATGCAGCTCTGCCCTGCTGATTTCTTTTGTTTGCGATTTTAGTTTCACGATGAATATTTACCCCAATTAGTGTTCTAGTTTCGCCTCTGATATTGACAAATGTCAGATAACAAGTATACAGGAATGATTGATTGGAGGTCTTTGGCAAAGTGGTACACATCCTAATTACTTGTCTGAAGAGTAACTTAATGAGATCTTTGCTTTAAATGGGTCCTGCGTTCTCAAGAGCGTATTAGAAGTTCGCCGTGGTTTACGTAAATCAGTTCGAGATACACACATTTAGCCAGCACTTAATTCGGTTTATTGACATTCTTTGCCATCAACAACAGAAATCAAATGTGAGGAGTCTTATTCATTTGTTCCAACCCCAATTTTCAGATGAAGGTAATAAATCAAAACATCATTCATCTTCTGGTATAATTACCAAATACAACCATCCATAACCTTTCATCTTAATGTAATTTGCCACCTTGTAGCTAATAATGGGAATAACTGACAGCCAGCTTGCAGCTACATGTCATTCTGTCTGCTCTGGTAGAAATCTTAAGGAAGATCATGTAAGATCTTATCAGATCCTAAGGTAAGATCTTATGAAAGATCCTAATAGGATCCTGCATAGAATTATACGTATAAGATCTTACTAAGATCCTTTTAAGATCTTAGTTAAGATTTCTACCAGGGTGACGATTTTGTGGAAATAAAACCGAAATATTGCTATTCTCAATTTATCTTGTTTATAACAAAACGTATTTCTTCGGATTGTGTTTAATCTTATACTTAGTCAAATGGTCATCGAGGTAAAAGATGGTTGAGATAAAGTGGCACTCGTTTATTCATCAAATAGTTACAGGACGACAAAACCTTGGCACAAGTGCAGTTTAGCGGGCACCTTGTGTCGTTACTCAGCAAAAATAACGTTGGCTCACAAAATGAAAAAAGTGGTAAAGTCAAAGCTAGATAAGTTTATGACTGAGAATTATCTCAAAAGTTAAAAACCCTAAATTAACCTTAACCCAATCTCCAGCTCTCAAGCTAACATTTTATTACGTTGTTTTTACTTTTTCACTCAATTATATCATTTCATTTTAAGCTAGTAAAGAGTGAAATGGAATGTTTTGTTGTACAGTCGTGTAGATGTCAGTGTTTTTTGATTTTTAATACTCCGCCTGGCCCACCATTTACAGTCATACATGGCCACAGTGTTCATGGTCAACGCAAAGGGGCTACCGTTGTCCGCTAAACTGCACACAAGCCAAACCCTGTACGTAAGTGTTACCTTTATTACGCCATTTAAGAAAGCACGCCGTGTTAAAGGCCCTGGGCCCTGCACTTTAAAGCCTACGTCAGGTGGACCCCAACTGCAGGAAAAAACATCAATTCCGTGACCATCAAACGGAAACATTGCCCGAGCAAGAACCGAGTCTTCAGGAATACCAGACGATGTTAACTGAATTCCTTGATTCAAACAAAAATGAAACATTTTGGAAACAAACGACCTGTTACGTACGTTAGCCAGCCAGAAAATAAAAAAATTTATCACGTGACTTGCACAAAAATTCATACAGGTGTGATACGTTTTATTTGTAGAGGCATTTTACCGGCAATCTTGGCGTTGTAAGCGATACCAACACCACAGATACCATTGATGGCAGCTCCAGCAATAACACCAGCACAGTTTGTACCATGTCTATAATAACATCACAACGGTTATAACAATGTTTAGTAACTAAAACACAGTTAGTACCATGTCTACAACACTACCACAGTTATAACCATGCCAGTCTATAAGAACACCAGAAAAACTAGTATCATGTCTATAATAACACCAGTAGAGTTATAACCAGTGACGTACCCAGACGTCAAGTCTTAGTTTTGCAATGTAAATTTCAGAAAGTTATCGTTATTTATTTCTATTGAAATCTATTGTTTTTACAATGATTGAAAAGAATAAAATTTGCATAGCAGGACCAAACTGGAAAGCTTGCTACGTCACAGATTATAACCATTCTACAACAGCAACAGCACATTTAGTACCATATTTATACTAATTCTATAGTATCAACACTGCCATATCTATACTAATTCTATAGTATCAACACTGCCATATTTATAATAATAATTTTATAGTATCAACACTGCCATATTTATAATAGTTCTATAGTATCAACACTGCCACATCTATAATAATTCTATAGTATCAAGACTGCCATATCTATAATAATTCTATAGTATTAAGACTGCCATATCTATAATAATTCTATAGTGTCAACACTGCCACATCTATAATAATTCTATAGTATCAATACTGCCATATCTATAATAAGTCTATAGTATCAGCACTGCCATATTTATAATAATACCAACACAGTTAGTATAAAGTCTACAGTGGCACGTGAATGGCTAGCACCCAGTCAGACTATTTGACAAAAGCAAAGATGACGAACCCCATATTGTACGATGAAGCACTGCATTTTGAACATAGACTTTGCTGAGATGAAAAGCTTAAAATACTGTCTTAAACTGAGAGAATATTTAGTATAAAGCAAATTCTGAAAAAGTAAGACATCTTTAGATTGCAAAATATGCATCAAAACAAGACGAGACGTGAACTGTAAATTTTCGACTTTATTTCAAAGTCATCCTCAGACAGATTCTGTTTTGATGCATGTTTTGCAATTTCAAGTTGTCTTGCTTTTTCAGAATTTGCTTTATACTATATTTCTTTAAATTGTCAGCTGGTCATGGTTTTTGAGAAAATATTTACCATGGAGAATAGTGACCACATAACATATAGTTAGATCTAAAATGAAATGGAAATGTTGCAAAACGAAAGCATGCATGTCGATACACAACTTACTACCTATCAGGCATCTAAGACTACACTTTCTCACTGCTTGTTTAGGCATTGCTTAGGTCCTACAAAGGTTGATGCTTGGGGTGTGCACTTTAAGGATATTTTGCTTGATTCTCTCATTCAAATATTGGAAAATTCTCTCTGAGTGATATAGTATGGGAGATTTGCTATACTATGCTGCATTGTGAAAATTAGGCTTGCCTTTTAAATTCATAAACAGAACTCATAAAAAATGCAAGAAAGAATTCCTGAGATACATACTCATCTGTTTTGTTTGGTTCGAGATCGTTGTCTACATAGTCACGACTTAATGAGGGATCCTGTTGTGTAAGATTAAAATATTAAAAAACAGGTTTGAGTTATTTCATCGGCTAATTATGATCACAAGACATTGAATACTAGTTTAATTCTCATTCCAACTGTAACATAGAAACAAGAACAATTTGCTAAGGATAACATAGTTTAACACATTCCATCACCTTCCATATATTAATATCAAAAGATCTTAAATAAATGTCTGACACAAATAAAAAAGCCTATGAGAGGCTCTGATAGCAGTTTATAACTTACATATCGTCCTGCAAACTCCATGTGTGTATACCTTAGTCCTCCATCAACCACAGCAACAGTAACACCATCACCAGTATAGCCCTTCTCCCAGACTTCCTTCACCCTATGATCAGCAACAATACCTCCACTCTATATAATAATCAAACAATTTTACAATATTACTGCAATATGCTAGTTTATCATTACTGTTGCCAATAACAATGATATCATACAAGATATTTTTGCTGTGGCCATCTTGCATCATTAAATAGTGCAGTTCTCTTATTTCTTTTTTGGCTTTTAGGATAAGCATCAATCTAAAGAGAAGCATTAGACATGGGAAAAAAGTGAAAAAGAAAATAAAATTTGCAAATACTTGTAAAACTGATCATTTCCAATGAATCTCCATTCATTTATATTTTATTTCAGGGTACAATAGGTATTTTCTCACTCAAAATTGATTCAACATTTCATGTTTCAAAAACTAAAGTAATAAAATATAGTAATAATGTAAAGTTTGGGATAAGACTAGGGTCAGACTTTAAAAGTTGAAATCATACGTAGCCGGGCATGTAGAGCGGCAAATTTTTTTATGAAATATGAATAAGATTCTATTAAAAAATCACCATTATTATTGCAGAATACATCAAAAGGAATAGATGATTAAAGCCAAATTTCTTTTCCTACAACTTTCATCATTACCTCTGTTTTGTGATTCAATATTTCACTGTTGTTATCATCATAAATTCGTAGAATATTCAACGACTTTCGCTTTGTCGTTGCTTCCTTCTTGTTCTCAGCAAAGCTATAGTAGCCAAGAGCTAGCACCGTAAAACTGACGATAATTCCACATTGTCTGTACATTTTGTCAATTACTAATAAATAAAAACCAAAACCCTACGATGGCCCAGAAAAACACCAAAAACTGCTAAGCATCGTAGGCGTCTTAGCAACACCAACTTCCCTCGTCTGTCGCAGCGTCGCTTCCTCCTTTTATATGTCACTTGTCAAAATCACAAGTCACAGCAACGAGTACTTTGCATATTTCCTGTTAACAGAAATTCCACTTTAAAGGAAATTTGTTAAGGAAGCTTTGATCAAAAAATTGGATTTCTAAGAAAAAATGAAATCAACTAAACCTGAAAAATTTTCCTAAAATCTGACAAAAATCTGAATAATTTTTTAAAAATATTTACTTCATTCCATGTTATATTTTTTACTATAAAAGTGCAAAGCAATTATTATAGGAAATATCATAATCCCGTCAAATTAATTGTCAAATCATGGGTCAAATTCATAGAGTTCTATAATTAACTGGAGCGGCTATTATCTCAATCACGGCTTTAATTCTCGGCTGACGCCTTAAAATGGAGGAAATGCTCTATTTCCGCGGAGATTTACCGAAGTTCACAATTTCTCTCCCCCTAAAGAAAGAGAGAGGAAGGCACCTTGGAAATTTTATGTTTTCCTTACTGAAAGTTGTGTATCATACTATCGTAAGACGTTTGACTCAATTTGACATAATATCCTTACAGCTGAACTTCTGTTCAATGAAAAGAAAGGATGGATGAAAATACAGCGTTCTTAAAACATCAACACGAACGCGGTGAATTAATAATAATCTTTTGTAATATACTGGTTATTCATATTTAAAGATCAGATCTCCTATGAAAACAATTGTATCCCATGTCATATACTGGCATTTCAATGATAAATGTATGAGTAAGGGTCGTCGACAAATACATTTTATCCACGCATCGTGGACTTTCCCTGCAATTATCTGAATCCCCTATCCCCACCCACCCCCCCTAACCCATCGCAGACCAACGAGAAAATGTATTTATAGATGACAAAAAAAGCACATTGTAATTGTCAATAATAATGCAGTGCCCTAACTTAGAAGATATAGAAACCAAGGACGGCGGAACATCGATGAAGGTATATTATTATATAATGTTTTACTTTATTAGTTTCTGTTAAAATCAATCGTGACTTATAGATTATAACATATGAATACAAGAATATGACCCTCCCCCCAAGTATCGATGTTCCGCCGCCAGTAATCAAAACATAAATATTCGTTTATTTTGCCATAACATTCTTGTTGTGAGTATAAATATTGTGAAATATTACTGATTTTTTCGACAATGATATTTATTAAATCAGTTTGCGTCACATTTTTCTTAGAATTGCGGATTCTGGCCACACTCCTTTGCGGACAACGTCCACGATGCATTACGAAATCTATTTGTCGACGACCACTAAAAGTGTTTGGTAAATTGTGAACTAATTTCTGTGTAGGTTATTGGCTTTCTGTCGGTGTTGCAATAATTGTAAATAGCTATATTGCTTGCAAAATGTCCAAGAATGTTACTTATACAGTTCGCTGAGACTAAGAATAAACATTTTACAAGTAATAGTAAGTATCTACACCAAATATACAAAAAACATTTGTATTAAATCAATGTAGATACATTGATACTTAATATCAAATATTCACCATAGTGGATATTTCAAAAAATCATTATACTGAAAATTTTGGTATACATAATACATATTAAATGCAAAAAGCATTATTAATGCAGGAATGTCGATCGGGTTGAAAACGTGAGTTCAGACATTTTTGAACAAGTATTTTTAAACAATATTCTCATGTTTTTTTCACATGTTCTTATTCACAACAATGCATAATCAATGAGTTGTATAAGAATTGAAATACTATTTATTCTTATATTAATTATATTTAGTTTATATATTATATTAATCGATCTTCCATATCCTCATCACCATGCCTACACTGTAAATTTTGGGGGGTAAAAATTACCCTTAATGTTAGGGGTGAAATGAGTGCCACAGAATGCCCCGGTTTTGAAGGGTAATATTTTATGGGGGTAATGTTTATTTAGGGGTAAAGTTTACGGTGGTAATATTTAGTTAGGGGTAACTTCTATTAAGGGGTGAAATTTATCAAGGGGTAAAATTTATGGGGGTAAATTTTAAAGGGGTGATTTTGATGGACATGCAATTCCCCCATAAATCGGGGGTAAAATGAAATTACACAGAATGCTGCATTTTTTAGGGCAAATGAGCAAATACAGGAGGTAATGCTTCAATGGGGTTAAAACGAACTCTGAATCTATAGTAAGAATAAATGAAAATAGATCAAAAAAACAATCTCTTTATTTCAACAGAAAAGGAATGAGCGTAGCTATCTCGAGAATGGAGTGAAGGTTGGCAAATATTAAAAATGCGCGTTATTATCAATAAAAAAGATTTGATTCAAGGAAAAGTAACGAGGTTCAACATGCAAACATAACTACTCAACCATTGACAGAGTATTGGCAAACATAAATACTCTACTATTGGCAGAACATTGATAATTGGGAGGGGGGGGATTTAAATATTCAAATGTTATAATTCCTAAAACTAATTAATTTCAATGTAAAGTAGAACGGGCACAAATGAATAATAGCGCCCCCCAATTTTCAATATTCCTACGCCCTTGAGTACTCCCCTCAATAATTGAGCTAGCTACGCCAACATAAAACATGCGTACACCGTAACAGAAAAAATTGTCTAAATGTCCAGTGTAATGGTTTAAATGTCTACTTAATGCTTACTTTAACCTGGCAAGAGCTTTAATAAATTTTTGCAAGCTAATTCTATTGGTAGCAGTGTGCTGCAACCCAACAAAAACGGAATCAATAAAAAGAAATACATCCTTATGATCTTGTGGATAAGCTATAGAAAATACATAGTATGTTGCATAGAGCGTAAAAAGGACTGTGTCTAAAGAAAATGAAGTTACGTCAACGAGTTGTCGTCCTTCGACGCACAATAGTAGCCTGTCAGGCTTCAGTATATTTTCACCAATAACCAAAACTCGTGGATAGGTGGTGCGGGTTATTTTGTTCGGCAAATCATCATCTTCCTAAAACATACACAGAAAAGAAAATGCTTCGGTGTTTGAAAGTTGCATCGATGAATGCACTGTATAGAAAACGTTCCTAGTAAATTAAAGAAGAACATCGACACAAGCGTTGCATGCAATTAATTAAGAAGTCTTTATCATTGCTTACCGACAGCATTTTCATCAGGCTGTTTTCAGACGTTTTCTTGGTTAGCAAATGGACTAACAGCATCACTGAACTTGTTGTTTCAAAGTCTGTTTAAAAGTTAACACAACTTAGCATTTATAAAATATTATATTTTCCTTAAATATTGTGATAATAGATTTACCATGCCGAAAGCATATAGGGATGACAGTGTCATCGCTACACCTTGTAATTTATAACACTCTGTAACTAAAAGCGAGAGACTTGCCAGGTGGGAAACGGATACGTATTATAGAAACAATTGCCCAACATAAAATTCGAAAAAAAAATAAAAAAATGGCTTTATTACTAGGCTATTTTTACCTACCGAAGGAGTCCTCTATTCCTTCTGATACTGCTTTTTCTAGGCACCTTAAAGTATTCTTGATGAATGGACTTTTTCGATTTAGTTCTTTACCGTACTTCAAGATTGCTTTTCGATAAGTAGAGAATGAAGACTTCATGTCTTTAACGGCACAATCATCTCTCATCACTCTGCAGTATTCATGGCGAATCTAAAATTGCAAAATAATATTTGTGAAATATCTGATTTATTGTAAAATATGGTGAAAGCAAGACTTTGTCACAATGTAACGTATTCAACCCCTAACCCCTTTAAGTGTGGATAAAGGTGGATATTGTTGTACGATATCTTCAACAGGAACAACTGTAGTCAATATGTTTCTTCGTCTGAAATCGTAAGTTGAATTCATTAATTCTTTAATAATTCCATAATCTTGAATGGATGATGATTTGCGGCATTCACTTTGCAAGTGCAAAATATGCTCCACGACTTTGTTTTGAGAACAAAAGAAAACTATAACACCCATGCTTCTCAAGTTGTACAGTATGGCGAACACTTCAGTAAAGTGTATGGCATCAACCGTACATCAATCCTAAATCTAAGCAGCTACTACCATGTCGTTGGTGGCCTACCACCACACATAATGCATGACATTTTAGAGGGGGTTCTGCAATACGAAACAAAGGAATTATTAAAAAATTATATAAGAGAGGAACGTTTATTCACTCTGGATACATTGAATGAAAAAATTGCCAAATACGACTTTGGATATTACAATGACACCAACAAACCATCACCAATATCAGAAGCAAAGTTATCATCAAATGACAACAGTTTAAAACAACATGGTACGTTGTTCATTGGAAATGCACAATGACTTATAATAATTATTATCGTAATATGTTGATGTAGTTCCAACATCTAGATAGCTGAGGTATGTGTTTTTATTTGATTGCAGCTGTTCAGATGTGGTGCTTGGCAATTCACTTACCACTCATAATTGGAAATATTGTTCCTCCAGAAAATGACCGATGGAAACTTTTTCTTAGTTTGCTACAAATCACATCTCTTTGCTTTTCACCTGTAATATCAAAAGATGAAGTGGCATATCTTCAAGTCCTAATCAATGACCACCACAATAAGTTCAAGGAGCTTTATCCCCACTGCAGCATAATTCCAAAAATGCATTTTATGGTCCACATTCCTAGTGCTATAAGCAGGTATTGTAAAATCAAACAGTAATAGAGTATTCCCTTCGATAGATATCAAATAGCAAGGTACTATATTTAAAACTTATAGAATGGGCCCTCTAGTTCGTGCTTGGTGCATGCGATTTGAAGCAAAACACCATTATTTTAAGAAGTTGAGCACTGTAATTGGTAACTACACAAACTTACCATTTACTTTGGCCATGCGACACCAACAATGGGTTTGCTATAAGTTGCAGTCTGGCAATCATGAATCAGGATTTCTCGAAAAAGGCATTGAAGTTGGACCAGGTACAGCAAATAATTTAAAGGAGCTATAGCAAGAAATGAGCATGAATTACAAATGTAAATTTAAATTTTTAAATTTAAAGGTCCAACACTATGTGCAGGAGATCATGAGAACTATGACTTATTAAGCAACCAGGATGTCTTCATACGTCAAACTACTTCTATTGCCAGGTATACTTTAAAAATACTCACTGAAACTTGAGTGAAATACGCATGGCAAAGCTTTTATCAATAAGGTAATTTTTAAAAAATTCAGGTAAAATGCAGTTATTGCACATACTTTTTCATGTATCGAGAAGTAAAAAATGTAATTTTAAGAAAAATTTATACAAATAATGACTATTTGCAATTTTCATGATTGAACATTCCTCTCCTAGTTTTTTTAGCTTTTGGCAGTTAGTTATTAATGCACTAATTCAATTAAGTAGATTTACAGAATGAAAATACACATTGTTTTTCTCAATATTTTAGACCAAAATGGATTTCAGTTCATGGTACTAAATTCAAAGCTGGATGTGTTTTGTGGGTTAGTCATGACAAAGAAGAAATGCCATGTTTTGTGATATTGAAAGACATTTTGGTGGTAGAAAGGAATTTGGAAAGAGCATGGTTCATTACTCAGAAACTTGGAACTGTCAAATTTCATGAGCATTTCAGTGCATATGAAATGGTTGACACAACTGAGCTACAGATAATTAAACAGCAAGAGCTACTATACCAATTGCCACTGCATTTGATTAATATTTCAGTTCATGGGCAAAACAAAATATTTGTGTGTCCAAAATATCAAATACCTGTTATTTAAGGAACAAAACCTTGCATTTTTACGTTGAATTAAAAGGCGAGCATAATATGAATTAAAACATAATCAGAAGCATAAACCTTCTCTAGTAGGAAAATATGTTTCCTATTGAAACAAAACACAACCTCTATTGCATTTGAGTTGATCAAGAGCAACAATCGCAAAGAGAAACGTACTCAAAAGAAAAATAGTCGGAACCCTAGACAGTTAAGATTCTATCTCCAGGTCATTTCGCCAAAATAACCTAAATGCAGCCTTTTTCATAGTATAAAATACAACGAAGTTCAGAACTTCAGAGTAATGAGAGCATGTATTAAGTGTTCGTTTACAACTCTTACATTACGTGGTGTTACTTAATTATACTATAAATCAATATATAATATATACTTACTTTCTTCAAAAAATCTTGGAGAAATAGACCATAAATTTTAATATTCCGACAAAGTGGTTTGGACTCTGTTGACAAAGAAGCATGTTTCTTCCACTCTTGCCTAATTCCGCCATGTTGATTTTAAAAAATGCGTTGCACTTGGCATTACACCAAACGCATGGGGTAATTTTTACACCCACATGTTGCATTTACACCCAAAGAGGGTAATTGTAAACATTACCATTATGTTGAGGGTAAAATTTAAACTACGGATAGCAAACTACCCAAGACTTTAGAGTAAATATTACCCTTCAGTGAATTACCCATCTGAAGGTAGTAAATATTACCCTAAAAAAAGATAACTTTTACCCCCTAAAATTTACACTATAGTGTTTAATTACAGATTAGGAGGCCATTTATCGTATAAAGTATAATAGACAATTATTGGATGAGGTTGAGCAAGATATCAAGAATTATTCACACAAAGGTCAACGTTACTTGCCAATACGAACTGAAGTTTAGTAATTGGTTTATTATTCACTTCAACTACTGAAATATCATTAAGACATATCATTATAAAACATTTTTCAAATTTTCGCCAATTAGTTTTCGTCGGACAGTTTATTTAAAATCTTCAGCTTAAAACATGTTTTAAATCTTGAATTTTTAAGTTAATAATTTCGTTTATCATTCAAAATGTTCAATATTTTGTTTTATAAAACTTGTAGTGTGAACTGCGTGATATGGCATGTATTTTTGATAACTTTGCTAGTATTTTCTCAAAAGTTTCAACTTATGCGATGTTTTTCCAGTCTCCTTTGCTTTTTAAGCTGCCGATCAGTAAATAAAAAGACATCTTATCTGGTTCGACCGATAACGTAGTTGAAGAAAGCTTATTTAAGCTATTTGATTGGTCAATAGCCAGATCAGTTGAGGATCTGGAATAATCTCGACCGATAAGCGGTGTGCGCGGACCGATAAAAGTGTCCAATTGCTATCGTGTAATTGGTTCGTTTAAATTTTTGTCTCACTGTGATTGGTTTGACCGATTTCGACTGATAGACAACTGAACTAACATAGCCAAGCTCATAGGCCGTATTTTATGGTGGATTATTGTTCAGGTTGAGATGCAGCAATTCATGACTAAGTAAAAACAACATAGATGTACTGATATGTACTCACTTAATATGAATCTGCCTGTTTACACCCCGAAAACTTGCAATCAAGAGAGCTAGAGCCATCAAAAATTCGACATTTATTTTCTATATCTGCCATATTGTTTTGTGTGAAATTCGCTAAATTTGCTGGTTCATATTAAAAAATCGGTGCTACATAATCATTAAGGATCAATCTATCTAAGTTAATTTGAAATGATATGTTTAGCTATTAATCTTCCATAGCTGCTGGATGGACAAAAAGACTGAAAAATGGAAAAACAGTTATTGAAATTGAATTGCGAAGGAGTCCTTCATCTTTGGTGTATATGATATAACGAAAATAAATCTAGCTCCTGCTGTACACACTGCTGAGCAGTACATTCTTAATAGAACATTTCATTGAAATCGTTTATGAAGTTGTCATGTGTATCGTCGGCATCATCGTAATCACTATCATCACACTCCTCCGGCTCTTTTATTGCGCCGTTATCTTCAGAGGCGTAGTTACTTCAGTCAGAACAACCGTAAAGTCAGTACATTGCAAATCAGATTTCAAGCACGAACATCGAAGATTCTTGCTACCAGCTTTACACTTGCATGTTACGCACTCGATTAGTTTATCTGGAGCAGAGGGTCCAGTTGTTCAAAGAATCTCTAACTGACCATTTTTCATGTGCCATCCATGCCTTACAGGAGGTTGAACATTAATGTGCGATTGCAAACAATTCTTCCAGATGGCTGCTTGGTACTTGGCTCTCTTAATGTGCAAAAGAAGGCTATCTGCATTCGGGGGAAGGCATTTGTCAGAAAACTTGCCTTGAACTCTTATCACCATAATGAAGACATATAAATTTATTTAAAGAAAGTGCTACTTGCTCAGGAAGATCAGATGTTGAACCAAGTACTTTAAATGTTTCGATTATCTCAGGATTATCATAAAGTACCTTCCAAGGTTTCCCTTTTCCTTTTCCCGTAAACGCAAACGTAGGATTGCAGCCTATGCCTAAAAAAGAAATCATACCAATTGTAGATCATTTTTAGCGCTTGAAGCTTTTTACTTTTTATTTTATGAGGATGAAGCCTCGATTTTTTCAACTATGCAAAGAAAAAATTATTAGGTTATGTGGATGTTTGTAGTGATACTAATTTCGAATGAACTTGCTGCGATGTGACATCTTCTTCACTTATCTCTGATTCATCTTCGGTAGCGCCAGTCTTGTCATTATTGCTAAGAAACCTTCCTGCCATATCACCTTTACACAGGTCTTCAGCATACATTATTTCCTTCTTATTGCAGAATTTCGGAGTAAAGAATGCAAGCTGGGAAAACCTGTCTAGCAAACGTTCCTTCAATCGTGAAGTCGTATAGCTTGAAGCATCGGCATTCTCGAAGCATCTAACTGTTTTGACAAACTTGTCTTTAAGAACATTCATGTAAAAGATTCCATGATTTTCTATGATTGCTTTCTTGATAAATTTGCAAAAATCTGCGAATGACTCTTCATATAAGCATTTGCGACCAGAACTACTTTCATTTGACTTTTTTGCACAGGTAGTATTATAAAGAAATGAGGTGTAGCTTTTTTAGCATTTACTATGATATTTTAATTCCAGAGCATTACATTCCTTGTCTAATATGTGGACCAGAATTCATCGGTCCTCTTTCCTGGTTTCAGTTTCACGTAGTTTTCCGCCATCCTTCGTTTCTGCGGTAACTACTTTGTCTAGAACTCTCTTTCTACTTTACTGACAAAAAACATTGTAATTGAACATTCCTCAACATCAGTAAGACAACAAAAAAAATCGTATCGTAGGTAGATTAAGTACAGAGCATTACGCTGTTACAAAACAGGTATTGGAATACCTATAAAATATTGGTTTATTTGTTACATTATTCACCGATTGAGTGACAAAGGAGTTTTCTTGCTAGCATATTATGAATATTGGTGGCAAAACTGCTTAATTTCTGCCCGGAGGTTTAGAACTGTCATGACAAAACGAAGATGATCGTAGCAGTTTCGTGTGAGGCTCATTAACATCTGTCGACTTATTTTCTTGTATATAGTTTTCATTGACAGTGGCTGCTGAAGCTTCAAACTTTTTGCTCATTCTTTTTTCAGCCCGTCTAATCAGGCCGACATTAGTAAACTTTGCATAGCAATTTCTATAGTACTTTAAGTCTTCACGGTACTCAGCCAAAGGACTTTTTAAATACTGAATTTTTCGTCAAATTTTTGTTCTTCACAGCGGTGTCTCTCTGCTCACCATTGTATAGTAACCAAAGCTCGTAACAATGTAAAAGTTTTTTCAAAGATGTCTCGGTAAAATCGGTCAATGGCCCATTTTCACCTTTAAAATGGATTATACATCCCCGCAAGCTCACCATTTTGTTGTTTTCATCATTGTGCACCCGCAATTTTTGCTATATTTTCAGCAGTTTCACAAATAAAACAAGATGGTGACAGGTAAAACGTTAAACGAATATTATGAAACTTTGGAGTACTGAAACACCAAAGATTGCAATTTCATGAGGTGCAAACAACTTAAATCATATTCAGTCAGTAAAAATAAGTAGTTTTCTGTGATTTTTATGTAGTCATGAATTTCGGCATTTAGAAATCATTTTTTAGAAGGGGCGGATCTAGGATTTTTCAAACATCAGTCATAAAACGTCGAAGGCGCTCCGCACCTGGGGGGGGGGGTCTGAGGCATTCTCCCCTGAGAAATTTTGAATTTCAGAGCCTTGAAAATGCCATTTTCAGCGTTTTAGAGCAATACAAAATGTATTTGTGGGCATCGTTTTTGCGTAAAAACAACACATTTTGCTTACGTTTTTTTCAAAAAAAAAAAATCAAGTGAACAATACTTAAATGTTTGCCAAATATTTAGGCTCATTATCATGCCAAATATATGGCTCATTAGCATGTCTAGGAACGTAAAATTTATTTTACAATAATGCCATTCAAAAACAGATATAGTCTTTAAACATTTCTACCAAGTTGTCAGGCATAGACAGTAGTTAAGGTGCAGTTATGGTCCCGGAAGTAAACGGAGCTCTTACCCGTGTCAATTAGTTTCCAGTCCTAGAAAGTAAACAGGGCGCGCGCGTGTAAACCGGAAACGAACTTAGCGGGGGAATGTTGAATGTGATAGTTTATCATAATAAAGGGAAATGAAACAATTGACAAGAAATATTATCTAATTTAATAAAGCATCCAATAAAATGTCTTAAAGCCCTCTTTGCATTTCATTACACGATTCACTATATAGTCGAACTATCGTCTTAAAAAATGTTATTTGCGTTGCTCATTATTGCATTGCTTTTGGACGTTTTGAAAAAAGACAAAAAATATGGCACACATGCTTAATCAGATATATGCAGACACTGTTGAGTTTGAAGAAGTTAGTCACAGCGATCTTATCAATTTGATTTTCGTCGATTTTATAAGTAAAAAGATTCAAGAGCTACGAAGAGCTGAAAAGAATGAAAGTAAAGCAGATCCTTGGGTAGAGTATCAAAACGTTTTAGAAATGATGACTGAGGAAGATCGTTGGTTCAATTTTGCAGCTCGAGCAGTCGAAACAATTAATCGCGAACATGTCTGGAATGGAATATGTGAAGCCTTTAAGTTTCTAAAGAACTGTGGACCTTCGAACTCTCACAAGACATATTTTGACAAACTGTTTAGTGCTACTTGGGTAGAACTAATGTTAATTTACACGGAGACAAAACGTCCTCCTTTTTTTCAACATCTCTTTGACTATGCTGATTGTAGTTGTAAACTGAAATACAAATCAACTATGTAATTGCTTTGACAAAAGAAAAAAAAAAATATAAATTTCAATGTTATTGCATTTTGACTTCAGTTGTTTTATGACCATGTCATTGTGAAAATGGGAATCGGTAGCAGCAAACGTGAAAATAGAAATGCAAAAGGGATAAAAATCATAATCGTCAGAAAATGTTTCGCTTGGGTATAAGTTTCGGACGCAACGATCTCAATCTTGAGGGTCATTTGCAAGCAGGATACACAAGTAAAACTGTTAAAATTATGGACCCGCCGCAATTAAACTTCCAACAGATAATGCGATAGAAGAAACACTGCCTGTAACTGAAAACATTGAACCCGTCGATAATGAGTAGTTAAAAGAAATTGACATCTAATTGCAAAATTATTATCACGAGAACATTGTCATGAGTAACGTTGACCAGTACTTAGCCGGTGTATACTTCAATCCAAAACGTCCTGGAAGCTACGGAGGTGTTGAACGTTTGTACCGCGATGTAAAGGCAGAAGGAATATATGACATTAGTCGTGAAAGAATTAAAGAATGGCTCATGCAACAAGACGCATACTCTTTGCATAAACCTATTCGAAGAAAGTTTGAAAGAAATCGTGTCGTAGTGAGTGGTATTGACGACCAGTGGCAATTGGATCTTGCAGACATGCAATCTTTGCAAAAGTATAATGATGGTTATCGCTATCTTCTTATCTGTATTGATGTTTTTTCCAAATATGCATGGGCTGTTCCATTAAAAAGAAAACAGGATCGTCGTTGGTAGAAGCTTTTAAAAGATTTTGTCATCAGGGCGTAAACCGACACACATTCAAACGGATCAAGGCTCGGAGTTTTTAATCGAGACTTTAAGAAACTTTGGCAGAAGAAAACGTTACCTTTTTAATACATTTAACGAGACGAAGGCATCCATCGTTGAACGTTTGATACGTACACTGAAAACTAAAATGTGGCGCTACTTCACAGCAAACAAAACCATGAGATACATTGACATGCTTCCTGATCTACTGTATTCTTATAATCATAGCATGCATCGCAGCATTAAGGAAAAACCGATCAACGTTACAAGTGAAAATGAAGATAGAATTCGGCAAAATCTATACGGGGATAGCAAATTAAATAAACCTATGCATGTAAAATATAAGTTTGATATAGGTAACCAAGTACGAATAAGTAAAATAAAACGAAGGTTTGAGAAGGGGTATTTACCGAATTTTTCAAAAGAAATTTTCACTGTAAGTCAAAAAATACCGCGCAATCCTCCTGTATACAGACTGAAAGATCATGAAGGGACGAACTTCAAGGAACATTTTATGAAAAAGAACTTCAAAAGTCATCAAGAAAGACGATGTTTATGAGATTGAAAAATACTTAAGAAACGTGGTAGAGGGGCAATGTACAATATTTTGTAAAGTGGTCTGGCTACCCTAACAAATTTAATTCATGGGTACCAGCATCGGAAATACATATATAAAACGTAACCGTTTTCATGATTTTTTCATTTCACATTATACCTTAAAGATGAGCGGGACACACTTCTATCTGACATTACCTAGTAATGCATCTCTCTCTGTATTTCCTGAGAATAAGATTTCAGGTTATCGCGTAAAACTACCTCACGTTGTGAATTTAAATGGTAATTGGGAAGTAGGATTGTATTCAATTACATATCCTCATACATGGTACACGTTGAAAAAAGGTTTGGATACACATATATATGTAACTCACAAAACAGGTCTACCTACTCCGGTATTTGTCGACTATGGCTTGTATGAAAAAGCCTTCGACCTAGTAAAATCAGTTAACGAGACTCTTGACAAAGAAGTAAAAGACAATATCAAATTGAGCTTTGACCCCGAACAGAAAAATTAAAGTGCATGTAAGACAGGGTTACAAAATATCATTTAATCAACGAATGTCGGTCTTACTCGGCTTTGGCGGAAAAGACGTAGAGATTTTAAAACAACCGAAAGTCCTTATGCTTGTGATTTGCACGGATCCGTCATGATGTATGTATATTGCAACATTGTACAACCGCAAGTTGTTGGAGACGTCAATGTAAAATTACTAAAGGCAGTTGCTATTCAAGGAAAATATGGAGACATTGTTTCAAGAACATTCACTAATATCCAATACTTACCCGTGCAAACAAAATCTTTTGAGGACATCGAAATTCTCTTAAGGGACGAGTTAGGAAATCCCATCGCATTTGAACGAGGGAAGTCGATAGTGACACTTCATTTCAGAAAACAATCCTTATCTTATTTTACATAAGAAAAAAATATGAGTAGAACAAACCGTTATGTTCAATATTATCTCAATCAGCAAAAAGGATACGGATCACAACCTGTCTTTAGAGGAGCATCCTGGCAAAAAGGTTATGGGCAGATGGGTTATGGTCTTGGTGGTTTATTTCGTAGATTGGCTAGAGCTGCAATACCTTTGGCAAAAACCGGCGCAAAAGCTCTAGGTAAAATTGCCCTCGATACAGGTGCAAACGTTTTGGGTGATGTTATCTCAGGGAAAAGTTTTAAAAAGTCTGCAAAATCTCGTGTTAATCAAGCAGCAAAAGAAACAGGGAAAAAAGCTGTAAACCGTATACAACAGTTTGCTCAAACAGGAAGAGGAAAACCCCAGAAGAAACAGGCAAAAAACAGCTAAAAGAGAAAAGCATCGTCTTCTCATGTCATTTACCATTCAGCCAAGAGACATAAAGCAGCTAAAGAAGCAGAAGATATTTTCGGTTAAATATGGAGTTCGTTCATCCAAAATCAGCAGAATGTACAAAAAGTGAACTTGATATATTTTTCGTACCCCAACGCAAACCAGTTTGGAAAGGGGCGATGGATAGACCATCCACCTGTCTCTAGTGTATCTGAAAGCGGTCCGATTACCTTTTAGCGCCAGGTACAGAAGATTATGTTGACTTGTCTAACACAATGTTGATGGTCAGAGCAAAAGTAACGAAAGCTGACGGTGGAAATCTCGACGATGGCGCTAAAGTAGGACCGGTGAACAATTTCTTGCATAGTTTGTTTAAGCAAGTTGATGTGTTTTGAAAGGGAAGCTAGTAACCCAAGCGACAGGAACTTATCCTTATCGTGCATATATCGATACACTTTTGAATTATGGTCCATCAGCTAAACAATCCCAGCTGACAGCTGCGTTGTTTTACAAGGACGAAGCTTCAAAAATGGAGGTTGCCGACCCAGCAAACGCCAGTCCAAACAAAGGCTTGAAAACACGAAGTAAGTTTAGTGCGAGAAGTGCAATTGTCGAAATGGGAGGCCCTATATTTTGTGATGTTTTCTTCGGGGAACGCCTCCTGCTTAGCTATGTTGATTTGAAAGTGGTATTGAACCGTACCAGTGACGAGTTTGCCCTAATGGCATCCGAGGACGATGCAGCATTTAAAGTGAAACTGGTGGATGTTTATCTAAAAGTTCGCAAAGTTAAAGTGAATCCTAGTAGAGCTATGTCTCACGAAGTTGCACTGAAAAAAAGCCCAGCCGTTTACCATGTAAGGCGTGTGGACTGCAAAAGTTTCATCATTCCATCAGGAAACCCGTCGTTGCAAAAAGATAATCTTTTCAACGGTTTGGTACCGAAATCACTTGTTGCAAGTGCTGCATTCAATGGTGCTTATAAAATAAACCCATTCAATTTCCAGCATTTCAACGTTTCATCTTTAGGCATTTCTGTAAACGGCGAATCTCTACCATCTAAACCTTTCAAGCTGTCGTTTGGTAACAATCCTAGATACATAGAAGCATTTCTATCACAATTTGCTGGCACTGGAAAAATAATTTTGAACGCCGGAAATGGAATTGATCGTGACGAGTTTCTAAAGGGTTTTGCTTTGTACTGTTTTGATTTGACGCCTGATATGTGTGATACGAGAGAACATTTTAATACAGTGCAAAAAGGAAATCTTGCCATTGACATACAATTCTCAACAGCACCAACTAATGCTGTTAGTCTTGTGTGCTATGGAGAGTTTGAAAACGTGATCTTTATCGATTCTGACAGGAATGTTGTCTATGACTACATTGGTTGAATGAACACCTCACAAATATCGTCTGCTTTGAGATCGGATCCTGTTACAAGCAAGAAATTTCTTGGTGTTTTTCCAGCCAATCGTTTACCTAAAGTAATCAAAAGTTATCCGAATGGGTTTATAGCAAACACCGATATCAGCGGAAAACCTGGAAGTCATTGGGTTGCATTTTACTTTCCGTCTGAACGAAAAGCCGAATTCTTCGACAGCTATGGCCAGTCGCCTGAGACTTATCATAAATTCTTTAGAGACTATTTGAAACATTATGATTGGGATTTTAATGCACGCAAATTACAAAGTATTTGGACCGATGTATGTGGACAATATTGTATATTTTACCTAAGCCAAAGAGTGCGAGGTCATAGTATGAGTAGAATTGTAAGCATGTTTGATGGTAATACTGTTGAAAACGATAAGAAGGTATCGAATTTTGTAAACAAACATTTTCAAATAGAAACTAGTGTAATCCCTAACAACGGAAATCAGTCAAGTACAAACTTATTTGTAAAAGATTGAAGTGTTTAATAATCAATAAAAAGTTCTTTGTGTGACTTAATTGCTTGCATTTTGTATTTACATATTTTCATTGACAACAAGGAGGAAAATGATATCAACTGCGATTTTTATTTAAAGAAAAAATCCTTTACAAGACATATTAATAGCTTAACCAACGTAATTGAGTTTTCTTGTGTGTAGTGGAAGCTTTGGGCGTTATGAATTTCGTTTTTGATGAACTAGGATAAACTGTTTCGTTTTCTTCACGTGGTGAAGTTTCCATTTGAGCCTCCTTCCATCTCATATCGTTCCTAACCAAATCTCGAGGAATGTTTATTTTTGATAAAACACGAAAGAATTCTTTAGACCCTTTAGGATTGAAATTTTTCCTTCCTCTCACAGCATCGCTAATTAGATCTGTTATGTTTGATTGCGGAATGGTGACTCCCTCAAGTTTGACTTGTCCAGAACCGTCCCAAGATATTATACTTGGCTGTGTTCTAAGGCGCTGCAATATTGCTTTCGCCCGCTCACGCATAGTTTTTGGCACACTTTGTACAATGACAGAGTCAGCTAATGTCTGATTTTCGTTGTCACTTATTATGTTTTTTTCATTCCCATCAAGGGTGTCTACCACACGTACCATGGGTATCTGATTATCTTTCTGTTGCTTCAATTTAAGGAATTGTTCAAAGTTTGCGTTAAAAAGTTTTTGTCTTTGATCGTCACTCATATCGTCTTGTTGAAGAATATGCGAGAGCTGCGAGTCTTTATTCATCATATTCATCATGATCGGACTAGTTTCAAGTTTTTGTTGTTTTTCGTATCTGTTAAATACATCTTTAGGTACAAGAATCATACGCTTGGCATGCTTCATTTTGTCAACAAACTACCTAGCACTGTCAAAACCGGAGGTAGTAACGCAGTCAGCAGATTTCCTCCTTTTTGATTTAAAAGTTTTTTCTTCTTTGCTCGTGAGATTTTTTTGTTAGCTAGAGCTCTCAGGTGTTTCTTGTACCTTGACAAAACTCGCTTTTGACTGGCAGATACTGGAACAGTTCCTTTTAAAACATTGATAGCACATTCACAAATACACAAAATAACGTCAGAAGGTCCATGTTCGATGATCACTTTTCGAATTTTTGGTTTAGATTTTGCGAGTACTTGCAAATACGGAAGATTGTTCCTAATTCGCTTAGACACAGTGCTTACATGATTGTTGATGGCGATGATTATTACTTATGTACATAGACAATATGCTTTTCACCAGGCAGGATATTTGTTCTGACACGCATATTGTCAGGTGTGAGCTGATGCATATCCAGCATTAGATAACCGAAAGGGCGGCTTGTAGCATCTTGAAATAATTCCAAAAGATAATTCGTTTTCTTCGGATACATTTGTCGTGCCAGTGTGGAGAAACCTAAAATGTCTCTAGGGTTTTTGAAAATGATCATGTAATGAGAATTTAGACTTATAGTTCGCGATTGTTTACCAGGCGGAAATAAATTTTGCGTTAATTACATGACAGATATTCCGCGATGATGTGACCCGCGGGTAAATAAATCCGACATTCGTTGATCATTAGAACACTCGGACATAAGATCGTCTACAATGACTAAAGAGTTTTGACATCCTTCCAAAACATCGGTCAAGTTCTCAGGGAATCCTTCGACGAAGCAAATGTTTGGAATTTTTGATTCCATTTCACCAAATTCACTTTGCCGCTCGCCATAACAGTAAATAATTTTATTCGGAACGGGATAAAAAAGTTCATTTAAATTATAAAACATCGACCTAACCAAATAGCTTTTGCCTGACTGACTTTGACCACACACATAAAAGTTGGCAGGTGTTCTAAAACGTACGTCCATTGTCTCGCAAATAAAAGCAAACATGTTCTGTTTTCACTTTTATAACCACTCGCTAGTAAACATTTTGACATATTCAAAGAAAGAAGGAATGATTCGACTGGTTTGAATGGGGCGGTATTTGTAAAATAGTGACAAAGTGCATACATTAAGAATACATTGGACAATGAGCAATATTTTTCTAATTATCTACATCAATCAAACAACAAAGTCTCTTTGATTACATATGAACAAGTCTTACTCTAGCATATATTTATGACAGAAAATTTTAAAAAGCACTTGATGGTTTTACTTTAAAATCCTCACAAGCATAGGCATGCCTTTTAATCGTTCATTCATTTTGTAACTACATTCATAGTTCACAAGAGTTGTTTGTAACTTTTCCAATTTTCCATAATGAATTCCTTGCTGTCTGCATGTTGTTTTTTATGGCGGCATGTCCAACCCATGGTGAAAAATGTGGTTATGTGAAGAGATATCATATGTTAGATTGTTCTAACATGAATCTGAAGCATGTTCCTGTCGGAACGGTAAAAGATACACGAATAAGGATTTTGTCGTTGAGACGAAACAACATTAAAGCTGTGAATGAACTTGATGTTATTCGTGCGTACCCAAGACTTATGTACATTGATTTACGTGAAAACCCTCTGTCCTGTCCTGCAAATTTCTCAATGTTAAATGTGTTGTATGATCTGTGTCCAACCAGAAAAAAAGATTTGTATTTGACGCCTGTGAACTCATTTTCGTCTGTGACACCACTTTTTTCGTGTACATCAGCCACAAGAAATCGTTTCCCTCAGTCGTTCGTTAGTCTTTCTCCTCTTCCATCGTCGTTGATTATGTCCACCACATGTAAATCATCGCACGTTCCGTCGTCCCTCCGAAAGTTTTATGTTCATCCCTCGCTAATTTTTTTTAACATGTCAACCTCCATTTCAACTTCATCACAGTCGCTGTTATTATCGTCTACATCTTTGCTGTTGTCGCCGTCAACGTCATTAACACCTCCACATTCAGCGATATCATTTTCAACTTCAAAGTCATCACCCCTGTTGTCGTTATTACCACTGTTACCACCACTCTCATCATCAACATCACCACCGTTTCATTTACAGCTGTCGTCTTCGTCTTTACATTCATCACCCTCCTTGTCGTTATCACCGTCACAGTCAGAATCAATGGTATCGCCTTCATCGTTTATGTATTTTGTTCCACCAGCGAAAGAAAAAACTGTCAACTTTTATGTGTTGGTTCCTTCTACGTTAGTTTCCATATTTGTCTGTATAATGCTGATGTATTGCATAGTTCACAATTGTCGTCGCTGTTTCCCCTCTGTACATACCGATCACATAGAAATGACTGCGTATCGTGTTCAATCATCGTCAGCCTTGTCCAGTGTAGAAATGTGTCAAACAACCTTAGTCTAAAAATATGTATATTTGTTTGTTAGTTTGCTTCTCATTGATTCAAAACTATTCATCTTTTTTTGTTGTTAAAAATGTATACAGTATATGTATGTATCTTTAATTTACCTGCATTGGCATTATATTTGTTGATCCACTTGTCTGTAAAATGAAAGTTCACTGTTGGATTGAGCACTGTCATCTAGAAACTCCATATCTGATTGTCTTTCGGAAAAGACTTCTTCATCATTTTCGGAGTTGGTTATCATTAAATCAATCGACTTGCTAATTTCCTCCTCTTCTGACCCGCTTTCCATGTCATTTTCTTGCACAATTTGATGAACGGATGTAAACAAAATATCATCCGTCACCGCATCGTGTGTGGGAGAAGTCTTTTTATTTAAGTTACTGCCAATCATGACATTTATTGGCTGGCTTTTACCGGAGCTCTGATCCAAGATATCCTTAAGAAGAGCCTAAGTGTGAACATGAAAGACCTGATGATGTACTTATATGCCTTTTTATTGCACTTTTAGCATCAGGCCAATGTGTTAATGACTCTAAAAAATATTTTAATTCGACTGTTTTTGGAGGGAAACCTATCACCAAACAAAACAAATAGTAAGCAAAAAGCACCTTTAAGACTTGGAGAATACGAAAGCCAAAGATAATCCTTCAGCCAATCATGTCGAAAGGACCTACTTCGACCATTTGCATCAACAGTTTTAGGAAATTCATAGCATTCATCAGGTACGAATACATTCTTCACAAGTTTTTCAATTTCATGAATTTCCATACCTCTCACCTTTTCTCTATAAAAACCAACATCATATGGATTTCTAAGCAAATCAGCATTTGCAGTTTTATTATCTGGTAATTGCAAGGTAGAAGATGAAATAAAAGAAGAAGCATCACAAGAACCCAAAGCGCAACTGTGAGATATACCATATAGATGAGTCTTAGTTGTCATGGTTGTCTCAGTAGGACCAGAAGGTGTAAACCTCAACTTTGTTTGTATACTGGGCTTTTTAGCTTGTGACAAGTGACTACTTCCCTTTCTTTTAGTTCCCTTCCCACCAAGTATCAAAGGCACATAATGATTGTGTTTGAATGCATTTGCTTGAGGAGCTAAACCTTCAAAGCAAAATAAAACTTGCGAATAATTACTAGTGGAAGCACAAGCTCTAAATAGAATTTGAGGTTCAATTCTTTGGTTAAATAATAAATTCCACCTATAAGCACTAGAGTATATGTCAGGATAATAAGAAAAAATGCTACAGGATGTAACTGAAGAGAGTGCCAACAAACAAACAAACCCAGTCCATGCCATATCTTTTGCATTTAATACAGCTTCTGCTCTGACCAGTTCAGCAACAGAACAACCACTTCCAGCACTATCAATAGCTTCAAAAGAGACTGACATGGCGACCAAGCTTGAGATAGAATCAAAGAGTTTGTTATGCTGAGTTTCAAAAAGATTTGAAAAACATGGATGTTCCTTATAATAATAAGCATATAAAAATAATTCTATAGAGGTCATCAGCCTCAAAATAGTCACCACAGAGTTGTCACCAACAAGCAGAATTGACAATGAACTATAGAGGCAGTTGCCATTTGTAGCAGATCTGAAATAATGTTATGTAAATTTCAAATATCATGCTTCAGTTCATTTTTGTATATCTTATCTCAAGTACACTATTGAACATATCAAGAAATAAATCAATAGAAACGTTTTAAATATGATCGAAATTCGAAAATTTGTTTTGTTTTGAATCACATAAATAAACCACAAATGACAAATGCATCGGGCATCACATCAAGTCAATTTATATTTGCTTATATATTCTTGTGTAAGCATGCATGCATAACATGTCATAAGTTTTCTAACCTTAAGGCAACCAAATTTGTGTTCTTTGTCTTGGCATTCTGGGGAATGTAAAATTCCGCATTGATATTTCGGAAAATATCAACACCGAGACGATCCAACAAACTATCGCTGGTAACAATGCTGTTGACTTTCAGGCAATCCAACATCTCTCCGTAGAGTTGAGACATAAAAGTCTCATCTTTCCTCGTAAAAGCATCTTCGACTCGATCAGTGAAAGATGCCATGCTTCTCATTAATATTGTTGGTTTTGAAGCTCAAAGATAAAACCTCGGCTGTCAACAATCTCATTATGTGCTGAATTTCGCACAACACCGCTTGAACATTTCAGCAAAAACGGCGGCTCGTTAGTCAGCACAACGGCAATAAACCAATCAAGAGACAGATTTTAGTCTCCAAATTCAGCACAATTTTAGGCGTGCAGACTCTGTGCGGGTTAGCTATGGGTATTTCTCCCGCAAGTGAATGATAAGTATTTTTAGCCACTTGATCCCTTAATCCCACGCTTAATCTAGGTCTTAGAAACAATAACATTGTTCAGTGAATGCACGTTGTTGCACAAATTTCTCATAATTCTATCCATAACCCTGACAATAATTTATTTTTCTAATACTTTTGTTGTGAGGACACAAAAAATTTAATTGACTTTAGGATAAAGAATTCATGATCATTATCTACACAACGAAACAAACTACACCATACCCACACACTGCATATTGTTTTTAATTTTAACTAGGGGCATTTAAAATTTGATTAATTTTTTCCGCTGCTGTGAAGAATTTAACTACGTCGCGTGCTGAATGTGACGTAGTTTCAATCCGCCCCTGATTACTAACTGTATAAGCATTATTTTTAGGACCTCCACAGACAAATTCAGTAGTGTGCTCGCCTTCGTCAATTTCATTAGTCAAATCCCCCAAATAGTCTCCCAGAGGAGGCTTTTCTGAATCAGGCGTTGCAACAAAAACTACGGTGTCCATATAAAATACTATTATGCAATCGGTCTAACACGTTGTATAATGCTAAACGTACCCATGCAGAAGTAAAAATACCAATAAAAATATTTGTTGTTTTATTTTCCTTTTGAAACTCACAATGACACTTGTAAATAACTTCAACTAAATCGTCATTCAGTAATTGCATATCGTGAATCTCGGTATCGGCGCTATTTAGTCGATTGTACAATACAAGCGCGTCGTGAATAAATTCAGTAATTAACATATCATTACTTTGTGCAAATTTACCCCACAGTGAATTCAAATAAAGCTTTGCTAGTGCTCTTAACCCTGCATTTTTTATAATTTTCTTCTTACGCAATAGAATTCCCTCATGCTTTGGGTAGTCAATGATATATTTTGCCTGGTCTGATTCTGAGGAAATCCATGCGGGGTAGCCTGAAGCCTCTTGTTTTAATCGCAAAAAGAAATTGACATTTTCGCTAAATAAGCTGTTAGAGCTTTCTTCGAAATGCCAGATTTCATGTATCTCTAAAAGTTTGTAGCCTTTGCAATTGCCTTAGTCATTTCAATGGCAGTAAAAGTCCCCCCAAAAAACACGCTCGTTAACTGACTGATGACATTCTGCCGTGTAATCCATTCTGCTAAAGTAATTAGAAAGGTCTTTAAAGGTTTTGCAAATAATTGTGGGGTGACCTGTAGGATAACGTCGATTTTTTCATAACAAACATGTAAAGACCTGTAAAATCGTAATAAAAGATTTTCTCGTTTTCTTCAGCCTTATGAAACAACTTAAAGCCTTCAACTCTACCTCCAAAAAAAATATCAGTCGGGCATAGGTCTGTTATGAATTCGTGTGTGTTTAGAAAATACTGCATTTGCGGTGTCAGTCTCAGTCGTTTGAAATCATGCTCACATATCGTTTTCACATTATACCTTAACTCTAATAAACTTTTCTCACGCTCAATGGTTCGATTGTACGCGTCTCTTAGTGTTGTCCCTCTGTGATAAGCATTTTCACCTCTCAAATCAAGACATAAGGGGCAGCCGTGATAAACTTTACCCTAAAACTCATACACAGTATTAGTGTCTTCGCAAAATCCGTTGACGAAAATATTTAAAATAGTAAACCTACAGTTTCATAAATATATGGACTCTAGCTGTGCTAGTGGATTCTAATTACTTCAAGGATTAAGTTTTTTCTGCATTTTTTAATTGTTTGATTAAGGCTTCTTTTAATCATATTTCCGTTAAAATTTTTTCCCAAGAAAATACCAAAATAGTAAACCTACAGTTTCGTAAATATGTGGGCTCTAGCTGTGCTAGCCGATTCTAATTACCTCAAGGATTAAGTTTTGTCTGCCTTTTTTTATTGTTTGATTAAGGCTTCTTTTAATCATATTTCCGTCAAAATTCTTTCTCCACACGAATGATGAAAAATTTCTTCTTGCTTGTTTTCATAGTATAATGACAAGTTAAAAATTGCAGAGATAATAATTGTTAAGACTAATAGCTATAATTTTTAAGACAGTTATGATACATAATATTTTTTCCATACCAAAACTGATAATGGCCTTGCACGTTATTTCACAATCTTAATTGGCGGTGTTTGAAAATACATTAGGCCTGCATACATACGAGTTAATTTACTGTTTTAATACTTTAATGCCTTCATTCAATCTGAAATGCCCGCTAGCCAAGGAAATAATCGATCCATTGGAAAATTATTGCTAACAAAAGAGCCTATGTCAATAATATGCATGTAAAAGCACTCACAAAGTCTCATGCAAAGTCTTCAGCAAGCGGCGAATCTCTACCATGTAGAATGGCTACACAAAACAGAATCACGCCAATTTTGAGTAAGTTGAATTGAAATACAATTTCAATGGTAGATATGACTTTAGAAAATTTAAGTTGTGATTTTGTTCATTATTTTAGGCCAGTGCGAAGTCTGAAAGTTGTGGGTAATTTGCCCCCAAAGTTGCGGACATAAAATCCATGTTGTCGGAGGTGGAAGAAAGACTGATTGAATGCTTGCCATCCAAATGTCCTATTTGCTTGTAAGTCAAATAATTAACATGCTTGCTAAATGTTGTAGTCGTTTTTTTATGTATGTCCATTGCTTTATACTCTAGATGTTTTGACGAAGAAGTTGATCGCTTCTTAGAAGATTTTTTTGAGTATGTATTTTTATAATTCTTTATCTTTTGAAAATTGATACAGTAGAACAGTCAGTAAGATTGATTTCTTTTTATTTCAGAGTGATCGTTGCTAGTTTTTTTAATTAAATAAAAATGTTTTATTTCAATAAAATGTATTTAAGAATATCAACGTCTCATTTTCTAAATTGTTCTTTTTTTCTGTCAAAAATATTTTTCTCCAATCGTTGCAAGTGTACTTGATAAGTTCTAGCCCATTTACTATCGGAGTCATGTCTTGTGAGCTATCAAAGAAGGATTTCATGACTTCTTCCTCATCAATTTTTGATACTGCATCTTCAAAGTAAATCGCTACCCTTTCATTATTAGGCATCATCAAGCATTCGTGGCGTTTTTGTGAGAGATGGTCAACGTGACAACCGTCACAGTCTTTTGCCACAAGTTCGTATAATTTAAACCCAATTTCAGTGGCATAGCACTTAAACAATTTATTCTGTATATTGCTTTGGCGTTCATCTAAAACATGGCTCTCATCTTCAAATTCGAAGGACGATTCCTTCACTTTCCTTGCTTGCTCAATGTCTACTTTTAAAGCCATTTTCGTTTTAGTAAGACAAAAATTACCAAATAACTTTAACTCAATAAAATTGTAACGTGTTCTCCTTTTTTATATTTGAAAAGGAAACAAGAAAACGGATCTAATAATGCTTTAAGAATAGAAAACAATTGACAATTTTAATTAAGTTTTATCGTGTTTCAATTAATCATGTCATCCAATAGCAACCTTCGTTCATTTTATATCGTTTCCGGTTTACACGCGCGCGCCCTGTTTACTTCCTAGGACTGAAAACTAATTGACACGGGTAAGAGCTCCATTTACTTCCGGGACCATACCTGCACCTTAACTACAATAGACCCCCCTAGAGACCCCCATTCAAACCTCTATGTAATGAGTTTAGTTAAGTTAGAAATTTGGTACTACAAGTGACAGATATAGAAAAGCTCAGACTTCAAACCATGCAAGTTTATTGTAACCCTTTACCCATCTCCACATCAGTGCCAGCAAATTCACCTTTTGAGAAAAAACTCAAAATTTTTTTCTGCCAAAGGTTAAGCAAAAATTATCAGAGCGAAAATTTGCAGTTAAGGACAGCTTAATGCCATAAATGTTTATTAGGCATTTCACTAGAATATTATCTCCTGTAAGTATATGCAAGGTGTGCTATATAGCAATCACTAGTAGCATTGTAATTGCAAATACAAACAGAATGTAACCAACATGTCTTTAATTATATAATTACATGAATGTTAAAATTGGTTCATGTGTCATGCTTACTGGTTATGATAAATATCTTTTCATATGATCAAAGCTTGTTCAAATGTAAATCTGAAATAATTTAGTTTTGAAATTATAATGATTATCAGAAAAATTACCTAGTGATCATGAAAAATACTTTGCTGTTTTGCCAAATTTCAAGGTTTATCTGCATACATAGAAAGACATTTTTACTTTATAGAAAATGCTTTTCATACATCAATAGCCCTTTGGAATTTATGGCAAACAATCTGGTATGCGCCGTAGATTAACACACCTTTACATCTCTACATGAGGTGTTCAGTTAGAAAAGGGGACAATATGTGACATGAGACAACATTTCATGTATGTGAAATACTCAGGTTTAATACCATTCCAGTCAAATTATCAAAATAAAAAGCTTCATGGATCACAAGACTCAAAATCACAGGTTATAGTAAACAGCTTCTCATGTAATCAATGTTAGTTTTCTCAAATCTTACACAATATGTAGTATAACTGTCCAACGATTGAATAATCAATGATCATAAACTGAAAAACTCCAAACATTTGTTTATGATAAAGTAAATAATAGTATGGCGCCTTATGGCTACAGATTTTTTGTTCATTGAAATATATTTGCAGGAATGTAGGATTTCGCTGCCATATAACGGCCACGATTCCCCAAGCACTAAAGAAATCATAGCTAAAAGTCCTTCGTCAACAACAATTTTAGAAGCATCGATCTGCTTACCATACGCCATATTGACATAAATCGCATCACACACTCGGATAATTGACTTTGATATATTACATTCATGCATACACTTCACTTGTCCTTTACTTACGATTTTGGATGTAAATTTCTGCTGATAGAACTCAAAACAATGTTGGCTTGCTTTTGAACATCAATGACTGAAATGTCGCTCGCGAGATCGTCTTTGCCAAGCATTTAAAATTTATCCATAAAATTTCAACTCTCTTGAAAAAATTCACATTTTGGACAGCAGCATTCATGTCAATATATGAATTTGTTAAAGATTTCCATAAATTCCATCTGATTGTAGTTTAGTTTCTATCATGCTTATAAAAATTACTATAGAACGATCAAACATTCAATTCAGACAGTGAGCTTGACTATGTTAGTTCAGTTGGCTATCAGTCGAAATCCGTCCAACCAATCACAATAAAGCAAAAATTCAAATGAACCAATTGTGAGATAGCAATTGGACTCCCTTATACGTCCGGCCACCCTTATTATCAGTCGAGACCATTCCAGACTGTCCACTGATCTGGCTATTGACCAATAAAATAAGCGTTTTTGACGTTCATAGACTCCTTTATCCGTCGAACCAGTCAAGCCACCCCGCTTATCAGTCGGTTATTCCAGGTCAATTAAAATTCAACTGATCTGGTTACCAACGAGATATTCATTGGATTAGTCATTAGTTTTCAATAATAAATAATGCGGGATTTTTATCACGAAGTAAATGCGATAAGAAAATAAGAATAATTAATGAATTTTTAATTAATATGAATAGGTAATTTTTGAATTTCAAACATCAGTCGTGCGACGGATTTGACATACTCTAGATCCGCCCCTGTTTTTTAGCACGTTTTTTTCATACAGAATACGGCCTATCATTGTCTGAAATGAATGTTTGATCGTTTCGTAGTAATTTTCTAAAGAAAGATAGAAACTAAACTACAATCAGATAGAATTTATGGAAATCAATTACAAATTCATATATTGACATGAATGCTGCTGTCCAAACTTTGAATTTTTGCAAGAGGGTGAAAAATTTATGAATGAATTGAAATTGCTTGGCAAAGACGATCTCGCCAGCGACATTTCAATCATTGATGTTCAAAAGCAAGCTAACATTGTTTTGAGCTTTCTCAGCAAAAATTTACATTCAAAATCGTAAGTAAAGGACAACTGAAGTCAGTTTGACAGATTTCGACTGATAGCCAACTGTATGCATGAATGTAAAATATCAAAGTCAATTTATGGGAATATGATGCGATTTATGTCAATATGGCGTATGGTAAGCTGATTGATGCTTCTAAACTGGTTGTTGCCGAAGGACTTTTAGCTAAGATTTCTTTTGTGCTTGGGGAATCGTGGCCGTTACATGGCAGCGAAATCCTACGTTCCTGCAAGTATAGTTCAATGGACAAAAAATCTGTAGCCATAAGGCGCCATACTATTATTTACTTTATCATAAACAAATGTTTGGGGATTTTCAGTTTATGATCATTGATCATTCAATCATTGGACAGTTATAATATACATTGTTTAAGATTTGAGAAAACTAACATTGATTACACGAGAAGCTGTTTACTATAACCTGTGATTTGAGTCTTATCTGATCCATGAAGCTTTTTATTTTGACAATTTGACTGGAATGGTATTAAACCTGAGTATTTCACATACATGAAATGTTGTGGCATGTCACATGTTGTCCCCTTTTCTAACTGAACACCTCATGTAGAGATGTAAAGGTGTGTTAATCTACGGCTCATACCACATTGTTTGCCATAAATTCCAAAGGGCTATTGATGTATGAAAAGCATTTTCTATAAAGTAAAAATTTCTTCCTATGTATGCAGATAAACCTTGAAATTTGGCAAAACAGCAAAGTATTTTTCATGATCACTAGGTAATTTTTCTAATGATTTTTATAATTTCTAAACTAAATTATATCAGATTTACATTTAAACGAGCTTTGATCATATGAAAAGTTATTTATCATAACCAGTATGCATAACACATGAACCAATTTTAACATTCATGTAGTTATATGATTAAAGGTTTGTTGGTTACTTTCTGTTTGTATTGGCAAATACAATGCTACTGGTGTTTGCTATGTAGCTCACCTTGCATATACTTACAGAAGATAATAGTCTAGTGAAATGCTTAACAAACATTAATGGCATTAAGCTGTCCTTAATTGCAAATTTTCACTTTGATAATTTTTGCTTATTATTTGGCAGAAAAAAATTTTGAGTTTTTTCTCAAAAGGGGAATTTGCTGGCACTGTATGTGGAGATGGGTAAAGGGTTATAATATACTTGCATGGTTTGAAGTCTGAGCTTTTCTACATCTGTGAACTGTCCTTGTAGTACCAAATTTCTAACTTAACTAGTTACATAGAAGTTTGAAGGGGGGTCTATAGGGGGGTCTATGCCTATCAACTTCGTGGAAATTTTTAAAGACAATATCATTTTTGGAATAGCATCATTAAAATAAATCTTATGTTCCTAGACATGATATTGAGCCATATATTTGGCATGATAATGAGCCTAAATATTTGGCAAAACATTCAAGTATTGTTCACTTAGTTTTTTTTTGAAAAACGTAAGCAAAATGTGTTGTTTTTACGCAAAAACGATGCCCACAAAATGCAATTTGTATTGTTTTAAAACGCTGAAAATAGCATTTCCAAGGCCCCAAATTTCAAAATTTCTTAGGGAGAATGCCGCGGACAACCTAGGTGCGGAGCACCTCCGACGTTTTACAACTGATGTTTGAAAAATCCCAGATCCGCCCCTGCTTTCGTCAAGCAAAACTCATTTTATTTTTGACTGTGAACAGAAATACGAGGAATAAGTTTGAGAGCGTTGTTTTGAAAGCAAATACAGTGTCATAAAAATTAAAAAAACACTGTGGATCTATCACACCACAAAAAATTATATTATTAGAGGCCTTGTTTTTTTTTCACAATTTGACAGATTGCAGAATTGCAGACACTAAAGATAATGAAAAGGCGTTAAAGGTATTGTTGATGCTACTAATTTCATAATTGCCACTTGGCATTTCTGTCATTGAAGTATGCAATGTAATAGTAAAAACAGGTTTGTAGATGAAAACCAAGATAAAATAACTGATTTGGGCAATGTGTACTGACCCGAAATTTGCCCTTACTTCAAAATTTATTGAGGAAGCTCATAACGACATTTGTGCCAGAAAAGTTTAATTTAGCCTTGCTTTATCTGAGAACAATTTATACGTTGTATCATTCAAGGTTACCCAGGACCAGTGCATAGCGTAGCCAGCCCGCAAGTTTCGTCGTGTAATGTAAATTTTTCTGTGTTCACTCACTGTAAAAACAATAATTTTCTGAAGAAATGAATAATGTTGATGATTTGAAATTTACATAGCACGATCAAATTTGCAGGCTGGGTATACGCCACTTCCAGGACATTTAAGATTTTTAACCTATTAAAGATGTGACACGCAGTGCAATTATTAGGAAGAGCTCATTCTAGTTTCATACTTATTGAACTTGCTAATCACACAGATTGGTGACAACCACAGGTCATGGAACTAATTTGTTTACTTATATCTAAAATTGAGCCGTCTATGTTTTTAACAAGCTATTTTAGTATATACGTCTATGAAATTCTTTTGTTTTCTTTACCTTTCAAAAAAATCTTTGTATGTGGATATTCTATATAAAGAGCCAAGGCGATAGCATTTTGCAGGTATGTCTTTATTTTCTCCATACAAGAAAAAGATCTTTTAGCTGAAGCAATGTACACAGCAATAACTGCATTGGGCTATGGTAGCTTGGCAACTTCTGACAAACGTTGCCGAATATTTAAGTGAAAAATATAATTCAAAAGCTCAATTATCTCTAAAAATTTTGAATAGTGTTAATTTAACAAAAAGCAATTGACTATTATTTAGTGTTGTCAAGGAGAGAACCCTGTAATCTTTTCATTGCTGAATTTCACCATTGAAATTACGTTCAACGTTTTACAAATTACAAATGTTTATATTTATGCAGTTCCAGGATTCCACAGTTCATAGAACAACAATTCGGCATACTTGCCAAAGCGGTAGAATTAATAACCTCACTGTAAAGCTGTTTGAAATTCCTTTTAGAACGTTGGTTTTAAGCGCCCTTTGGTCTCAACAGCAGAATAACAATTTCATAAGCAAAATCATAGTAAAGATTAGATGAGAATTTCTTTCTGGTCTAGATTTACTGTAAGTAGAAATGCTAAAACATTAGCAAATAATAAATCGTCAGATGTTTAATATTCAAAACAGACTAATACAAAGCTGAACTAACTTGATCAGCAGCGCAAAGAAGTCAAAAAAGCCATAGAATGAACAATTTTTGTAAAAAAGCTTGTGGACTATTGACATGATCACTCATTACAGATGAACCATCATATTTAGCGCTACCCACAATTAAAGTTTAATGGTTCTCCATAACTATGAAGAATACCTTTCACAACTTCACTGATGACACTTGATCTAGATCTTGCTCAAAGGCACTTGATCTAAGATGACATCCCTAAACTTTAACTTGAAACATTTTTACAATCTCACACCCACTATTCATCGGAATAATAGCACTAAGGCGAGATTTTGCAGGATAATCAGTTTATTTATCGTGAAAACAACAGGGATTACAGCCCCTGCTCACCCCTTCAATAATCAGGTCTTTCCAAAGTTTAGCGCGCGTACCAAAACATTTCAACAATTCTCTACATTTGCCTTAAGACTGTTACTCGACTTATCATATCCCCTAAATGTAAATCTTTCTTAGCTTAATTTGAGAGCATCGCCATTATCTGTTAACATTTCTCTGCTTTTCCCAACCTCTTTATAGTAAGTTGCTAATATTTCTCATTTCGCACTCGAAAACTGAGCGTCAACACTTTCCGGAGAATCAAACATCTTCCGCTACCTGTAATCCTCCATATAAGATTTCGCCTTCTCATGTTTCTAACAAATGACAATTGGGCAGTTAATAAATATCATAACAACTATGTTTGTTACGATATTTATTAACTGCTCAATTTAAAGACTTACCAGATTAAAACAATAACCATGATTACAAACTGCCGCTCATCCAATTTCTCTTTGAATGGTGGACTAATTAAAGAGATACGACTATAACTTTCCCCTAAATATAACTTAATTTTCAATGTTCATGATGCTGAAATATTCGTGTTTGCATGCACGCTGGGTACATATGTATGTTAGTTTTGTTTTCTATCTATAAATGGTTAGAAAAACAACATGGAGTTGCATAAACTATTTGAGAAATTTGACTTGCTGACAAAAAATGTTGACTAATCTCATTTTTAAACGGACTGCCATTTGTTTACCAAATAAAATTACATAAAACAATTTGAATCTTTTTTGAAAGTTAAAATTAATTGCAGTTTCCTCAATTTCATTAAGCATGCCAAAAATAACCTTTTGCACAGTAAAAAATATGCCTTTATACAAAATTTATTTCTCTTATAGATGAACAAAGTTACCGAAAGTCGAGGCCAATCACTATGTTTCTACTCGTTCAGAGGATTTGTATTTTTAAAACATTTTATGGTTCCCTCCTCACCAAAAGCTAAAAACCATCATACGTTTAAGCAAATGCAAAGTCATTAGCAGATCTAGGTGTTAGTCCAATACTACAGTAGCAAATCCAGGGGCGGGCAGTGAATTATATTTCCATTTTGAAATACTTTGGAGCAAATCCTACTTGGAGTATTTTAGTCTTAAGTAATCCTTAGAAATTTGTAACCAACAGTGTTTTTTAAAAAATTCTTTGAGTTTAAAATAAACTTTTATAATTTGTTTTGAACGAGCCTAAATCCGTCACTGCAGTACTACTCAATTTAAATTTCAAAATACCTTCAAAACAACACAAATGGTTATAAAATGAGAAAAATATGAAATCTTACCAATTGACTTAACTCTAAATTGTTTTTAAGTGTAAATACTTGCAATAATGCGAAACAGTAATTGATATTCACGTATTCTAGATCCTCCATTCCATTCGTTACGGATATTTTCAACGCATATGTGATTTTTTTAAAAATCGTGTGTGTTAAGAAAGACTTTGAGCATAAATGAAATGGCGTATTAGCTTTGTGCTTTATTTCGCATTTTCACATCACGACTACACGCCACTACACGTAATAATTTGTAATGAGTCGTCTAAAAAATAAGGAAGTCACTTTGCAAAGCAGTCAGCCGTCTTTTTTCGACAACATTTGAGTTCTTTTACGCATCGCAGCTCATTGCAGCTTGCCCCATTCAATTGCGTAATGAAGTAGTTAGGTTGAGTGCACTGAGCCCAACCCTCCTTAAAAGAAGGTTTGTTCCAGTCTGTGTTCTTTACGTAGCAATCTCCATATGACTTTGGACCATCCTTTGGCTTGCAGCACTTAGCAAATTTCATATAACCATCGCGCGACTGTTGTATTTCTGATAAGAAATATCCAGATGGGCATTTCCATTCTTTGCCACTTTAAGAAAGAGAGACTCTATTTAAATTTCTTGAGCAAAATAAAACTGACACAGCAGATTATTCGAACTGCACTATGAAATGTTCGCCAAACAGTTAAACATTGATAGTTGTATCTCAATAACACTAATAAGTTCAAACGAAATTCGATCAAATGAACTTTACTGCTTCAAAGCAGACACATGTTCAAACACAAGCGTCGAATTTTGATTTTTGAGCTTAGACGATTTAAAGGGTCAAAAAAGACCAATTCATTTTATGTGTTAAAGTATATAAAGTATTTTGCTATTGTTGATGACTTTTTTTGCAACTAAAGTTGGTGAAGCTTGCATCAGCTATACAGCTCAAACATTCGTGGTTGCAAAACAGCAGATGTAAAAATAATACATGAACGCTTCTGTTCCAAAATAGATTTGTCCTGTGCTAAGAATAGATACACAGAGCATACATGTGGGTAGCCTGAATTTACATCCTATAAATAAATAGCACTAAAAATTGAAATGAACTGATAAAACACCGACTAACTAATATTATATATATTTGAAAGTTATTCTTTAACTGTCACAATGACTCAAAGACTGCATTGCCTGAAACGAAAAATAGCTATAGGAATACAAAGTATTGGCATTTGTTCATGACTAAGCGGGTTGTGATAAGGCACCTAAAATGATATCGCACTCTATTTGAATCTTATAAAAATGATTTTACTATACTCCTTAGTGAAGGCTTTGAACTACTAAACGTGCTCGGGATGCGTTTGGAAAGTCAATGCCAACTTCGGTTATAAATATCTTTCGTGCTTTTACAATTATATCTTATTAAAATTTGTTTAAGTTTTTCTAAGCGTGTCAGAAAAACAAAATAGTAGTGATGTTATTAAGAGGTCTTACAAGATTTAACCATAAATTCCTTGTATAATTGAGAATAAAAACTATTTTTATGCCAATAACTTTAAAACATTTGACAAGAGTGTAAAAAATCCCTCACTTATCGTGTAAACTCCAACGTAAAACGCATGTTTACAAACAAGGTACTATTATACAACTAAATCACTCTTGCCAGAATAATTTTGTTCAGGGCCGTAGCTAGAACGCTGATTGGGGAGTGTACATTCATTTATTCAGTTGTGCCCCACTGGTTTCTTTAGAAAGCCAAATAATTTTCAAGAGAAGTCAGTCGGGCACAACTGAATATATGAGTTACTAGCTACGGCCCGATTGTCTTTGAATTTTTTCAATAACGTTTTGATACAAGACTATATAGCCAACGATTCAGTTCTGATTGTGATTAACCTATGTGTCATCTTTGAGTGGGAAATTCTTGAAAATAACAACTATTTTATTTTTTTCACTGCCCACATCTTGACAGCATGGTATCATATGTTTAAACTCATCGTTGTTTTTTACGTTCTGTTAAATCTACACCAATTATTGATTATAAAAACTCGAACGAAAAATTTATATATGCTGGACATTTGCCTTACCATAGCGCTGTGTCCTGAGTGTGAGATAATGAATGCGTGTTCTTGAATTGCAATCTTTGTAACAATGATAAATATTTCTTTTCCATCAGACAACAAAGACAGATGAATTGCAAGTCAAGAATGAGTTCCAAACTGATCTTAATACAAGTGCATCATATTTCTTGTATTATACTCAGAAACGAGGTATAATTGATGTTTTTTGTAGTCTGAAAAGTGCACACCTTATACTTGTATAATATTTGAGCTGTTTAGTTTTGAAAGCTGTCCGCAAAATGTAGGAAAAGGATTACATGTACAAAACAAACAATGTTTTTATTTATAGAAAATTCCATGGTTCACGCTAAATGCAAACCGAAAATGAAGATCAATGATATGATCAGTAATATGGATACGAAAGGGATCTACTTTTTCATATTATAACATGGGGGTTTGCATGCATACAGGCTGTACCCACTAAAATAGATGCTCTCATGTGAATAATTGGCATGACGAAAGAAAAAACATTGCAATCTGTCAATGTATAATTTTGGCGGCGAAAGTTGATGAAACGTTTATGCAAGAAAAAATGTAAATTAATAAATTACCTGTTAGCTTTAATAATTTTACTTATTTCAACACACTTTGGTTGACTATAAAAGCCATTGTCTCAACATCGATGTTTGCCTTTCATTGAAGAAGTGGAAGAAGTGTAAAAGATCCATCCGGATCTTGTATGTTTTCTGTATATACCCGTCATATAGTAATTGTTTGGTTTGCAACTTATCCAATTTTCATTGTTCCAAAAGACATGACAATTACTTTTTACTAGAAACGTTAATGAACAATAAAGTGTCAGTATATTAGAGCATCAAAAGATTCAGTTTGTGATCTATTTTAAGTAACAAACATGGCAGCAAGATAAAAGTGGGATATTTCAATATTCTTGTACCTCAACATTTGCTTTACATTCAAACAAACACTGTGTAGGAGAAGGGACATTTTTTGTTTACAATAAGGAGTTCTGTACTAATTGAAACTAAAATGTTTTAGTTAAATAGCTAATAGTGAGATTTATAAAATTTTAAATTGTTGAACATAAATCGTTGATATTCTTGTTCTTTTTACCCATTTATGAATATAGGTTAGCACATAAAAAAAATTTAAGGATCGATTACATGAGGTGAGTTGTCCTACTTAAACGGGTCAGCTCGCCTAGCCGAGACGAGTGAAAAATTGCAATAACATGAAAGGTTTTGACTCGCACGGGAGAGCAATTTTGACATAAACAAATTAGTTGCGTAGCTTTTTTGTTTATGAATTGTAAATCTACATGGATGCATGTCTGTTTTTGTCGACTTTGCTGGACCAAAATCACCATATGCATTATTTTGATACTTGTGAGCTCACACTTGATACAATGCTTCACAGCATACATCGCTCTAACGTCTATGTCAATTTAAAGTTTTAAACTGACCAATAAACGCACGGGCGTGTCGAATTTCTTTGCCCACTTTGCGAAATTCACGATAATTGATTTTGTCAATCTCTGATTATGCGAAAAAGTTGAAAACCAATTACAACACTATTACAAATAAACACAATAATTACCTTTAGTTTTGCATCGTCTTCCTGTAAATCCATTAGAACAACAACAATGAAAAGACGTATTTACAAATTTACAAAAGCCACCATTCAAACATGGATTAGAAATGCACGGAGATACACCTAGATTAATAATGAAAAAATAGTATAACAACCAATTTGTATGAAAAGCGTAAATATGTTACGCCAATGATCGTCTGCGCATGCGTAAGTTCGAAATTTATTACTTAGCGCGAAAATATTCGCAAGTGGAAAGCCGAATATACGCTTGCACTTTAAAAAAAATGTGTGGAAATATTCATAAATGGCCCTTTAAAAACATTGGCGCTGTTTGGTTGAATGCTCAAAAATTTCATGTATCTATAGCTTTTATTAGCTAGATTAGAATTGCGTGAACTTTTGTGCAGGCTGCGTGGTTCACGCAAAAATTAAAAACTTAACAATATGAAATCAAATTTGTCAACAATTTGTATAATTTGCTATGCACATACAATACTTAAGTAGTTGGTAAAAATTTTACTTGTTCTTGAAAACAAAATTGTAGAAACATTTGGGAAAATATGGGAATTGCTTACATAGAAAAACGGCAATTTTGCCTGCACTTGCCACCCAGTTTCTAAAGATTTTGGTCAAAAGCTAAGTTTTTGTTGTATACTAATTTTTAAAGTGAAAACAGGCAACAACATAAATGAACAAAATATTTACTTTCCCAAACAAATATATGAATGAAATAGTTAGAAATTTCTTAGAAAAATCCCCGCGTACTATGCTATTGATTCCATATTACTTATAGTGTAAGTATTAAAAAAACATCGTAAAAAAAAGCCTACAAAGACGCCACATTTCAATAAAATGAAGTTCTTCTTTTTTAATAGCTGCTTTCTATTTTGGATAGTAATCTAACAACTACATTAAAAAATATATAAAAAAAAAATTGTCTAGTTCAAAATGAAAATAAAATTATTTGTTTTGTTAGTCGTTAATATGAAAAACAAAAAATACATGAATTATGCATCATATTATTTTGTTAAATTTAAACACAAAAACACACAATTTTTAGGCCTTGTCCTCACGTATACGTTTTCATTTGAAAACAAAACTTTTCCCTATGCGTTTATTAAAAGATTTTTGTTCACACGTGGCGTTTTTATAGCATTTTTGTTCTCCACACGAAAACGATTAATCGACTTCAAAACGATGCCTCGGCTCATGGCGCATTTGTTGTTTTAGGCTGAGCTCGTAAACAAACATCAAATTACCGCAAAGTACTTCGATTTCCCTTTCATTCTTCTTCCATCACCATCCGACTGACAAAGTTGTCCTTCCAAGCGCTGGTACGTCCAGATTTTATTCAAAAACGCCGTCTTCGAAGAGATTGACTTCGTTTCAACTGCCCATGATTAGAAAACTCTGATACTAATGATTATATAATTTGTCGCCTTTTTTAAAAATCATTTATATTCTGGAAAAGCGCTAATTTCATTTGGAAGAGCTTTTTGATGTTTGGAATTAGACCTAAAATTTTAGAAAATAAAAATGCTTGTCGATTCGCTCAAAAGCGCTGACCATTATATATGACGTAAGCGTTGTTATCTTTCCCCACGTGTACGATTGTGTTGCGTTTTTTAAAGTTCTACTCTTGAATGCGTTTTCAAATAATTATGTTTTCAATAGGTGCCAGCATCGGATACGTGTGGACGGCTTCCGTATACGCGTGGACGGGCTTTTATTGAATTGCTTCATAACTTTACTGTCTAAACACACATGTCATCAATCTCCATAGACTCTCATTTTAAAGCGAGAAAAATAAAGAATCTGAAGAAAACACAAACGTCGCGAAGAAAGCGAAAGTCTATCTACCGTATGTTAACAACAGATTACGCCATGTTCACGTCATCTTAAGGCCAATCTATGCTTTGTGCGAAACGTGTCACGCGCTATCGCATGCCACTGACGTTAGCTGCGCGCGCCCGTTTAAGCTTTTATATTTGACACGAGGAAGTCGTAGCAAATTGTTTTTTAAACGAACCGTTTGAAACAAACCACACGAAGTATCCGTCATCATGTTTACCTTTAATATGGAATCATCAGGATGAGCTGCGCAACAAAGCGACAAAGCGTCTGCAACGTTACAAAATTTGTCGTGCACGCGACACGCGCGTGGTAAATGCGCACTTCCAATTCCTCCGTATGTACGTCATATCTTTTGCACGACGCGTCGCGCGCCTTTTTTCACGTTAAAAGTTATTAGCATAAAGTCTAAAGAGACTTGTTAAATCTAAATCTGTTCATTATCCAACAGTCGACAACGTATTATTTCACTTTCAAAAAATGCATTATTCCTCACCAGCGCTTGACGTGGAACTAAACGGAGCTGTTCTTGTTCCATATAAAGAAAGACGAAGTCTGATTAAGGTACCTAAAACATAAAATTTCATTTGGCTTAATCTTTTCATTTCAGCTCATGGACTGTAAGATTACAAATTGCTACATTTAACATTCACTAAATGTTTACCTGGCTTGGACGGCCTGATCTTAACATGCGGAAATCAAGCAAGAGTTAGAAAAGCGAGCGTAACACAAGCCGAAATCGAGTGCTTTGCACCACTTTTCTTAACTCGAGCGACATTCTCAGTGTTTGGATTAGGCTATCTAAGCATTTGAAATCGTTTAGTAAATGTCTTTATAAAATAGCAACCAGAGGACAGTGTGGTAACTGACACCAGTTTCGATATCAAAAATGATTGAAAATTTTGAGTTTCGATATAATTTTTGATACCAAAATTTAGTTTTTACTGTTGTTTGAATTAGACGCTAAATAAAAATATTGAATTGCAAGATCTATTAGACTTATTAATTTGCCGAGAAAAGGGGTATAAGTATTCCACATTTCCGGGTTATTCGATATTGATACCGCGTTTTAACTATCGCTGGTATCGAATACCCTGTACTCGGTATCGCTTAGCACTAACGACAACCCTAACACAAAAGCTATATCCTCTTATGATAAAATGAAGCCAATATGGCGGCTATAGAATGATTTTTTGTAGGTATAAACACGAGTGTTGTGTGCGTCGATTGTCATGAATATAAAAAAAAAACAACCGTCATGTTTTTAACATTTCGTATGAGTTTTACGTTTGAAGACATTGAATATGTCGTGTTTTTGAACTTTACGATTGTTATGTAAAATAATTTTTAGTCACATATTCATTTTTCTGAAAAATAAGTCGTGATAACGGAATACAGCAACAAGCAATCAGTTGATCTCAGTTACATGACTCAAGAGCTTTGGTTTTTGGTCAAAATACAGACTTAGTAAATACTAAATTGATCAAAATTATTGTACAAGTAAGATATAAGGAAAAAAGACACTACATAGTTTGTTTTTTCATCAAATTTGCTGTGGACAGTGAGAAAAACAATGTTTTGAAAACACCATGGTTTTGCTTATATTGGAAACTTCCCCATTCATCAAAGAGTGCCCAAAATTTACATGCTCTTTAAAAGCTAGCAGCAATTTCAATAAAATAAAGCTTGGTTTAGCTCAACAAATGAAAGAACAAAACTTCTATTAAAAAAGTAGTTTGCACAATTTAATCTCAATTAATGATATTTTATGGGCAAACCCATGCAAACTTGAAAAAAGTTTGATTAGATAGTCGATAGTCAAGTTTGATTCAGATAGTTTTTGTAACCGTTAATTACAAGTTTGTTGTTATGTATATCAATAAAAGAGAGCTTTAGCAAGAGTACGATTACAACAACGAGTACGAAGTTTGACCGTGTAAGGGAATGGCACGAGGAAGTTTGCTGTCTTTGTCGCTTCGTCAAAATTTAGTTTTAGCTATAAACTACAGAATGAACCTTTTTATTGTGAAAAACACCAACGTTTGCGAAGCAGCTACGGCTCCATTTGTCTATAATCATATCAACTAAACGCTAATACTGATTTTGCGAGAACATAAGACTCTTTAGAGCGAAAAATCTTCACTACTTCAAATTTTATGTACGGTATATTCATGCTATTTTATTGTCTGTTCACCGTTCATTTTGCGTACGAAATACATGAAAGTTTTCAAGGACATATTTTTCTTTTAAATGTACATGGGCGCTCAAAAAAGTTCTAAAGTAAAGCATAGATGCTCGAAAATAGTACTGTAAATTAATGTCTTAAAAAATGAAAAAACATATGTACTTTCTCGGCTTAAAAAATTTATCGTAGTCGTGACTACTAATTTTTCACAAAACATCTTACTCAGACTGATGACGGCTACGTGTTGTTGTTGTCGCAACAATGTTTTAGCGCCAAAATGACGTAATTCGTACTCGTAGTCTTTGTTAAAGCTCTCTAATGTAAACAGCTACGTTCTTTGCAAATAAAATGGTTTTTGAAGTTCCCCGAGTGCAATAGACGAATCATGTTCCCGATTTATGGCGATACATGCAACATTGGACATTCGATCTTCCCTCATTTTGCTATGCAAATCAGCTACTAGATGCAGTTAACGAAAGACGTACAACGTTGAAACTTATTTGCTTTATTTAACGTAACTATATATATTGAGAAATGCGTAACTTCATTGTTACGTCACTGATTAGTAAACGTATATGACTCCAATTAAATAAGAATTGTATGAATTTTCATAAATATCAAATATCGTACATGGCAATCTATTCTTAACTTACCTGTGCCTTTTCCAAAATTTTCAAGTTCATTTTTCAGTGAAATTTTCCAAGATCCTGTTGATGGCTCACCCCAAAAATGAACACTCAATGTACTTAAATTGCTTAATCTTTTGTTACCAACCAAGGCGTCCATAAAGCGTGGACTCATTACTTTTGACACTGTACCACTTGGAGACTTAATGTAAGCACCAAGGACACCACGTTTAAAATACGTCAGATCAAATGTGGCAACAACATGTTCCAGAAAGTTTATAACTCCATTACCACACGTAGTTTTGTTGATCAGTATATTAAAGGTTGTCTTTCCTCTTCTGAAATAGATACTTTTCTTAATCTATTTAAGAGGAGTTGTGTAGAAATTATCTGTATATCACTCGCTATATATCTTAAAATCACAACTACATTAAAAAAAAACTTACAAAATTTGTTGCGGTCCAAAGCTTACTTCACATTTTAATTGTTCTGGTAGCATATTGCTTGATTTTTTTGCCATTCTTAGAAACAAAGATGCATCCAAAAAACCAAAGCCAACTCGTTCACTAGCTTGAAAATAAAATAAATTAAGTTTCTTTTGCAAACATTAAAACTTTGCACTTTAGCAGATTAGCTATAACAGTGAAGTTGCTATTGCTCGTTAATTTCGTAATGTTTTATAAAATTATGTGTTTCCTGGCCATGAAAATTAAGGCTCTTGTAAGGAAAAGTAGTGATGTTCTAAACGATATGGTAGGATAATTTGAAGAGCTAGCAAACCTAAAAAACATTGTATAAAACAATACAATACTGATGTAAAACTTTGTTGTGGGCTTAAAAAATATTTTTTTGCATTATCGTATTAATAACCGTTGTTAATATATGGTCAGTTAAATCCAATTTCATGTAAAACGTGGATACCAAAAAATGATTTCATACAGGCAAATCGGTTATTTGATATGAGTAATAATACAAATCATGCCATCAATTGCTTATAAACGAAGCCGTAAACGCTTTAAAACAAATTGAAAACAAGATATTAACCGTGTTACAATGAAATAAAGATAAAAAACCTTTTTTCCTTTTAATGGATATTCTGTTTCAAATTATTAGGTTTTTGTTTACCATAAAACAGAATAAGACAAATAAGGTTGACATTTTATAGATCCTTGAATTTATCGTATTTGGGAAGACAATTACATCCCAAACATTTAAGATTTGACTACAATACCGAATTTACTCAGGATATTTCTCAGTTGGTCGTTGCTATAAAACTATGAAATTTAAAACTTTGAAAACTTTAAAATTTTGCTAAAACTATGAGACTTAATTGACTTATCCTCTTGAGTTCGGAATGTTTCTGGAAAAACAATATTGCTTTAAAAAGCCCCCACGCGTTTCAGGTTGTTTTTGGATTGCGTATTAGGTGGATTCAAAAAGTTGAAAGCTTGAAGCTCGAGGTTTAAGGCAATTGTTGCAGACAAAGCTTTGTAGCAACAATTATTTGATTAAAATGGATTACTTCATGGCTGGTCAATGCAAACGAAATAACCTTTTTACTATACGAGTATTGAATTTTAGGGGCTGTTTACATGATCCCGGCTAACTGAGTTTCAGTGAGGCGTGAAATGATTTCGAGGTATTGAAAGGAATGAAATTTGAAGCGTAAAAATTACAACTGCTTATTAAGCACCACAAGTCATTTGTGCAGTACTTCTCAAATTAGACCAAATTGGTTGTTGCAATTTTAAATGTTTTGTGTAGTTATCAAACCAGAATATTGTGAAATTGCCAGAGAAGATTTATCTGATCATGAGTATTGAATCGTTCCCATTTGCCAAAATCACTTAACGCTTGACTTAATCCCGGCTACCCGGGCTCATGTGATCAGCCCCTTAAATTAGAGTGAGATATGTCGCTAGACACAATTCTAACGCTTTAAAACAATCACCTAATTTGCATAAAAAAATACAATATACACACATGAATTGTTCATGTTGACAAACTAGTTTTTCTTTTCTACCGTTTTTGTCTTAACAATATGAAAAGCAATTCCACTTTTAGGAAGCAACTAGTTTCATTTTATACGTTAATTATCTTTTTACTCTCGGACGAAAGCGTAATAAACTCGCTTAAATAATCATTCTTGAGGGGAATATTGTCCATGTTTCGGAATTCTTGTTTCGACTGTGAAAATTACTGAAGAAATCAAATTTTCTGCAGTTTTTTTATCATTTTCCTAAAATTTATATTGAATTCGCTTATGGATTGCGTTTCGGTAATTTGCAAAGTCATTAATAATTGAAATCAAAAAAGTTTGTTTTTGTGTTTTTTGATTTTAATGCTGTCCACATAAGCGATAAAACTTGATATGCATTTTGTCACTGATGAAAAATATCGTATATCCAATCAGAATGCAGATATGGTGTTTTTCACTAATGAAGAAAATTGTAAGTCCAATCAGATACTTGGAACTTTTAGGCATATGATTTTTATCACACCGCTTTGTTACGCTTAAATTCAATAGTCGTATAATAAACTTGAATACTGCTTTAATATAAAGCATACATCTTGTGTCTAAGCGCTGGGATCATACTTAAATAAATCAGATACACTGCATGCTGAAAGCGTTAGGAAAGAAAAAGAAAGAGTTGAGCCGAGAAGGATCGTCCAGAAAGTGTGGATAAGAGTGGATCGTTGCAATTGACATTTATTTATTAGGGAAGTAGTGATTAAAAGCGTTTAGTAATCCATGGAATGCAATACTTAAACGGCTAAAACTTTGAATTTTAATAATTAGATTCAATTGCTGGGGCATGTTTTTTACATTATTACCACCACGTTAGCAAGCAAATAAAAAAATCAATCGTTCGAAACGTCAAAGAAAATTATGACAAGTTCATGCAATGAAATATTTTGGAAATGGTTAAAGCAAAGATTGATTCAAAAGCGCATTCCGTTGATGAAGACGTGCATGAGGTCGTGTTGAAGCGTTAAGTAGAGAGAGATTAAATTAAAAGGCTTGTACGTGTTTTACTAAATGTTTTGAATAAGTAAAATATTAATGTTGTAAAATCAGGCTTTAATTATTGGATACCATTTTATGTATGTAATGAGAGGCTTTGTCATTGATATGATGACAGCAGATATGAGTATAGGGTGGTTGCATTTGACGTCAAAGCGGCCATGTTGTGGGAGCACATCAAAGTGCCGATACTAAACAGAGCATAAAATTAACATTAATTCTTTTCACTATATGACATTTCCTCCAACATGGTGACCGATGTAAGCACCCAATAATCATGAAACTGACCTTCGAAGTGGCGTCCCAATAATTAAGACATTGACTATGCCCGTTTCAAACGTCGTATTTTACAAAAGCCGAATGCAATTAAAACAAAAGATAATGTGGCATTCTATTTCATTTTATGTTGTCTTTATTGCATTCGCCTCATGTAAAATGTAACGTTTGAAACAGACCTACAAACAGATTGCAAACCCTGCACATAACTTTGCCTGAGTGTGCCAACTTTAGCTTTTACTGATTTCGATTGTGAAATTTTGCAAAACAAAAGGCGGAAAAAAAAATTTCTCTTACCAAGAAATCCTGCCGCATTATACTTTTTCTTTACACTTTTGTGAAGAACATCAACTTTGCTTGACCTTGCAATTAAATGCTGAACATCGCGCCATGTTAACAGTTGTCTAAAAAAATAATCGAGGTTTCTCCACATTTGGCTAATGCTGAACACAAAACAAGACATGGGTTAAGGCTAGTTTTTAAAGCATTCCGAGTTATGCTTTAACACAAAAATAAGAAATCATCTAAGATTTGATCATTTGTACTTCATTGCTAAAGTCGAAAATACTTGCACGGCATAAAGTTAAGTCAATACATGATTACAAATAACAATAAAACTCGACTCTTGATCACAAATATGCATGACAATATTTTGGGGATGCATCGCTTATCTAACATCATGCAATGCACAGAAAATTCAAAATAGAATAAGAGTTGGCCTGTATACAAGGAGTAAATTGTGTTCATGTCTCTAAACATAAACAGCTGTTTTTACACATACGTTATTAGCAGTCTTTTTGACTATTGTCACGTTGCAATCCATAAAATTTCACAAACTTTCTTGGGATACTCAGTTCTTTGAACGAAGTATGAAATATTTTCAAGAATGAAAGAACATCGACTAAATGAGATTTACAAACATTAATTTTTACTTCTACGACGTACTTAGCTTGGAGAACAAGTGCTATTATTCCAGATACCATAGCACTAGCAGCTGACGTTTGGCCAAATGTAGAGCTGCAAGATGTGTTACTAGAAGATGAGGCAGTTACCTACAATAGAACAGAATTATTATTATTATTATTAACATTATTATTATTATTATTATTATAATTATTATAATTATTACTATTATTATTATTATTATTACATGTTTGTAAATGTAGATCGTGCAGGTTGATAAAGTCCTGAGAAGGACTGTTTTTGTTGTTGTTCACTGACGTTTCGACAACCTTAGCGGTAGTTATCTTCAGAGTCAAATGAGGAGTAAACGTCAGGTTAGCCGTATGTATGGTCGACCGCTACTGTTCATCAAGAATGTATAATGCATGTAGGGAAGCATAGTTTTTGTTCTTGTGAAGATGCGAAGAAAAGGTCTAAAAAAAAGTCTAAAAGATTCATTGATCTGATGGCCTAAAATTAATTCAGCAATTAAAAGAATCGCAAAAGATTGCAGTCATTGTCAAAGGACACAGCATGCCTCAAAATGCAGCCTTACACTCATGACAGTTATGCTCAGTATATTCATGTCCATTTTGAAGCGATAATCTTTTTAGTGGTCGTGGATGCATATTCAAAATGGCTTAAGGATTATTAAAGCATTAAAGCACAACAGCACTCAAAATCGTGAAAGCCTTGCGATCTGTTTGTCCTTGAAACAGGATGACTAAAAAACTCATCAATGATAATGGACTATTGATGACTGCTAAGCAGTTTCGTATGTTTCTTAGAGAAATAGAGTTTATTATACTACAAAGGAGCCATATCAACTAGGAACGAATATGTTGAAGAAAGATTCGTTCAAACGTTCAAACGCTCAAACATGTTAGTATCAACGAAGAAAGACACGGGCATTACACAGTTGGATATTGCAAATTCGTAATAAAATTACAGAAACACCCCTAAGTTATTTAATCTATAAATCACACATTTCTTATATTAAGGTTTTGTTTTACTTCTTTCATATGAGGAGGAGAGGGGGTAAATTTACCAACAAAGGGAATGCTTCCCAGGAAACTTGGCTCGTAGGAGGAAAATTTTTAGAAGGAGGGGACATCTTTCCTGTGACACCAGCATATGGCAAGCATGCTAGAGACAAACAAGCAACTCAAACAAAACCAAAAGGAGCTATTGCTGGTAATAGTTGCTAACTCTTCATTCCACGAGAGGCGACTTTCAAAGATTATAAAGGGAAAGAAAAGTGGATTCAAAGAATTTTACAAGTTCAAATCTACTATTATATTGCCAGTTTAAGGACGCCTCGAATTTTATCTAGATTTGTTACTTAGTTCTGACAACCACTTCCTTACAAATTTTATCACATGAATAGTTTGCATAATTGCATTCATCACGAGATGGCTGATCAATAGCAATATTTAGCTTCACGCAATTCCCCCTTTTTGTGAGCACAATCACATTTAGAGGAAATGTTGTCAACATTTAATGTTTGCTACGTTTAGCTCTATTTCGAATAAAAATTTATTCCAATAAGAAGCTTTTTATGATATTTATCACATATTTCATGTAATATAAATAAAATAAACAAATATAAATGACTGCATGTTATAAAATTTATAACCACATACCAGGTTATCAGAGAAAGCAGCTGTCATTATTGCACTGCAACTTTCAGAGGTAACATGTGGTCTACCATTTGAGTAAACAGCAGCAACAGCGATTGTATGAATATTATTTACAAATCCATTAAACGCGCAGTTGTCACCAAAAAAAGCTCCATTCCCTGCAGAGAATACGTAAATTGAGCCTCGACCATTTCTCCCCTAAAATTATGTTGAAGTTATGTAAAGAGGCTTTTTCAAACAGAATCAAGACTACAGTCTCGATATTTGTCACCTGCCAGACAGTTTCTAAGATTTTTGTCTTACTTGTGCTTTAGAAGAAGTTATATGGGTGACTTTTTTGTTCAGTTCTATTGATCAATTTAGCATATGACTTCAAAAAAGTTTTATTTAAATAACCTTTTACAATTAGCTAGATGAAGGTAAGAATTACCTAGGATGATAAATCGAAATGGCTAAGCGATAACTTAATTTTATGTTGTCATATCTATGAAACAAAGTTTTGTAAATTTGACAGAGAATATTTTTCGATATTTGCGTTGATTATTTTTGAAAGAGAAATTGAATCGCATAACTGCATCTTGCTTTTAAACGCCATTAAAAAATTTTTGTTGTGAACAACCAGAGAAATAACTATACATCATGAGAGCTGAAAATCAATTTCTGCCGTGGCGTCCGATATAGTCAATTTTACATGTTTGTTAATGTAGATCGTCCAGGTTGGTATAGTTCTGCGATGGACTACAAAAACAAGAATAAAAACAATCCTTCTCAAGACTATACCAACTTAGACGATCTACATTTACAAACATGTAACGATACTCCCGGGCTCAAAACCATTTACTTTAGTAGATGATTTTCTTACAGCGCTTTTTTTTGCCTGTTTTTTTATTTTAGAGTGTTTGTTTTATGCAGCAGTAAAAAAGCACGTTCCCACAAGCTGAGAAAGAAAACATAACGAGTAGCTCAATTAGTTATCTTACTTTAGTAACCCCGTTCTCTAAGGCTTGCTCTGTCAAAGGTCCAGGACCTTTGACTACAAAACCAGTATCTGGAGGACCCCAGCTGTTTGAGAAAATATCAATCCCACGACCATTGAACGGAAATAATGCTTGAGCAAGAACTGCATCACTTGGAATTCCAGAATATGTGAACTGAATACCTTGAATTAAAATTGTGGAGAGATTATAAGCTTTTTCAAAAGAACCATCAGAACATGTACAATCTTAATTTCTTAACACTCCTTTCATACATAAGCTTTAAGTACAATAATCACTAAGAAAAAAAACCCAAACAAGATATTATTGATTTTGACATAGCAGTCTAAAAACACAAGCTCGTATTAAATTTGTTATATGTACTTGAGCAGCCTCAACAATACCTGTCTTAAATAGCCAAACAACAACATAAATTTGTCACACAATGTTTTTGGAACAGTCCAATCCCAATTGCTTTAATAAATTCTGATAAAAATTTACCAAAGTACGAAAATAAGGCAACAGAAAAAATTAAAAAATTTTTTTTAATAATAATGCAAACATTTTTTGCAATAAAACTTTAATATCGAGATCAAAAAGTGACAGATTTCACGATCATCATGACTTTTTTAACTTCTATACTACTGAAAAAACGACTCCTTATAATAAAGATAAAGATTTCTTTTAAAAAAATTTAAAAAAATTGATTTCCTACTTTTTTTAACCTGCTATTTTTTTTATTTATAAAAAGATGGAAAGAACTTTTTGGTACCTGCAATTTTTGCTTCAAACGCTATACCAACACCACAGATTCCATTGTTCGCAGCTCCAACAATGACTCCAGCACAGTTTGTACCATGCCTAAAGACAAACAACATTAAAAGCACAGAAGTATGACCGATAGTAATGTAAATCATAAATGCAAATCACAGTGATCTCAATCATCTTATTTAGTTTTTCTTCCGAGAATCAAGCCCTATACTATAAATGTTTAAAAATGAAAATGTCATAACTTTATGATCGTATTCTACAAACATTTCCCAGTAGTTATTTTGTTGAAGGGTTTATCCATCATTTTGTTAATAATGACCTAAGAAACAAACCTATACATGCAACTCAATATCATGTCTCTAAGACAAATTAATTGGCCATTGTCATTCAATAACTAAAGAAAATACGAATAAAGATACAAGGCCTTGTTTAAGTTCATTATAAATTCAAAAAGCAACAATCTTAACAGGTATTGGAAATTATTATGCATTGAATACATTAATTTTATTAGGTTACAACATTTGGACCGGCTGTTTACATGCAGTTGGTTCATGTAAAAATGGACGTTTATATTAGGCCTAGCAGTTCCCTTGAAACATTGAAGAGGGCGAGGGCAGCTTTAATTAAACTTGTAAGATTAATGTGAACTTTCAAGGTAAGGTCAGTAAAGCTTTATTAGATAAGACTTTACTAGTCACTGTTATTTTGAGATGTTATAAAGCTAGTATATTGATTACATCAAATGAAATTTTAAAGTTGAACTAATGATGCTCTCGATCATTTGTATCACTTACTCGTTCCAAAGAAAAAGATTTCTGTCGTCATTTGCATAATTGTAACTTAATGAGGGATCCTGTCGTCAAAAATGAAAAATATATAAGCACCAAAATATCACAAAATAACAATTATGCAGAAGGGCCTTTCAAGTGTGCGCTACGCCTTTGCGTCCGCCATCATTCCAGCAAGATACTTAGGGTTTTTTACTTGTTTCCAACCACTGCAATTACATGATGTCCTTTCTGCACGATGAAATCGAAAATATTTCTAAATAAGTAATGCTGTTGGGTCATTTTAGTGGTTGGGAATAAGTGAAAAGCCCTAAATATATTGCTGGAATAATGGTTAAGGACAAAACATTAGAGGTTCTGTCACGAGTGACCCTTCTGTTATAATCCATATTCCGTTACTTTACTGATAAGATTCTTAGAACTTTATTTGTCTCATGGAGCTTATTAACTTTTGTAACTTTTATACACTCTTTTATCGCATGTAATTGTTTAAACCAATGATGTTTACTTTATTTTGATTGTATATTTAATATTAACAATTAGTAATAACAAAAAGCGATATTTTTTACTCACATAACGTCCATAAAACTCCCGATGGGTGAATCTCAAGCCAGAATCAACGACTGCAACAGTTATATTTTTACCTGTGTATCCTGCCTTCCAGACGTTACTCACTTTATGATCGGCAAAAGTGTACCCTTTCTGTAAAAGTAGTGATAAGCAGAAATAGGCAAGTTTATGACAATTTTAACGAGAAAAAAACTATCCATGATAATAATCACAGTAAATTTATTGCAATTTAATTTTGTATCATGCATTGAAGATTTTAGTGGAGTGCAATATACGTATTATTAAAAAAATATTTTCACAATTTATTGTTTGGTTTAGATATTATTTTGTAAATTTTAGATTACGAAAAGTTAGAACACGTCTCACCAAAAAAACTAGATTATTACTTCACATCGTTATTATTGGGGCCTTAGCGTTTCTCATTTAAATTAAGTACTTTCCAAAGCAGTCAAATTAATTTTTGTTTTTTCTATACTCCAACAACATTACATCATTGATTTAGATTGAGAGAAGGAAAATTGCCGAGTTAACAATGTTAAAGTTGGCAGATCTATCACATCACGACGTATGTTTTTACACACACCTCAAGGGCAGATCAAGTTTTCATATAAACTTAGTCACATTGTTGCGCCGATGTTTTTAACGGATTCCCTTCTGAGGATTTTTCTTTGAGGATAATTTTAAAGTCTGATTGTTGAAATCTCTGTTTCTGTCGTTTTTTTATTGTAATGATTGCATAATGCTTATATTTAGGTATCAATTAGTTTGATGTTTTAACGCATGCATGGATGGCAAAGGTAACTCAGTTTTAGCCGACATATATTTTAAAATGAATCAATGAAATAAATTATGACGTGTTATGGCGATAGATGTATTGGCTACCTCCATTATGAGCTACGATCAAAGAAACTCCTCTCTTTTTAGGAACGCACTCGCGGATTCTGGTTTACCTCAATGATCCCATACACTAGAGACAGTACTTCCTTGAAAATGCGAATTTCATTTTCTCCGGCTGCAGGTGGTACTTACCTCAAGCACAGCCTGGTCTAAAAGAAGCACATTGACCATGTCATGTCTCATTTAGTCATGCTTTGCTAAATCTTTCGTTTCTTGTTTTTATTTATTCTGGCATTCAAAATTTGTCGGTGATAGTTATTTTGGAAAATATAAACATCGAGATGATCTAGCAAATCATCGTTTGCTACGATGGTTTCAAATTTTAGACAATCCAACTACTCTCTGCAGAATTATAGTGTTCTAAAGTTTTCGTCTTTTTTCATCGATGCATATATATGCATTGTCAATTCTCTCGGTGAAAGATGAGATTGACATATATACTCATCTCGTAACAAGCACTGAACATTGTCAAGCAATCGGTGCTGAATTTTGCACTAATTAATTAAACATTTTTCCAAAAACGAAGGCCCAATAGTCAGCACCATTTGCAGCATTAGGCAAATCAGAAGAGAGATTTAAGCCATCAAATTCATCATAATTTTAGCTCTGCTGACTCTGTGCAGTTTACTTCTGGTTTATGGTGTTTACGGTATGAAAAGAAGCGACCGCATAAAGAATAGTTTTGAACTAAGTAAAAATTCACACATTTACGAGAAATTTGACTACACAGAATTTAACTAAGGTGCGTGCTGAATATGACTTAGTTTGAAGTCGCCTTGACACACCCAAAATTGTTAAAAAATAAGGTCAGTAGGATACTCTAACAATTTTGGTTTCCTATTTTGAATAAGACGATGTTACAAGGTGTCTGAGATGTCCCATTCTTTCATGAAAGTACAGTTGACATTTTACGCTACTGTATTACCAGATGCTCGTATGGGATCAAACGAAAACGAGCTTATCAAAAATTTCAATTGAAGAAAACAGCTTATATTTTGTCCATACAAAACAGTGATGCCAATAATTAAAAGGCACTAACATCCTTCTTTTCTATGCAACGACCTTTTCACTTTTCTATGCAACGACCTTTTCAGCATTTGTATCAGAGGAAAAATGCTGACCAATGGTCATAAGCTTATAAGAATTTATCTTCCTTCTGCATTTTTTTCAAGTACATTCATGTAAAATTTTTATTGCACTGATTTAATTATATTTCATTAGCTTTACCAGGTATATCTGTTTACGCCATAGTGGATCATTGAACAACGATAATCTCTTTGATCTCTCCTTTTTATACCGTTTTTTCAGCTAAAAAGATATCAAAACTTTATAAACTGACATTTCATTTAAATAATCACTACATGCACTGAAAAGTTTGAGCAACCAAATTTTTAATATAACTAAACTTGAAAAAAGTACAAATGAATATGTACAATTGATTCAGTTAAACATTTACTATTAATTCAGTTAGTTAACAAAGCTCAACTATTACTGAGACAGATTAAAGTTGAATTCGATTGACTTCAATTAATACAACATCTAGTGGAGTGGAATTTTTGTTCCTTAGCATAATTTAAAATGTTTAAAAAAAAATCTCGCAATTTTAGTAAAGTTCCTTGTACTTTCTGGCCTCACATACATAATTGGTATGGTAAGATAAAGAAGGAAGCAATTGCAATCTGACAAAAGTGATTTATTTTGAAAGTCATGTATTAAGCTATTCGATATAGGCTTTCGCTACATGTACTATTACGACATGCTAAGTTAATACTTTTACGTTGTACATTTTCATTTCATATAATCGCGTATATCATGGTATTTTTTTGAGAGCAATTAAAAGATTCGTATAAATTTCCAAGATAAGATAAAATATATATTTTCACTAAATTACCATAATACGGCCTATTTACGGTAAGAAGTAAAACTGTATATCTCTCTCATTTTATGGTAATAAATCTTTTTTATACTGGCCTCATCAGCTACAAGTAGATAGTTAAGTCTGGTCATAGAATAGGAATGTACAGTAGGGCCACTTCACTGTGCAACTGGCTGCTGTATATATAATTAGTTTACTAGCTGCCGTTTGCCATATCGTCAATCCCATTGGTCACACAATATAATTTACTGGCTGCCAATATGGCAGTCACATGCGTAATAAGATATGCGTGGCATGTAAAAACTTAAATGGCGTGGCCCTACTGTATGTTCTCTATACTTGGGTCTGGTCAAAACGTTCATACTCTGATAAAATCCGGGCTGGTATATTTTATATGATATGCCCAACGTTTACTTACCAGATTTAAGTGTCGCAGACCATTTAAGCTTTCACGATCATTTTTTTTAAATTGAGTACTATGCACACCATTTTCTTTCTTGTTGGATGTATGACCCTGCATATATAAACTGCCCCTCTTGATGTTAAGAGCTTTAAATTTTTCTTCTTTTCCCTTAAGTGAAAATTGCCATTTTTTTATTTAGTATTTTTATATGACATGATTTTGCAGGCCAAGTAAATTGATTTTTTTTGCGTGAGAAACAAACGATGTATTTGCAACGTTTGAGACAATTCTTCTCGAAGGTAATATACAGCAAATATGTAAGGGATGTGAGAGATCTTTGCTTTGTTAGCACCGCCTTTTGTAGAATTGAAAATTTGAAGTTTAAAAAGGTCACAAATACAGTGGATTTTTTATAGAAACTACCAAGAATAATTGTCGGTAAGCTAACTTAAGTTAGTGTCCCTGGCTAAGAGAATTGGAATTAATTAACGTCAGCTGTCAATTCAAGATGATAAAGTCTTATTTTAAATAAAGAATAAATAAATCAGTTTTTAGGCAATTGTTGAATAAGAACCACACTATAAAACTATAACTTCAACCAAAATTTCAATAAATGATGCTTCGAATTACTTAATGTCGTCTAAGCTGTTTTTTGAAAATTGACTTTTAGGTAAGCCATTACTACCTAGTTGTTAGTGATGTTTGGTGCAAAGTGTGTTGATATTTGTTGTCTTACTAAATTATTTATCGCTAAAGATCGCGCATTGAAAAACGAAATTACTATATTTTTTATTTAAAAGCTAGTATAATGAAATTACAATACCTCACGTTCAACTACCATCGAAATAAAAAGAAAAAGGCATGATAACAATGACGCCAGCTTAACTGTGTTTACAAACATGTTTTTAAAAAGAGTTTGTACGTTGCTCCTTGCTTGCCGATATTGTAAAACATACTTTGAATACTGACTAATAAATGCGACTACTTCTTTTGATGACTTCTTGCTGAATAATCTTTTCATTTGTTTGTTTAAAGAATTAACACAAAACAGACTTGCTGAAGGAAGAAGATTGCTATTTGTTATTGAAATATCAGCATCACTTATTAAGTAAACAGTCCAAGCTAACGAATAATGACGTGCACGGTTTTATTCGTACGTACTGTTGGACAAAAAATCTTGAAAAAATTGAGCCATTAATGGGAGGAATTTCATAATAATTTTAAAGTTAAACGTGAATAGTTAGCATCGACGTATGCATGGATACGGAAGTGAAGCTGATTTACATGCAAAACCATGCAAAATGTTTTATGCATAAATAAAGTTTGTATTATGAATGTCGTAAGTTAAGCTGATCTTAATTACGACAGTTTTATGCAAAATGGACCTGCGTAGACTCATGTGTTTTATTCTGCCAACAATGCTCCAAGGCTATAATTCTGTAACATATTGTCATCTTTATATCTAATCTAACTTGTGAGCTTCTCATTGCCAATGAACAGCGACAGCGATATCTTAAACTCAAAAGTTAAATTTAACAGTACTAGAACACGTATTTTAATAGTTTAAATGTGCATAGACCTTGAGGTGATATAGTTGTAAACATCAAGCGTGCAACAATAGCTGTAATAAGTTCAAAAAATAATCACAAACCGATTTGACAATTTATAGGAAAGGTTATTAATAATGCAAAATACATCATAAGAGATCTGACCGTCATAACCACTTTAAGCAATCGTGTAATGAAATTCATTAACCTGCATGTAGGTGATCGAAACATTCTTCAACAATGTTTTTGTTTTTTACTATATTCATCTATGATATTCATGATAACGAAGGATTTTCATTCAATTTCTACTTAGTAGCTACGTACTTATTCTTAATAGATTTAAAAATTATGATCTTTACAGCGTGACTGCCCTTTTCAAAGACTTTCTAAAAATACATCTTTTCTTCTTCTTAGATTTATGCCTACCACTCTAAAAAAGTCTGTTTATTCTTTTAAAGAAATTGTCTTGAAGAAATGATTGAAGCGGATGAGTACATACCAGCTACAAGCCACAGAGAACAGTTTTGCAGCTGTAGACCTTGATTACTTGAAGAAAGAATTCGTGGCGTAGCTTATAATTCGGTTGACAATCTCCAGACAAATACCCACATGTGTACATAGGGACATAATGGATGTCTTACAATTTTTTGGGACAATTTTTTTGCTTCGCCTGACATCATCGTCCTTTTTTTATTTGACCATCCACACTAACGCTAAGGATACACGGATTTGCTTTAATCTGAGCCATGTTTTTGTGTTGACAGAAAGCCTAAACATATCAAAAAATATACGGATTCAAATGAACTTGTATTATTGTCGACAGGACTCAATCTTTGCGAATCAACAGTTTGTACACGTGCTAATTGCATACACGATGACCTAATATAAAACATGTATTGTAAAACATCCAAACATACATTGCAGGGGCCGGTTGCACAAAGCCTGGATAGCAATATCCGTTGAGTAGCAGAAATTTTCAAACTTTTAAAAAAGGTTTTTATCTTTTTCTTATGTCTAAGAAATTTTGTCAACTTCAAAACAATATTTTATTTAAGTGATTGCACAGTTCAAATCGTATATTTTTCTCTTATACGAGATTTTATGAACGTTAACAAAATTTGCTATCCAGTGTATAACACTATCCAGGCTTCGTGCAACCAGCCCCTGCAGGGTATGTAAAATAAACAAGTAGCCTTATGCTTAAAGTGCTCTGAAGTTAAAATTTCGCATTTCGTTTTTCGACACAAACGTTTTCTCTGCATTTTACATATCATTTTAAGCTATCGTACACTGAATTTGGTCAACGTGAACGCATCAAAACATGGCATTTTTGCTAAAGCGCGTGACGTCTTTCAAAGGACGGAAGTTGAATTTTAAAGCTGTTAGTTTATAAAAATACATATCGAACAGAATATTCTTTATGACTTCTTGTTTGTAAAAATCGAGTATAGTTAGCGACAAATAAGTAATACGTACAGGGAGACAACATATACAAGCCACTATAGTTTTATAAGCTCTTTAATAAACTTATGATTCTTGATGAACTGGGTACTGCATCCGTGACGCAGGCTATGGTTTAACACATACGCAATGTTATCAGAAACTAGCTGCAATTGGCTGATTCCAATCTATTATAGTAATATAAGATTCTTGATTAGAATTCTCAAAGAAATGGGTGCCATTATGTAGTCTGTTGTTTTAATTAAAACCCTAGCAAAGTACAAACAGCAATTGGATAGGAAAGAACTTTCTTTTACACCATTGTTTCCCTCGCGTAAAATGTTCATAATAACATGTAAAATAGATATGACCAGTGCAATGTAAAAGAAAATACATAAAAATTGTTATTGAAAGATCAACAACAAAGTACAATGCAAGCAAAAAGTTTGGACATAGATTGTAACAAATTGCTTCAAAAGATCGTCCACATACAAAGAAAATGCGCTTATGCAAAAAGTGTGGAGAGCTCACGAAAAGACATCAAAGTTCTTGTCCTTAAGAATTGTTTGACAAACATTCTTCGGAAGCAAACTTTTATGTTAGTGGCAAAGTAACATACTATGCTATGAGATATCGTGTAGTGAAAATTTTCCCTTGAAAATTAAACAATTCCACTTGTTTGTTTAATAGTGTTAATGCGGACCGTTTGCATCAAGAGAAAACATATTAAAGACATCATCAGACTCTGATAAATGAAAGCAGTATTTACCACTATTGGCAGAAAATAAGTATTTTAAAAAAGAAATCCATTTCTGCACAAAGGCTTTATAAATTTATGTTATAGAGTGGTTATAGCTATGAAACTACACAGCCATATACTTTTACGCATAATTAAATGCAAAAATTAAGCAATGCGAGAGTTTTTTATCTTCCTTCAGCAAAGTGAAGAGGTTGAGTATCGGATATCTGACAATATTTTAGAATTCATGAGTATCAAATGACATAAAATGAAGATAAACAGTTAAAGTTCAAATGCAGCCATTTTCTAGCCTCAGATAATGATAAATGTCGACATTGTACTACCATAAAAACGCAGAACAAAAAGAAATAGACAATAAATACTGTCTGTATAAGCTGCCAAGTCTTAAACGAATTCATGGAATTTGGCTAAAAGGTAGCCAAACATACAAATACTCTCCAAACTTCCTTTAGCATGTTTGTTTTTTCTCTCTTATCTTAATTTGCATTTTCAGGTTTTAAAACTTGCTGCAAGTAGTTCACTTTTTATTAACTGTAAAGTGGTCGGCTAACTAGTTTCAATATTCAATTGATGAAGTATACCTTTAAATATATTTTGAAGACGAGAATATTCTGATCGACATAAGATGAAAGTCTTATTGATTCATTTTGCTGTGTTGATTTTTGTCAACTATTGTGAGGTACTATCAGAAACGTAGCTACCATAGGTTTATAGAAAAAAAATGCTTGCTCTCATTGAAACTTAAGGTCTGCTGCAACATGCATAGTAACTAATTTTTATTATTTTTTAAAGTTTACTGTTACATTAGTTTAAATGCTATGTTTATGTTTCTGTCAGTTTTAAAGTTTTGCTGGTAGTTATTATCTTTTTTTTGTCAAACCACAATTGTGAAATCAATAGGCGCAATTGAAAATCCTCTGCATATGTCTATCTTACTTCTACGGTGGTAAATTATAAATGCCTTTATATACTTTGCGGCTTTGTGTTACCAAACTCATTATAGAGCATAAAATACTATTAACCCATGTGTTCTGTTTTCTTTTCAAAACGTGGCCACACCTATCATAAAAAGGAAAGCAAATACTTATACCGTAACTGCGATAGAGTTTCAAGACTGAGCGATAGTTAATTTGGGTTGCTAATAACAACTTTGTTTGAATTTTCCAACTTTGCAGCCATTCAAGACAAAGTTCGACGTCCTTATTAATGAAAGAGGTACCCAATTCGTGGAAAAAATTCAAATAAGTTTGAAAAAAAACAGGATAATTTTCGTCGTTCCCCAACATAATGATATATCAGCTTCAGTTGTTCTTCACGATTTTAATCTGGTGCGAAAAACTTATGCATTTTAAATTATTCCTAACTGTTAATTGCCATAATAATGAGCAACATGCAAAGATGATTTAAAATTAAAACTATTGTGCCACACTTTGATACAATGGAGAAGTTCGTAGCTATTCCTATATCAATGATATTAATTGCCGCACACAAACCAGTTACATAACATGTTCAGTAAAAATGTCAATACAACATATATGGAATTCTTACAGAATTTGACGATAACTCGCATTCCTAAAGAAGGCATTTGTCATTTCAAGCCTCTTGAGGAAGGTTTGCCTTCCCCCAAGGAAATGATGTACGAAATGAATTACGTAAGTTTAATCTTTTTACAATATATTACTGATTGACTTTGTTGCATGCTAGGTGATTTTAAATTAAAGGTTTAAAATTTTATTTGATGGCAAAAAATATTGGTCTTTAATCTTAGTTTACTGTCCTTTTTTGCATTAGTCAATTAATTGTAAACTTATAAATCATAGCATATGATAAGCTTATTAAAGTGAGTAGTAAATAAATTACAACATATTTAAAATTATACTGCCGGAAAACACGTTGCAAATAAGCTTTGGCAACGCAAGAAATACTGAATTTTAATAAATTTACAGGTTGGTAGAGTCCTGAGATTTTATTTATAATTTCAAATATGTTGCGATTTATTTACTATTCACTTGAATGAGCTTCTTATATGCTATGATTTATGCGTTTACTATTAATTCATTAATGCGTTTTTTAGGTTGAAAAACCGTTATAGGTTTTGATTAGGGTATGGGTTGCAGCTATTCAAGCGGATATGAACCATGTATTTTTATTTTTCTGTGGAAATCCTGCATCCTGAGTAGAAATTAAAAATAAATCGATTGATTGATTGAATTGTCTCCCTATGATTGCATAATAACAATCATTCCTCCTTTACTGTTATTCTATCCATTTTTTTCTTGTTCTAGTTGAATAACAAACATCCTCGGATTAGAGCAAATACAACATTGGTTAAATCAACTCAATATGGGTTGGATAAGCGCATCAGTCGAAAAAATGTACACCCATCGATAGCAAAATTTTGCTCCGGACTTGCAATTTACAGTTTGAAGAAAATTGTGAAAGATGACTTTCATATATTGGGTGGTAACGGTAAGTTTTTCAAATAATTCTGAATTGAAAAGTTTTTTTGCACTGTCAGTTTTTTAAAGTCAAACAATCATACTTAAGTAAATTTGTGGAGTACGTCAAAAAAATTGAAAGAGGACTAAATTTCAAAAAAGTTCGTATAATTTGTGTGTTAAATACTTTTGAAAAACATAAACTCAAACTATACATTCTCATTAGTGAGCTATAATAGACAGAAGGCTCTCTTCAGATAAATAGGTCAGCTCACGCGTGCCTGGAAGTTTAATCATTGAGTTATCTAAACAACTGGAGTTGTAATGAGGACTGGACCCAGTTGTCAAAAACATGGCGGTAATGGCGGATTTTGGTTGTCAAAACTTCCAATTTGAAAAATATTTTTAATCTTCACTCCCTCCGGAATCCGGATTTCTATTACTGCTTATAATAAAGACCACCAGAGAAAACAACCACGATACCGAAGCAAATAATATTGAAAATAATGCTTCAGGCTTTTTTGAAATAGCCACACACATTGAGATGACAAAAATGAACGGGAAAATAACGTATATTTTGTCCATTAAAGTTTTAGCTATATTAAAATAAATGGTAAACGATATTCTTTGCTACGACTGTGAATGTTGTCAAGCTTGTACATAATCCATGGACGCTACTTGTGTGTTTGACTGTTTGTAACAGCTTGGTGCAACTGCCTTTCGTGAATAGATGGGTAAATCCTAGTTAAAATGTCTGAAAAGGAGTGAGAAAAAGTTTGCTTACACCTACGACTTAAGTCAACTTGTAAGATATCCTGAATAAGTAGGTATCAATTTTTTTTAGTTATTGTCGTAGGATTGATTCTGCGTGTCGTAGTCTGATTTTTAACGTAATGATATTCTGATAAATGTATTGAGAACATATAAAGAAAATGTCTTGAACTAGGAGAGCCAAAGAACAAATTTCAAAACATTATGATCATATTGCTGGGTGGAAATTTCTGATTTGAGCCAAGATATTAGACACTGGATTGTTTATAGACTTTCTGGATAGTTCTTGTGTTATAATTGTTATCATGTGACGAGAAAATTTAAAGTTCAATTTTTTGGCGATATTTTATGTCCGAAAAAACTGCAAAAAGGAAACTTAAGCTTCAATTTTGAAATGCATAAAAATAATCAATCATTTTTTACTCCTGGTTACGTGTTTAAATTGGGTGGAAACACTAGGTGGCTATAGACTAGCATCAAAATTTTGATTGATGTGGCCCTTCCACATTTTAGTTGAATGACGTAGCCCTCCATGTTTTACTTTAATGACCCGCCATACCACTAATGTAGTGATTTTTCTAAAAATTTTAGAAACCTCCACTGGACAAAAGAGACAAACTTTCAGTGCTTCACTTTGTCCCGGCTACAAGCGTCTTGATTGCAATCCAAACACCTGGATACTCAACTGCAAATTCGTACTTCAAGGAACTTGTATCTATTGGGTAAAATGCAAAGTGCCTTTTCACGTAATCAACAATAATTGGGATCATTGTCAGTTTACTCACAACTGGAGTGCAATTGTGTGCTGCACAGCACAATGCCCACCTGGAAAGTAAATCTTTTTTAAGTTTCCTGTTTCACGTTGCTTAAAACGTAGAAATTACTTTGTTAGCTTAGAAAACATAAATGTAAGTGACTTTTCAGTACGAGTAGTATGAATTTACTGTGTTATTTTAGATTGATTAGGCAAATATGGTATGAAAATACTCTGCTAAAAACACATTGTGTTTTAGAAGTATTTATCTCATATGTCTCAAATAGCATGGTTTCAACAATTTTCTACATTGCATTATGGTTGTCCAATCCTTACAGGAGAAAAATTTTCAGCAGAATGACATTTACTATAAACTAAAAGTCGAAAACAGAACTGGGAAGGCGTGTTGTTAGAGTCCATGGCCATTTGATAAAATCTTCTTTAAAGTGATGGTTTGAACATGGGAGTATCGTTACATGTTTGTAGATGTAGATCGTCCAGGTTAGTAGAGGCCTGAGATTCTGATTTTTATCAAGCAAACAGATTAGAAAACGTCATGAAAACAATAAACCGTACAAAAGTGAAAGCCCTCTTTCCAATAAATGGCTTTAACAATTATGATTTTTTTTAAACGAGTGTTTCCGATATTCTAATACATTTGACAAGTTTTATTGGCTTACTTTTGTGTCAGCTCCTTGTGCTTCCTCTTTCAATCAAATTACTTTGTCTGTCGGCGTGAAAATAACAAAAATCCATTAGTTAAAGTGATTAAGATGTAGTAGCTATAACTACTGTTTGTGTTATTATACTACTTAAAATTAGTATGGCTAAGTTTTTAGTAAAACTCTCCTGACGTTTTCTCATAAATGATGTAATCGCATTTTAAAATCCATTTATCATTTGCAATTTGAGGATTTGAGAAATCACACGTCAGCTGTCTTACACGACAATTCTTTCCTGCTGGTGCTGTAAGTATTTTTCCCGAAGTACGACTCCAATCTTCTGCATCGTGTTACAATGATTGTTGAATCTCGTTCTTTATCCTGACCTCATCGTTTGAATTCATTGCTGTCAGTGAAACGGAAACCATTAACGATTGTTCCAAAACATCTTTGGCTAAAATAGACGATGGCGGTTAAAATAGACGATGTCTTACATCACGTTAAAGCCTGTAATTAGCGATATTTCTTCTGACCCATGCTCTGATTCATTTCTGTTTTCCCGTGTCCATATCATCACGTTGTCGACCTTTACGTTGAAAATCGGCACCCAGTTTCTATGATTGATTTTGAAAAGTTGTCTTTCATCTGTACCCATAGATATAGTAGGCCTAGATTGCTGACGAGCCGCCATTTTGCGTGACATTCATGATAAATCCAAGATGGCACGGGAACCGGGCAAAAAATATAAAATTACTATAGGGCGATTGATGTTTTTCGTAATTTAATTCTTCTCATTGTTTTCAAACTCTTTCGATCAAGTTTTATTGGAAACAAATCGTTATTGTAAGTGTTTTGAAGCCATATTGAACAGTTATTATTAAAATACGGGCGAAAATATCGCTTTCGAAATATTGTGTAAAATGGTCGATTGGTTGTCTCGAGTCGTTCGTCCACCAAAATAAACAGATTTTGTCAGCTTTAGCTCCCATACTGGTTTGTTGTGCGTTGAAATATATCATTTTGACAATTTATAGAAATATGGGAAAATCAATATGAACATTTATAACAAAAAAGCAATTTATTTGCAGAAGTACTCCAACTGTACTCGTACTGATAAGTGAGATTCATCCACAGTATAGCAAGGCCATTTGACTTTGAATGAATGGAAAGTGGAGCAAGAAGATACATAACACTGCAGCACTAGTGTTTACTGGCAAGATCTTAGAGAAGCTAGTAATGATGGGAAACTTAATTCAAGGAAACTTGCCTTATCTCACGTAATTGTATCCAGGAACATTGGCTATACTGATAAGATCTTACAGCTAAGTTGTTATACAAAACAAAAGGAAACATATGTTCAGAAGCTTGTTATATTACTGGTTATTACAAAATCGGACATCTCTTAAACAAACAAAACTGTAAAATTCACTGAGCACTGCAAAGTAGAATGAAAAAGCTAATGGCATAAAAGTTTGTGGAAATCATTAATGTTCATTTAAGTTTATTTTCTGCCACAAATGAACTCCAAATCAGTTTGGGCAAAAAACATCGTCTTTGTTTTATTTTCCGACAAGTTTAAAATTCTTCAAACAACAACTAAAAGTTCCGTGGATGGCCTGATCCAAATTAGAGCCCAAGTTTAACATAGGCTGTTTATTATTTGATTTTGCAACATCCTGCAAAGTTTTTCACCATAAATTCAAATTTTCTCACCTCCGTCGAATTGGAACCTCCACGACTGATTATCATTATATTGGCCTATGTGCCAGACACAGCCAACGTCTTTTTTTCCAGACCCCCACTTAATATTCATCGTGCCAGTTAAGATTGGCAAAAAATATTTTTAACTTTACTGTTCGCTACATAAACAATTCTTTACCAACAAGGAAAGACTTCACAAAATGACTTACTTATCTTCACCAGATAGTACCTTCTATCTTAAACTAAAACCCTATTGATGTCGTTGTTGGCCTTTTCTTAGCGATATTTGCAGTTGTAAATGTATGAATGATTCAATTAAAAATCATATTGTAATTACTAACACATTTATTCATCACAAAAAATCCGATAAACATGGTCAATTCGGTTTCTCGTATAATCTTCTCAATTCAATCCATTGGTTTCAATTCATCGACAATGCAGCAGTAATAACTAGCAAGAAGTGAGAAAACCAAAAATCTTTTTACTCGCTTTCAACTTTGCTGCAACTGGTCTAGTATGGTAATTCGAGTTGATACATTGACTTTGAAATAACCAACAATAAGCACCAAAACGAATTAAGGTCCACTCTTAATAAGCTGGTGGTTGAAAGTGACACCCGAGAATATAACCTAAAAACAAAATTGCTCTCAATACTCGATGCGTTTTCCTAAACTATGGCATTTCACCATCGCAACCCTCTTAAAAACCTGGATATCCGATCCCATTGTCCATCAATACACACGCAAATAGTTAGAAATACCAATATCAGAAACCCTAGGTAACGTCTATCTGAGCTATTTCGAATTTGGTCTTAACGTCACTCAACCATCCACTACATTCACTCAATGGCAATGCACCGTTCTAAACACATTAAAAACAATACATTAAAAACATCCAGCATTTTTGTAATTCAACAAATAATCATACTAATATTCAACATGATCAATATAAAACAGCAAAGGAAGTTTTATGGTCCTTTCAAAATCAACAAGTAGACAAACATCGAAATCAACTACAGTGTCAACGTCCAGCATCTCAAAATTTCTTTACGTGAAACAAATACAACGTGGTCGTGAAGACGAACTAAATAAAGCATTTGCGATAAAATACTGGAAAGATTCTGCAAATGTTAGAAGTGTAAAACCTGAAGCTCACGTGTACATGATTATTTTAATTGGTTTCTTATTTTAGGCCGTGAGAAATTTTGTAAAGACTTTTTTTTGGCTGAAACTCACGTTCAGTAAACCATCAATCATTGATGAATCAACCAGCAAAGAAACTGAGTACGGTATAAGGTCCATGAAATAATCACTTTTGCTTCAAATGCTTTTCAAACTACACCTATATTACACAAACGTCGTTCATTTATAAAACAAATATTCACAATACTCAAAACGAATGTGAAAACATTTTGAAAACATCGTAAAAAAATCGTGAAAACATCGTGGGAAGCAACTTGGACTATATTTTGTATACGTACTTTCATTGACAGCCTTCACACATGTACATGCGTACTTTCCATGACGATGTCAACAGGATTGCTCTCTCTTGAATAAATACGCTTTATGCAGTAAAGACTCAAAGCAACGAGCAAACAAAACACGAAGACACCTGCCAAGACAACACCAACGACAGCTCCAGTTGAAACTAAAAACATAAATCATGTAGATACAATACGAAAAGGCTTCTGCGAATTTGGGGGAATTATATACAACTTTGTAAGACTTATTCGTACAGCAAAGTTTTTCACACGACTGTTGGCTTTTTACATTCATAAAAATACACATTGTCTCAAAAAACAAAACGCAAAGATTTATAAACGAAAAACTATAGTTTGCTGCATAAAATAAATAGTATTTTTACGAAACGCATGCAAGGAAGTTTACTGCATTGACACGTAGGCCATCGTCTCCCAAAAGAATGGAATAACTGAATAAGGCCTCTCAATGCAAAGCTATAGAGCTACTTTTAGATTCAACAAACAATTTGTTCCGTTTTATGAGAGACACGTTTTTATCAAGGTATAAAACGGGTCTTCATGTCACTGCATGGCTACAACATACCATCAGCAGGATTTTATTTTATTGGTGCATGTTGCAGTAAAGTTACGGCTAATCCAAGCAGCCAACCCAATGATATCATCTTTCCAAAGGGCAGCTAAAGAACTAAAGCCTAGTTCAAACGTCAAACTTTAAAATGAATCAAACACATTTAAAACAAAAGATTAATAAGGAAGTTCAACTCATTTTCTTTTGTCTTTAATGCGTTGGTGCATTTAAAGTTCGACGTTTGAAACAGGCCCAAGTTTCTTCGAAACATAACTATAAAAAAGCCCGTTTCAAAACATGAATATATCTACAAAAATCTGGGTCAAAGTATACCTAGCTTGCAGACCAAGAGCTATTATTCCAGAGACCACAGCCGCTGCACCAGATGTTTGACCAAAAGATGAAGAGCATGCTTGGTCATTGGAAGCAGATGCAGTTTCCTTAGAATAAGAAGCTTATAGAGCACACATTTATAACACATAACCATGCATAACCAATCAGAAGCCGTAAAAATTTGGAAATTGAAAAAACGACAGAGCTTGAGTAATATGCGGCACATCATTTGTGACAAGATAAAAAACCTACCAGATTATCGGCGAAAGCAGCCGTCATAACAGCACTACATGGCTCAGAACTTAACATTGGTTTTCCGTTTTTGTCCAGAGCAGCAACACCAATTGTGTGAATATTGTTTACAAAACCATTAAAAGCACAGTTGTCCCCAAAGAGAACTCCATTTCCAGCTGAGAAAACATACAGCGATCCGCGACCATTTCGTCCCTATATGTAGGAAAAGTTAGTATGTTTACATTTTTTTACGTATGTTAAATTTTATAGATCCCATATTATACATTTACATTACACAGTTTTAAAAATTCTCCGTGCTCACCAATCAAATCAACTTTTTAGAACATTAAAAGCCGATTGCGCTAGAACTTACTAAAGATAAAACGCTAGAGTTGGAAGTCGCTTCGCACCGTGTATTTCATTGGTCGTTACATGATAAAATAATGGGAGGTACATATAGCAATCTGTGAAATTTCATATGAATTTCTACACTATTGTGGAAATATGGCCATCATGCACCAATGCAAGGTTGAGAATCTTTACGTAACACCATAAAATGCCGTGAAACAAAATGTCCATATATCCAACAGCCATTCACTATCTCTGTCAGTTCCAGATCATTCCATGTGTCAAGTCATTTTGCAATCAAAGTTTTTTGTTTTATTTGCTAATTGAGTTTCTGCTTGCGCACCTCTAAATAAATACGAAATATTTCCTTGGGCCAATACCAAAGCACGTAACTATGTACTAGGGAAACAATGCGATTACAAAACAGCAAAAAATTGTATCAAGAGAAAGGTTAAGTCGTATGCGTTTCCGGTGCTTTACATTCTAATTCACTTCAAAAATTTTAAACATAAATTCATTGCCATTTTGAATGAAAACAATTTTTTAAAACAATACTTTCGTCTTCAGCAATTGGTCATCAAGCTTTTTCAAGAGTATGATACTCACTCGTCCAATAAATAGAATGCAGATTTTGATGTGTAGAAACAGGAAAATTTTGACGAGACAATAGTGTTGTATTCTTTGTCTATGGCTAGCCTTGTCCTATATGGGTTTAAATTAATTCTTGCTTATTTTTGACGTTCTGTTACATCCACACTGATATTATAAGTAATCATAAAAACTTGAAAGAAAATACCAAGGTTGTCCTTAAAAAGTTTTTTAGGGGTGTGTGTAATCTTTTTAAGCAACTGGCCAACGAACTTCGACCGAATACACTATAGGGGGAAGCCTCGTCATTTTCCAAAGTCTACTCGATGACGTCGGTTGAATGTGTTAATTTATTAAATAATAACGCAATAATATGTTAAAATTATATGTAGCAAGTTAATGTACTAAAGAAATATTTTTAACATATAGTCATGGAAAAGACGCTAAATCTTCTTTGTGTCAAAATGCACACGTCTTTTTCAAATTTGCCCAATTTTGAAAGACTGCTTGCGGACATCCAACGAGTTTGAAACATTCTTTTCACATAAAATTAGTATAAGTAATTCCCAAAGATCTTGAAGCATAGCGCTTCTTAATCTTTTCTTCATCATTTAAACATTTTACTGGAAATTTTTCACATTTCATTTGGTAAGTGTTACCCTATGGCACCAACGGTCGTTAAAGTATTAATCAAACAAAATTCGCACACAGCCGCATCAGTAGTGGACTGCCTAGTGATGGACCTCGGTTTTGCACAATGCTGATTGGCACAAACATATTTGATGTTTTAAAGTAGCTACAAGTAACAACCAGTTATATTTAGTCAATGTGTTGAGCTCCAAATGATGACCAAGGGCAAAACTAGAACGTTAATTAGGAGAGGGTGTGTATATATTTATAAATTCAGCTCTGCCCTGCTGATTTCTTTTGTTTCCGTTGTTAATTTCACGATTAATATTCACCCCCAAATTAACGTTCTAGTTTCGCCTCTGAAAATAACATAAGTCCAATAAAAATCATGCAGGAATGATTGATTGCAGGTCTTTGGCAAAGTGGTACACATTCTAATTACTCGTCTAAAGAGTAACTTAATAAGATCTTTCCTTAAAATGGGTCCGGTGTTCTCAAGAGCGTATTAGAATTTTGCCATGGTTTACGTAAACCAGTTCGAGATACACACATTTAGCCAGCACTTAATTCGGTTTAGTGACATTCTTTGCCATCAACAACAGAAATTAAATGTGAGGAGTCTTATTTATTTGTTCCAACCACAATTTTCGGATAAAGGAAATAAATCAAAACATCGTTTATCTTCTGGTATAATTACCAAATACGACTATCCATAACCTTTCATCTTAATGTAATTAGGCACTTTGTAGCTAATAATGGGAATAACTGACAGCCAGCTTGTAGCTACATGTCATTCTGCTACATGTCTACATGTCATTCGGTAGTAATCTTAAGGAAGATCATGTAAGATCTTATAAGATCCTAAGGTAAGATTTTATAAAAGATCCTAATAGGATCCTGCATAGAATCTGACGTATAAGATCTTACTAAGACCCTTTTAAGATCTTAGTTAAGATTTCTACCAGGGTGACGATTTTGTGGAAATAAAACCAAAATATTGCAATTCTCAATTTATCTTGTTTATAACACAACGTAGTTCTTCGGATTGTGTCTAATCTTATACTTAGTCAAATTGTCTCGGAGGTAAAAGATGGTTGAGATAAAGTGGCACTCGTTTATTCATCAAATAGTTATAGAACAACAAAACCCTTGACACAAGTGCAGTTTAAGGCAAAAATAACGCTGGCTCACAAAGTGAAAAAGTGGTAAATTCAAAGTTAGATAAGTTTATGACTGAGAATTATCTCAAAAGTTAAAAACCCTAAATTAACCCTAACCCAATCTACAGCTCTCAAGCTAACATTTTATTACGTTGTTTTTACTTTTTCACTCAATTACAATATTACATTTTAAGCTAGTAAAGAGTGAAATGAAATGCTTTGTTGTACAGTCGTGTAGCTCTCAGTGTTTTTTGATTTTTAATAATCCGCCCGGCCTGCCATTCACTGTCATACATGCCCACAGTGTTTATGGTCAACGGAAATGGGCTACCGTTGTCCGCTAAACTGCACTCAAGCCAAACCCTGTACGTAAGTGTTACCTTTATTACGCCATTTAAGAAAGCACGCCGTGTTAAAGGCCCTGGGCCCTGCACTTTAAAGCCTACGTCAGGTGGACCCCAACTGCAGGAAAAAACATCAATTCCGTGACCATCAAACGGAAACATTGCTCGAGCAAGAACTGAGTCTTCAGGAATACCAGACGATGTTAACTGAATTCCTTGAAAACAAAAATGAAACATTTTGTAAACAAACGACCTGTTACGTACGTTGGCCAGCCAGAAAATAAAAAAATTATATCACGTGACTCGCACAAAAATTCATACAGGTGTGATACGTTTAATTGGCAGTGGCATTTTACCGGCAATCTTGGCGTTGTAAGCGATACCAACACCACAGATACCATTGTTGGCAGCTCCAGCGATAACACCAGCACAGTTTGTACCATGTCTATAAAAATATCACAAAGGTTATAACAATGTTTAGTAACCAAAACACAGTTAGTACCATGTCTACAACACTACCACAGTTTTAACCATGCCAGTCTATAACACCAGAAAAACTAGTACCATGTCTATATAACACCAGTAGAGTTATAACCAGTGACGTACCCAGACGGCAAGTCTTAGTTCTGCAATGTAAATTTCAGAAAGTTATCGTTATTTATTTCTATTGGAATCTATTGTTTTTGCAATGAGTGAAAAGAATAACTTTGCATAGCAGGATCAAACTGGCAAGCTTGTTACGTCACTGGTTATGCCTATTCTACAACAGCCACTTCCAACACACCATTCAATTTTAACAAATTTACCACTTGACATAAACTCGACTGGAGATTAAATTTGAAGATGTATTTAAGAACCTCATTACTGCACTCTTTGTGAAAGTCCTTGTCGTTGTAAATGAAGGAAAGTTGACTCTCCAAAGTTTGGATGTCAAAAAGAGGACTATACTTATCTTTGAGAAGATTGATCTTCTCCTGTGGAACTATGCTCTTCCATGTAGTAAATAGTTTAGGATTTACAAGGTCTAAAAACTCGAACTGATTAATATCTTGAAATCGTTCACTTATCATGCCTTTAATGCAATCAATAATCTCAAAATAAAGCTGTTTGTAATTGTATCTACTATCTGCTCTGGTTGCTGGTGGGCCTACTTTTTCTAGTGCAGTTTGGTAAAACTCGGTGAAAGCTTGATCTGTGCGAAGTGACACAATAAACTGCTTGAAATTGTCAATCTTGCTTATGCCATAGTTAAAATGGGTTTCCCTATTTTGAAGAATGGAATACAAAATTGTGGACTGTTCTAAAATCCTGTAAAAAACACACACTAGAAAACAAAAGAGAAAGCTATCAAGATAATGCAGTAAGCCACTTATTTTACTTAATGACTCGTCATCCCACCCAGCTGGTTGTTCAAGTACCCCCTCAAATATATCTAAAAGTTTTTAATAGTTTTTGTGCAATACATTGATTAATCTAGAGCGATAATACCATCTTGTTTCACCAGGGGCAGGAAACTCAAGGTTGTTAGATGTGAGAAAAGCTTTTCTTTTTGGGGCATTGCTTGTAAATGTATTGAATGTAGCTATATTAATAAAAAAGATTTTAACAGGAGAAATTGATGAGGCTGACTGGCATAGGACCAGGTTCAATCTATGAGCTGCACAATGAACAAAATGAGCAAAAGGATACTCTTGTCGAACCAATGCTTGAACACAATTGATATGGCCAGACATGACAGAAGCACCATCATATGTTTGTAAAACCAGTTTTTCTTTTATATTAGAATACTCACCAAGTTTATCTTTGACAACTTGTGATATTTCTGTGGCATTTCTGTTGATACTTACATCCACAAATCCTAATTGCCTCTCCATAATTTCACTTGCTTTGTCAAACCGAGCAATAACACTTAGCTGCTCTTTGGTGGAGACATCAGATGCTTCATCAACCTGAATACTCATAAATGTGCAATCATTTATTTCCTTTCTGATTTCATCTTCAATAATTGAATCAAGACAGCTGATAAGACCATTTTGAATTTTTGGGGCGACTCCAGTAAATCTTCTGTCACCAACTATATCAGATTCTGCTAGTCTACTGTGCAGTCGACGCTCAAATACAGAATCAAACTTAGCAAAACATTCGAGCAACTCTCTATAATTACCTTTGTTCAAGCTACCTTCGGACTCATTGTGACCTCTAAATGGCAACTCTTGCTTTGACAAATACAACACGGCCTCAGTAACAGTTTTTAAAATTTCTCGATTTTGTCTTACCTCCTCATTGTGACGCTGAATCACATTTCTTCTAGCGAGGGACATAAGACAATCAATTCGTTCACTAGTTCCATACGTTTTCCATGTCTTACATGCAGTCAAATGCGATTTAGATTTTTCATGCTTCTTAGCATCAGACATAATACTCCGCATATCGTTGTAGCCATTCTTAGTCCACGATGGCGATGTTTTTGGGGAAAACATTAGACATGGCCAACAAAACACTTTCTGCAAGGTTGTACTGCCACACAGCCAGTCCTTCGCCTCATACCAAACTCTCTGAAATGCTCTTCCCTTATTTTGGATAGTTAAATCAGGAGTAGGCCGTTCATGAACGATAACATTCTGTTCGACCGACGATCGAGCAGAGAACGGTTTAGCTAATAAGCTATTTACTAAATCAACATCAGTTGAGCAAATCGCAGTCGCACTTGAAGCCATTGTGTCATACACAAATACAAAATATCAACTTGAGAGTAAACACAATGGAAAATTTAAAAATCAAACGAGACTTACCTGTAAGTTGAAGTTTGATTGTAATTCTATGAGTTATTGGACAAGGAAACTAAGGAGTCATGTGAGATATGCGCACGCAGATCGAGGAATCAGTTTTCAACGCTGCGAGTGATTTCAACAGCATTCACCATTTAGGGCGGTTGCAATAAGATTTTTTACACTAAAAAACCCTCCAATATAATGGTGACTTTAGTTTCCTTGTTCAATAACTCATAGAATTACAATCAAACTTCAACTTACAGGTAAGTCTCGTTTAATTTTTAAATTCTATTTCGTCATTGGACTACGTCACTAAGGAGTCATGTGAGATATTCAAAGTGTTGTGATCACGAGCTTTAACATAATCCCAAATGTATTGACAATTTTTTCAACAACACATATAATTATACTTCTAAATTTAAAAAAATTTGTGCTTAGTCATTGGAACCATTTAATAATGAACAACTGAAGTCGGCTTTTGTTTTTAATGGCTTATTATAATATTTTTGAAATGTTGGTCTAATACCACCCAGCTGCTTCCATAATTGCTTCAATTGATATGGATGCTTTGTTTGCAGCTGACGAGGATGCTGCTCTTGTGCTGCAGCCAGAAAAATCATTTATTCCGGCCAGCTTTAAGATTGTTTTAAGCCATCTCGAGATAGTGTCCGTGCTTGCTACATTAAAGGGTTTTTGGAAACAAATTAACAACTGTTTGGAATTACTTCTAATAGTTTTTGTTCTTTAAATGTACTCAGTAAGGAGTTTGAACGGACAAAGTGTTGCATCTGGGTCATATTTCTTAACTATGAAAGGCTTTAGGTGTTTCCCAGGCCGAGATGTTTTTAACAATTGGTCGAAGGTGAATACATACTTATCATCCTCCCGAGATATATTGTCCAGTGATAAGGCTTTAAGGGTTTGGCACCTTAGAGCAGAGATAAGGGCTAACATCATGGTCAGTTTAAGTGTTAGCTTTTTCAGTGTCAAAGTTTCATTTGGTTGCATGGTTTTTAAGTATTCTAGCACTATTCGTACATCCCAGATTCTGGTGTACCTTTGTAAGGCTGGACGATTTTCGAAGACTCCTTTAAGGAATCTGCAAACCAGTGGGTGTGTTACAAAACTAGTACTATCTGATAAACTTACTATCGATGATAGCGCACTCCTTGCAGTATTTAGTGCACTATACCCAAGCCCTTTTTTGAACAACTCCGCAAGGAAATTTATCCCTTCTTCTACAGTGGGAGAAAAGGGATTGATATGCCGTTGATAACAATATTGTCTCCATCTTTCCAAATGCCCTTCGTATTGCTTTCGTGTGCCTGCTGTCCATGCTAATTCCAGGACTTCCACAGCTGTTGTCGAAAGTCCTCGGTCTTTGAACTGTTTCCTGATAAGTGACACACTACTAGCACTAGTTTCTCGTGAAGAGGATGTTTCTCCAATGTGTTGCTGGGAAGAATTAGTGTTGATGGTGTTTGTGGTAGCAAGATTGGTGACTGCATCAGCATTCTCATTGCTACTGGCCACCAGGATTGGGTTGGCCACTTTGGTATAATAAGCAGTCCCTCCGCATTCTCTTTTTGAATCTTTTGTAGCACCTGACTAATCAAACAAAAAGATGGAAAAGCGTAAAATTGATAACCCAGCCATGAATGATGGAAAGCAATGACTGCAATTGCTTCCAGGTCTGGGGTATATGAAATGTATGGCTTTAATTGGCAATTAATTCTGGAGGCAAAAAGGTCAATGTTTGGCTTTACATTTAGTTTCGTACAAGCCCTATGAAATATGTGTTTATTCAGGCACCATTCAGTGGTGCGCCTGGCCTTCCGAGATTCCCTGTCTGCATCGACATTCTCCTTGCCAGGAATACGGGCAACTGTGATCCAAACCTCATTAACAATGCACCAGTCCCATATAGTTTTGATAAGACTGTTCAATAATGGAGAGTGACTTGTTCCCATTTTGTTTAGGGTATTTTGAACTGTAGTGTTATCAACTAGTACTTTTACATGCATTTTCGTAATAGATTTTTGGTGTGACTTGAGACCAAAATACACTGCCAGCATTGCTAAATAGTTAATATGAGATTGACTCTCTTCCTGACTCCAGAGCCCTCCAGTTTTAATGTTATTTATAGCACACCCCCAGCCCACTTTAGATGCATCTGTGGACATAGTTACATCCAGCTCTGGTCTAGAGATCAGTTTGTTTGATCTTTCTACATTGTTTATCCACCATTCCAGCTCCTTTTTTGCGCTAGAGGATAACTGCATGTGAGTATCATAATTTCCCTTACATTGTTTTAGGGCTTCCGCTTTCTCACCCTCTGTAATCCGAAAATATAAGGGCCCATACATTGCCCCTGCAAATGTAGAGATAATAAACCCAATAAACTGGGCAACCTCTCTTATTTGAGGTATCCTAGAAGAGTGTAGGTGGATAACAGCCAATTTTACCTTCTTTGCTTTTTCTGGTGTCAAAGAAACAGTCATAATTATTGAATTTAGAATAAAACCAAGAAATACAATTTTTCGTGTTGGTATTAACACAGATTTTTCAGGGTGAGTGACAAAATTTAAGTTGTCTAAAACTTTAACTGTCTCAACAATGTTTGCTGCACAGTCATTAAAGTTATCACCTATCAAAAGGAAATCATCAATATAAGGTGATGATATATGACCCTTTTTCCGTAATGATGAGTACACAGGCTTAAGCAATTTTGTGAATTTTCTTGGTGCTAATGCTAACCCATTAGGGAAGCAAGTAAATTTATATAATTTACCATTCCAATCGAATTTTAAATATTTCTGATGTTCAGCACAGATACGTACTGAATAATAGGCATCTTTTAGATAAACTGATGCCATGTAGCAGTTTGGTTTCATTAGACTAATAGCATTCCAAACGGAGTCCATTTTGAAGTGCCTATATACCACATACTTATTTAAACTTTTGAGATTTAATATCATTCTATGAGACCCATCAGGTTTTGGTCTTAAGAAAATGGATGAAATAAATTCATTTGCCTCATGAGCCGATTCAACTATGACACCCTTTGCAAACAGCTTTTTTATTTCCTGTGCAACACAACCATTCTCGAATGTTGTGAATGTATTGGGTTTTGGTGCATGTAGTTGGTGAGGTAAAGCGTTAAATTCAATCTCCTCACCCAAGACTGTATGTAAAACCTCTGAATCAGAGGTGAGTTTGCGCCATTCACAAAGTTTGTGACTTAACTGGCCTGCTTGAAAGCGTTTCACTCGTGAGTGTAAATACCTGACTAATAAAGGCAAGTCTCTCTAAAGTACTGACCTGTAAGTTTGTCATGATATTTTGTTTCTTTCACTATTGGCCATTACTGGTATTGTTGCTGCTTGACTGGAAAGGTTGATGGCTTTTTCGATGGGTATGTCGACCTTGGTGGGTGTTTCTTCCAATTCAGATTGTTGGATAAAAATGTTCTTTCTTGGTTTTCCTGTGAGGAGGAATTGTTGGTACCATGAGAGTGAGGGCGGCCATACTGCCTGACCTTATCAAACCTTTGAGGCACTGTTGCCTTGCTGATCTTGTTCGATGCCCTAATATCATTTAGTTGTGTTTGAAGGTTATCCCCAAACAAGTAAGTCGTTACTGGCACATGTGATGCACAAAGGCTGCTATAATCCTTGTTTAAATTTGGCCTAATAGCGTCGCGTCGACGCATTGATAGTTCACACATTGTGTGGCCAAGAAGTGCCAAGGCATCGGTATTCATTGTGATCAGTTTATCAACGTCTGGTGATTCTTTACTACGTATTTGTAGCAATTTGTCTGTCGTGAAAGACAGTACGGCGCCAACCTTCGCTATTGTTTTCTGCGTGTTAGCAGTGCGAAGGTCGTTGTGCTTGGTCTTATTGTCAAGCTTGTCCCATATCTCAGCGTTAACGCGAGGGACAATAAATTTTTCACAATTACTTGGTCTTGAATACTTTTCCATTTTTCTTTTTGTTTTGCTTCTGGGAGCTTGTTCGACCATCGTTTGTTGACAATATCAGCAAGTTGCTGGTTTATATTGTCGCCAACCTCCTCTTCTTGCTCCAAGTCGTGCGAGATTTCTTGTAGCAAAGCGTCATGTTCGCGTCGAACACATGTGGCGGTTATACTACCTTCATTTGCCGAGTCAGCATCAGGTTCACTTTCTCGATGCAATCCTTCTGCCTCACCGTCAGTGTAACCTTTGTCTATTTCCATTAGTGAAGTTACACGTCGTTTTTTTGCTTGGTCCTTCGTTCAAGCAAGGATCCTGGCTGTCGGACTGCAACAGTTTAATGGAACTGTCCATGTTGATAATTTTGCTTGACATTTTCTCTACTTTGTCTACGAGACTAGCCAACACTTCTGGCATTGCTATCCCTGGTGGTGTCGCTTCATTCATACCGCTTGGCTCTTCTTCCAATAGCCGTCTTTCCAATTCGTCATCTGATGCCATGATTTTCGCTCCTTTGTTGAGATTTTATTCGATAAAAACAACCGTTCGCTCGAAGACTACGCGGGCAACTGATTCCTCGATCTGCGTGCGCATATCTCACATGACTCCTTAGTGACGTAGTCTAATGACGAAATAGAATTAATACCGACAATGACACGTAATTTGATAATCACTAATCGCTGTACTCGTATTAAAAGGTCGAATAATTACAACCTCCGCCAATTTAAAATAGCGGGAGCTCGACTATAAAAACAGCAGATTTGAGCATGCTAAGTCCCTTAGCCAACCAGAATTCAAAACTTCTCATATAGAATTATATTGTATGTTCCGCCCTCTGAAGATGGGCGGAATACGTGGAGAATCGCGCGAGTATGCAATGTGCGAGAAAAGGCGGTTGCTAGGTTACAAAACAAATCTTGAGATTTTGCTGTATTACGATTACGAACCACCTAATAACAGCGTAAATATGAACGAATAAAACATAATATTACAAATTGTTCGTGAAATAATATATATTTTATGTCCAAATAGAATATTTATTATTTTTTTGGGAAATTTCTACTCCCGCCGGGCGGGAGTAGCGGGACGCTAGCTACGCCACTGAACATGAGTGAAGATGAACTATTATACATTAGAATATTGTAATAGCTTCTACAAAAACACACAGTTACTGCGGAACAGTAACGACTGTTTTTACTTTGATATTGATGTTTTTGCACTTACTTTTGGACTGTAGCACTTATAATGACGTTTGATGGAAAATCGTTCACTTTCATTTTTTGTGAGGCGATGCTTTCTTTTCAAGATTAAACCTTTGCTGACTTTTTCAAATTTCGTCTCCTATGAAAAAACTTATGCACTTTACTATTACATAACGAATTTTTCAAATTATGTCTCTTGCATTAACCACATTCGATTCGACTAAATTTGAAGACGCAACATTCATTTCGTGATTGTTCGAGTACTTGACGTGTAGTAAAATACAAATCAGGATTTTGCTAAACAAACTATTTTCAGCTACCGGAGTGCATCGGTCATAACAATATAAGTTTAATCTTTAATGGACAACATCTCCTTTAAACATGAGTAAAGATAAATAGATAGGCAGTTTGAAAAACTTTATTTTCCCACCCTAATCCTGTCAACTGATGCCTAATTAGATAGAGGGCGTAAATATCATTTTTCGAAGTTTAATGAGGAACATCAATGCTCCAATCACTCCAATTACATCTATGTCTTATAACCTAGTAACATCACGGATTCTGGAAACAGGTCATGTTCACAACTGCATCCAATTATGGTTCTTGATCTAATGATCAAATCAATTTCTATAAATTCAATGACCGTTAGTTTTGAGATTTTAAGAGATATGAGAATCTGAGATACTGATATATTGTAAAAAAATTCCACTATACACATTTTCATTGATTTGCTTCAGAGGTACTGCTATCCGCCATTGAAGTTTGCTAAATGCCTTCAAACGAACTTGAAAATTACAAAATCTTGTAAAGGACATGTTCCGGTCGTACGGTAATTGTAAAAAAGTGCGACGAAAACATACAAAAAGGTAGGATGAACTCACTCACATGCTGTGCCCACAATGTATGAGGATGTACATAAAACGCCATATCTATTTATAAATGTGGACTATCGATTATATCTTTTTCCTTCAAAGCCACTGTTTCACCATCTAGTGTTTGTATTCCTTTACATTAAATGTACTAGAAAGGAATTAAGAGTTGAACTATGGCAGTATGACTGAGTGTGAGAAACAACTCTTAGTATGTGAAGTCAATCTTAGAGGAATGAAACACCCAAACAAAGGTCGGAACTATGACAGAATTATTGACAGATCAGTGGCAATTAATCATCTACCTGATAATAGTACCGTGAAGGTGGAGATTTTAGTTCACTTATTGCTGGATACAAATAAAGAAACTACTATCTCATGCAAAACCAGATATTAGAAAGTACCATAGCATTAAAAGGCTTAATTCAAAGTGAACTAGATTGCATGGAAGCTGAGGGGGTAGTTAAGAAAATGCAAGAGCCAAGGTAATGGGTCAATAGTATTGTCTGTGTAGTCAAACCTAATGGAAAATTAAGAATATGCACGGACCCAAAAGATGTAAATAAGGTAATAGAGATATAACACTATCCAATGAGAGCAATTGAAGAGGTATTGGCGCAGATGGCTGGTGCCAAAGTTTTTTCCGTTTTATATGGTCAATCAGGATTTTGGGAAAATTGTCTTGATAAAACAAGCTCAAGGTTATTCATTATCAACACACCGTTTGGATGCTATGGATTTACGAGGCTTCCGTTTGGAATAGCATCATCAGCACCAGAAGGGTTTCAGCGTGCTGTGTCTAGAATGTTGGAGAATTTGCCAGGTGTGTACTCTACTATGGATGACATCATCGTATGGGCTCAGAATGTGGCAGAACACGATAAAAGATTGCAAAAGGTCTTAGAAAGAGCAAAATCTCACCATCTTCCCCTCAATCTAAAAAAGTGCAGAATATAGC